CTTAGACTAAGACATTTAAGAAAAGAACACAAAAAGTATGTAATTTCACTATATGGTATTAAGCTTTCTGTGTAGTCAGTTCTGTACATAAATTTGTACATGTTGCTTTAGTGCAGTGTCTGGTTTCCTAAAGTCACCCTGCTATGGAGAATCATGCAATAAAAGAGGAGGTCATAGGGGAAGGGGGATTAGGATCCAACACTCAAGCATCAGGTGAAACATAAGAATTTTTCAAAAGATAACCTGAGAATACAATATTACACTTTTATGGTTGCAACTTCAGTATTACTGTGAAGAGTCGGAAGGCAGACTGCCTGCAATCTGATAAAAGGTTCTGACACCTTTGTTAACTAGATATGGTTCATAATACAGGCAGTAGCCTGATAAAGCATGTAGGTATCTGAGAGGGGTGTGTGTATCTGTGCATTCTGTGGCTTGTTTCTGGTTTATTTCAGCTAGGAATAAGTTTTTGCATTTATTAGTGTTTCTTTCATGCAAAAAACAAATGTAAAATGTATGTTATGCTCACTCATTGTTCTGATGTGTCTGATGTACTGAGACAAATTTGCATTTTCAAAGCAAGAGTTGAAAAAAAACCACTATGAATGTACTAGTAAATACAAAGGCCAATTGCCCTGCTTTAGATTCTATATGAATTGTACATTAACAGTTTCATGAGTTAGCTATACCATTAGCCTTGTTTTACAGATGAGAAAAATGTAGTTCAGAGAAGAAAGACTTGACCCAGGTCTTAAGGCTGGGACATGGTGACACTTAATTGCAATAACAAAATGGACAAGATAATTGCAGACATACAAGAAAGAATAAGTATCCATAATATATGAAAGGTTTTTTTCAAATTAGTAAAGGAACAATTAGTAGAAAAAGAGATCAAGAGTAAATAATTTATAAAGGAAAAAATATGGATAGTCAATAAAGTTAGGATAAAAGAAGTCATTCAGCCTTATTTGATACTTGGTCATGCAAGACAGCAATTCCGGGTCAGGTTTTATCCACTGTTAGGTGGAAGTAGATGTGAGGAGATGATGGGGACCTAGCCTGTTATGGTTCTCCCACAGCAGTCTGCCTTTCCCTTTCCAGCCATCACACTTCAGGGATTCATTCTAAGAAGGTATCTAGCTAAATGGAGAATGACTTAATAATGCTGAGAAATTGAAAGCAACCATCTTATTGCCGAGAAGTTAAATCAATTCTCGTGTACCCAGTACTATACGTTTCAGTACTGTGGAGCTCTTTGAAAGAGATAATCTTCATGGTTAACCCTGAGTGCTCTTCATGCTTTATTAAGCAAGGCACAAGGTACAGTTAGCATGTTAAGTGGGAGCCATCTTTGAAAACCATTTTGCACATACGTGCATATTCGCATGTGCAAACATGTTTTGTGTGAAAGAACACATCAAAACATTGATGGTGGGTATCACAGGATAATGACTTTGCTGGCTCTTTATTTTTTGTTCTCATTTAACTTTTCTCATTTATTTGTTTTACAATTAAAAAAAAATTGAAAACATAGCTGTGTAACAGAAGGTACATAGTAAATACAAAATACAAGAATAAACGACCTTTACAAACCACTCCCCCTGCCACATGCTCCACCAGCCATTACTGCCACCAAGGCTAGTTAACCATAACTAACAAATACCTATCAAAGAATTATTTACTAACTGTGTAGTCTGGAGAAATGTTTACCCAACCTGGACCTTTGGACCCTTAATTCCTCAATAGGCCTCTAATTTTTGTTGCTTGCTTTTAAAGAGACAGAACCCAGATAAATTAAGAAAGGGTGAACTTGGAACTTGGACATATTGGCCCAGTTTCTGGGAAGTGTATCTGGCCCTGGGCTCCGTGGGCAGCAGCAAGAACCTGAATTTCGTTTTCAGAGCTCCATAAAACCTTCTCCCAGGTCTCCCTTTTCTGGGCTTTATGGCCCTCTGCTGAATTGAGAGCCTGTAATCGCAGAACACAAATGATCAGAGCACAGCACAGTGAGAAGACATTAGGATGCTCCCACGGGATGGAGCTTGGCGTTACAGAGCGAGACCACGCCTGGGACCCACTTCTCGGTGTGCCGGGCCTCCTGTCCTCTGGCACCGCAGGTCGGAAGGGGGCCCAAAGGGCTCTGTGCGCTGTACTGGGGCAGAGTCTGCACAGCCTCGTGCTGCTCTTCTACAGATGCTCGCTTTAACAGGCCCGGCCGCCTGGCTGACTAGAGATGGCTCCACTGGAGCTTTCTGTGTGGGGGCTGAGAGGCTTGTTTTTCCCTTAAATTAAAGCAGTCACATTTCGTCAGCCTACACACTCTTCCCCTGCTTTGTGAACTAAGTCTTGTGACCTTTGCACACCAGCCGATGCCTTCCCCCGCAGAAGGCGTTTGAGAGTCCTTAACGAGATGAAATAAGCAGGTCCGAGTGCTGTGCAGCAAGTGCGCTAGGTGTATCACTAGTCAGGAGCTTCATAAAGGCCTGCCCTCACCAGGCACTTTGCACACATTATCTTATTAATCTTCGGAGTGGAGAAGCCCAGGGTGTGTTCTCCAGACAGCCTTCCGCGGTGGGGAAATCAAGGCGTAGGGAGATGTGACATGCCTACATTCACATAGCTACTCGGGCTACCTCTTGAGATTCACACCCAGGCCACCTTTGTTTTCTGCTCTCCCCAGCTTTCCATGGAGAAAACAGGTGTCACTGAAGGCCTCTGATAAAGCAGAGATGGCCAGTGTTCATGTCCCAGAGTGAGCATTGTGTGGGGGTTCTAGAAGGATTGAAAACTTGCTAGTTTTTTTTTTTTGATCATTTTCTAAAGCTTTTTATAGTCTGGAATTGGACTTGATTGGTACAAGTTGTAATATCTGTAATTCTGCTTGCTTTCCCCTCCCGTACACAACAGGTTAAGTAAAGGCAGAGCAGAGGCTCAAGGTACTGATACGATGTACCACGGTAGGGATTTAGTCTGCTGAAACCCTGGTTTGCCTAGCAGGTTGAACTGACAGTGCTTACGGTGCTGAAATTGAATTGCTAAGCTCCAGTTAGCCCATATGGAGGCTGTGCTAGAAGCTTGCAATAGCATTCTGCTTGCCCAGCGTGTAACTCTCTTCATTACCCCAGATACCTCTTACACACACACACACACACACACACACACACACATATTTTTTTCTCTCTCACTTGCTGTCTATCTCTCTCTGTCTCTGTCTCTTTCTCCTGTCCACAGTATCAAAAACCTGAGAGGAAAGAGCTGATGCAGGTTTGGAAAATGAGTGAAAATAGTGCTTTTTTTGTGTTGGTTGATTTTTGTTGTTGCATCCTGTGCCTTAAAAGTTTGGAGATGGGCCGGGGATTTAGCTCAGCAGCACAGGCGCCTGCCTGGCAAGTGCAAGATCAAGATGAGTTTGATCCCCAGTACTGGAAAAAAAAAGTTTGGAGAAAGGGGACCACAACTTACGAACAAGCAGTAGCAAGCAAGTAGAAATTCCATTTGACCCAGCTGTATGTCTTCTCGGCATCTTCCCAAAACAATTAAAGACATCATTTTACAACAGTACATGCATAGCTGTGTTTATGGCAGCACAACTCTTAATAGAGAAATCTTGGGGGAAGCCTGTATGTCCATCAACAAATAAATGGATAAAGAAAATGTGTGTTGTTTGCATGTGTATTTACACACAGTGGAACACAAACCACCCATAAAGGGAAGTTTTAGTTGCTTGCAGGAAAGTGAATGTACATTGAGATTATAATGCTTAAGTGAAATAATCATACCCCGACTATTAAATAGCACATGATTTCTCTTGAGAAGCCCAAAATATAAATAAAGAGCAAAATAAAATAAATGTCAGGAAACAGGTAGTTCTGTAGAGAAATAGGAAGGGGACCTAGAAGGGGAAGTGAAAATGAATAAGATGGTAGCATGTATACGCACCATTTCCTCAAGACTAATGTGGTTATTACGAGTCGCAAGCATATATTAATAAAAAAGAAGCTGATAAAAATAAAATAACGAGCTGTAGCTTCTTAGGAATGTGTTAGAATGAGAAAAGGAGCAAGGAATGGGAACAGTGGACAGTTACAGATATGAAAATGAGTGGAACAAAGCTGAGACCCCAGGGTCAGCCAGAAAAAAGGGGCCCCAGAAGATGCATTGTTAGCTGTGGAGTAGGCTGCGCCTTTGGGAGGGTGGACCAGGGAAGAGAGGTGTGAGGTCTCATGCTGAGACTTGAGGAGCTGACAATCTGGAGGGAGACAGAGTGGTCTCCAGGCAGACACAGCCCCTTGGCCCTGCAGACGCCATGCCCACAGAGAAGGGTTCTGGCCAGAGCAGCCCTGATGGGATGGGGTTCTGCGCAGGGGCTGATTGCTCTGTCCTGCCCTCCTGACACAGCTCAGCTATGGCAAAGTGGGGAACAGACTGGGTGCCAGAGAACTGGTCTCATCCTAGCAGTGTCCTCCCAATCTGTGAGACCTTGGTCAAATTATTTCCGTTTTGGACTTCATAAACAATCTTTCCCTCCTTACTACCCCTAAAAAATCTTTGATTTGGGGAACCATCAACTTCATTGTTCCTGGAGGCTTTTTTTTTTTCCTGGAGGCTTTTGAGGACACCAGTGACAGCCAGTGCTGTGCCATGGTTAGACAAGAGGTCCAGAGCTTGCTGGGTGATAAGAAGAGAGGTTAGGGCCAGGTGGGGTCTGGTCCAGTACAGCAGCAGACCACATGGCTCCTGTGCTGCCACCAGAGGCAGTGCCAAGATGGGAGGTGGCCTTCCAGGCTAAGGCTGGTGTGCTCCTAAACCTCAGGATGATGACTGCCCACGTCTGCCTCAGTTATTTGTATTCTCTTTCTCTCCCTCTGGAATTCAGAGCCTTACACATGCTAGGCAAGTACTTTCCCCAGTGGGTTGTGCCTATGCCTCAGTTTGTTAAGCAGGTTTGAAAGTTAATATATTGTGTGACAATAAAATTATTCCTTTTTGTTTGTTCACAGAGATGCTGCAGTTTGTCAGCAATCAAGTGGGAGAGTTCCCTGACTTGTTTTCAGAGCAGCTGTGTAACTCCTTCCCTGGTGGAGGTGGTAGTGGCAGCAGTGGAGGAGGTGGCAGTGGCAGTGGCAGCAGCAACAGCAGTAGCACCAACAGTGGCAACAGTGGCAGGGGCAGCAGTGGTGGAGCCGTGGATCCCTCCATGCAGCGGTCCTTCAGCCAGGTCCCGTTATCCTCCTTCTCTCCTTCGGCTCCCTCCCCCCAGGCACCAACCCTGCAAGTCAAAGTCCCTCCAACTGCAGTTCCTACCCCACCGAGGGCAACACCTGTCCTCCAGCCTCGGCCCCAGCCTCAGCCTCAGCCTCCAGCCCAGCTGCAGCAGCAGACAGTCATGATCACCCCAACGTTCAGTACCACTCCTCAGACAAGGATAATCCAGCAGCCCCTGATATACCAGAATGCAGCCACCAGCTTTCAAGGTGATTCAGAAGTCAAATGTGGAACTGTTGGTTGATTCCAGAGTTGTACCTGCACGTAGCCACTGTGGGTGGTTTGGTCCTCTTTAAGGATGACACTGTCAGTTTGGCCCTGCCTGGATGAGTTTATGGCTTTTGGTTGTACGTATTGGTACAGGGTTGTTTCATATTCATTTTGCTCAAAGACCTTAATACCTGTTGGGCCTACTTGAAGCATATTTAACTAGAGTTGAGCCAGCATTATAGACACAGGAGCATTCTGATAATTATAGGTGCAGTCTTGAGTAAAATTACTCCTAAAAATGTAGCTAAGTAGTACCGGGATCAGGCACCCACACGTGAGGACCATGCATTCAGCAAACAGCTCCTGAGCAAACATTGTGGAGATAAGTATAGATTTTAAATAGGTGCTGCAAGCTAGGTGTGTAGCACGTATTGTAATCCCAGCTACTTGGGAAGCAGAGGCAGAAGGATTCCAAGTCTAAAGACAGTCTGGGCAATTTTATGAGACCCCATGTCAAAATAAAAAATACTGGGGATGTATATAACTCAGTGGTAAAGAACTTGCCTATCACGTGCAAGGGCTTTGATTAACTCCCAGTACCACCACCACCACAAAAAAAAAAAAAAAAAAAAAATGGTGCTGTCTGAGTGCCGGGCCTCCTAGTGGGCTTCCAGTGTGTGTTGAGTGACCAAAATGTTTATTTTCCTATGATGTCCCTTATCCCACTGACTGTGGGGAGCCCTGGGCAGGATGTGTATTGCTCCAAATTTGAAAGACTTGATAATTTCAAGGAGGAAGGAGAGAAAAGCAAAACATTGCACATTTTCCATGCAGAAAGGCTGGGAAGAAATGAAGTCCTGGGGAGGAGTTGTTGATTCTCAACATCTAATAACTGTCGCTGGGTGCAGTCATTTGCCAATTAGCTTCCCTTACCTCCACCCCGGCACCCAGGGCAGTAAAACAATTCATACTTGTTCCCTCAGAAATCGCAGTCCTTATGGGACATTCTTCCTCTCTAAACCAGCTTGTAAATGACTGTGCACATCTTTTCAGCAGCAGGTGGGGAGCTGAAATCTTTATGAAACACTCCATCTTCTGGTTATGGCTGCAGCTACCGGCGTGACGGGCTGCATTCCTCAACCATGTGATTTTCTCCTCTTGCCTTAAGTCCTTCAGCCTCAAGTCCAAAGCCTGGTGACGTCATCCCAGGTACAGCCAGTCGCCATCCAGCAGCAGGTGCAGACTGTACAAGCCCAGCGGGTGCTGACACAAACAGCCAACGGCACACTGCAGACCCTTGCCCCGGCCACTGTGCAGACAGTCGCCGCACCACAGGTGCAGCAGGTCCCGGTAGGTGACTGGAATGGATTCAGGGAGGTACTGGTTGGGGCTGTCAGCCACTCCTTGGTTGAAGGTGTGTTCTGCACACTAAGAAGCACAAACCAGAGGGTGTATGTAGCATCTAGTAGGGCTGCTGGGGTGTCCAGGTCCTGGGGTGCCCACAAGCACGTGCAGAGATCTTAGCCTGTACCCACACATGCTTGGGCAGAGCTGGGGTAGTGATCACTGACAAATGATGATTATAAAACTGGAAAGAAATATGCCAAATTCTAGCTCTCAGGTGATTTTTCATCATAATTTTTTATTTTCCCTGTTTTCTGCAGTGAATGCTAAGCATTAATTACTTTTTTAGGAAGAAGCTCATACTACTTTTTTTTGGTACTGGGGATTGAACTCATGACCTTGTGCCTGCCACCCAGGCCCTTGTGCCACTGAGCTAAACCCCCAGCCTCATATTACTTTTATAGTCAGAAAAGCATTTTTATTTTCTTACTAACAAAGTAATATGTATTCCCTGCTCCCAGCCCCCAGCACTGGAGATTGAACCCAGGGCCTTTGCACTGAGCTATATCCCTAGCCCTTCTTTTGTTTGTTAAGGGTCATGTTAAATCACTTAGTTACCCAGGCCAGGTTCAAATTTGTGATCCTGCCTCAGCCTCCCAGACTGCTGAGATTACTGATGTGTACACCATGCCTGGCTATAATTTATCTTTAAAAACCCCCCAAAACAGGTTTTTAAAAAACCTTTAAAAAATCCAAATCTTTTTAAAAAACCCAAAAACATTTTTGTTTCTTAGCCACATTCCTGGTCTTCCTGAGTCTGTCTGCAGTCAAACTTTTCTTCCTCAGCCTTCACCCACAGTTTATCTCTACTTTGTTCCTGCCAGACAGTTAGCTGGCATTGCCCTCTTCGAAGCATGAAGCCTGCAGGCTCAGAACCCTCTTTAGCTATCCCTTGTCTCTCCCTCTGCTAGTGTTAGGCTGTACAAAGTAGCCAGCTTTTGACACAGCCTCTGAGATTTCATGGTCCGTTTTGAGTCTCAGTTTCATGAAAATTATATTTTCTTCTCTTGCTTAGAAGGTCTGTAATAAGAAACAAATGCAAAATAGAAAAACAATCTTCCCTTCCTTTTCCTCTTCTTTCTTCATCCAGGTCCTGGTCCAGCCTCAGATTATCAAGACAGATTCCCTTGTTTTGACCACACTGAAGACAGATGGTAGCCCTGTTATGGCCGCAGTCCAGAATCCAGCCCTCACTGCCCTCACCACCCCCATCCAGACGGCTGCCCTTCAAGTACCAGTAAGCACTGTCTTCTCCCCACCTTGCATTCTTTCCATCTCCTTTCTTGGGGGTGTTAGTTCTCAGACGCGTTCGTGCAGGGTAGGTGCTGGAAGTGCTGAGTATTCTGGTTGGATCACCCATTTTTAGTTTCATTTTCCTTGGAGAAGCCTTCCAGTGTTAGAGATGGGAGTCCTGGGAGCTGCAGGTGCTGGACACACAGCCAAGGAACCCATGTTCCTGGGCAAGGGACACACAGGGTCTTCACTTCAGGTCCTGCTGCAGAGGTACAGCTTCCACAGGACCCTAGGACCACCAGGCAGAGAAGGGCACCAAGAATGCTGGGGAAGGTATTCATCCTTTTGTTGTGAAATTGCATCCTCTTTAAGCCATCCTGTGACAAGAGTCTGATGTTTAGAAAGAAAAAAGTGATAAAATTCAGATAAAATTGTCTTTATTCATAAAAGGCAAGAACTGTTAACAGCCAAAGAGTGCATCTACAGAATAGATAAAAAAAAAAACTTACGGTATAATCATATAACGAAAGTGTGTCCAGTAGTGAGAAAAAAAGACTTGCATAAAATACAGCTGAATCTCAAAAAAAGAAGAAAAAAGGGGGCTGGGGTTTAGCTCAGCGGCATAAGCGCCTGCCTTGCAAGCAGGCAGTTGTGAGTTCGACCCCTGGTACTGATAAAAAAGAAAAAGAAAAAAAAAGGAAGAAAAATAGACTGATGATTTGAGTAATGTGAAATTTTAAGAACAGGCCACGTATGGTGGTCCACACCTATAATCTCAGCACTCTGGGAGGCTGAGACAGGAGGATTGCAAATTTTGAGTCCTAGCAGGACAGTTGAGAGATGCAGTGACCCCCATCGCAAACTTTAAAGAAAGTTAGAACTTAGCTGTGGTGAAAGAGTCAGAGCCGTGATGGGGGCCAGGTAGCATGAGGGACCTTCTGAGAGGAGAGAGCTTCTTAGCCGGGGTGGCTGCGCATCTTGTATACATAGGCAAAACCTCATCAAGGCCTAAAGTTAAGACTTAACAGCTTTTTTTATATGGGAATTATTTCTTGATGACTAAAGAAGTTGAGCAGTGTTTTGCTTATTGGGTGTTGAACTCATTTGTTGAAGAAAATTTAACTAAAATTAGTAAACATGAAAACTAAAAGGGGAAAACAGAGATGGGAATAGAAGGGAAACACTATGGCTGGCTTATTTAATAAAATGGCTCTGATTTAGAGTGTTGGTTCTGCCCTGAAGCTCTTTAATGGGCAAATTGTAGGAAAAAATGCAGTAATTTACTTAATTATCATTTGAGAGGGAAAAATGTTTCATACCAGGAGAAAGTTTTCTCAGGTGCCAACTAATTTGATTCACTGTGGGTTCAGAGGTAGTGAACGGTTGGACAGCAAAGCAAAACTCACAATGTTTCTCACGCCCCACATAAAAGTTAAAACATATTTAGCCATATTAATTCTCTGAGCATATGATTCTTCAGCAGTGGTTCTAAAAAGAGGTAGTAACTGAGATTTATAGTTCCTGGGACCTTTGGGGGCCTTAGCTAATTATTTTTGGAGGGTTTCAGACCACATAGCATTGCCAGGTGATGCCACACCAGCAGGGGCAAGTGACTCTGTGGTGTGATGTTGCTTGAATGAGACTAACAAAGGCATGATTCTGCCCTTGTTCTAGACCCTGGTGGGCAGCAGTGGCACCATTTTGACTACCATGCCTGTGATGATGGGGCAAGAAAAAGTGCCCATTAAGCAGGTGCCTGGGGGAGTCAAACAGCTTGAGCCCCCCAAAGAAGGAGAGAGGCGGACAACACATAATATCATTGAGAAGCGATATCGCTCCTCCATCAATGACAAAATCATTGAGTTGAAGGACCTGGTCATGGGGACAGATGCTAAGGTAGGTGCCAAATGAAGTGTTTGGTGACCTGCTAGAGCCCTCTACTCGTGTTTGCTGTGAGAGTTAGGGAACTGTCAGGCTTAAGGTGAGTGAATGCAAGAATCAGTTAGAGATGGCCTTCCTATTAAAATATGAATGAAAACATTAATGTACCTTTCTGAGGTTTGCTGAAGCAGTGACCTGCTGGGGCCAGGAAGCCCACTGTGTAGCACTGGCTATACCCTGGGCAGCTGAGTGTCACTGGCTAACTTTAGCCATGGTTAGTGGTAGCTAGCAATATCTTACCTTTTAAGGAAGAAGACTGAGAATGTGTACATTGAGTCTATGACTACAGCGGACAAGGGAAATTGAGTTTTTACATGTTTCTAGTGTTTAGATGAATGTATGTCTTGGCATGTATATATTTTTTTTAACTATTATCTGTTTACCTTCACCCTAACTGTAGTAGAAAGTTTGGCTTTCTGATAGCCTACCAATCTAAAAGGTATGTCTTAAGTATATAGTGTTACTTAAGAAAACTTTCCATCATCAAAAAATAAAAGAAAGGTGGGCAGTATTATCATGAGTTGAAGCCCAGCCTTAGCCACATAGCGAGTTCAAAGCCAGCCTGAACTACACAACAAGAACCTGTCTCAAAAAAAAAAAAAAAATCACAAAGGGCCGGGAACTTAGCTAAGCGGTTAAAACACTTGCTCAGTAAGTGCAAGGTTGTGAGTTTAATCCCTGGTACCTAAAAAAAAGTAAAATAATGTTCTGTCAATATACTTGTGTTGTTTTGTTGTTGTTAGTTGGTTTGGATTTTATTTTTGTCATGCTGGGAATCAAACCCAGGCCCTTGTGCATGCTAAGCAACATCCCCAAGCCAATGCTATGTGTTTTTTTGTCATTTCTTTAGAGTTTGTTTTGGTGCTCAGATTATAAGAAGTAGGAACAATAGCTAAAATTTGTGTGTTGATTTTGTGCCAGGCTTGAGGCTAAGTTCTACGCATTCTGTCTCATTCAGCCCTCACTGCCAGGCTGGGACTCACCTGCCATCCTTACTCCCTGTGTCAAGGAGGAGAAAAGTGAGGTTCAGAGATAGAGAGTATCTGATCTGAGAGTATCCTAGGTGGCTAGCATTTGAACTGGCATCTCAACCCACAACCATGCTCTGTGCTTGGTTCTTTCCACTCTGGCTTGCACTGGTTTTCACTGTGTTTTGCTTGTCTTCTTTCCCAGATGCACAAGTCTGGAGTTCTGAGGAAGGCTATTGATTACATCAAATACTTACAGCAGGTTAATCATAAACTGCGCCAGGAGAACATGGTACTGAAGCTTGCAAATCAGAAAAACAGTAAGTGCTCATTGGGAACGGAGTGTCAGTAGGGAGTGGGCATAGGGAGGGCCTGTGGATCTGTACGGGGCCTGGTCTCAGCGCTGCCCAGTGCAGCCCAGTTCAAACCCAGCTGTGATTTTCTTTCCAGAACTCCTGAAGGGCATTGACCTAGGCAGTCTCGTGGACAATGATGTGGACCTGAAGATGGATGACTTTAATCAGAATGTCCTTCTGATGTCCCCCCCAGCCTCTGACTCGGGATCTCAGGCTGGCTTCTCCCCCTACTCTATTGACTCTGAGCCAGGAAGTCCTCTTTTGGATGATGCAAAGGTACAGGTGTTTGAAATCTCCTGATCTCTGGAAACTTACCATATCCCTAAGAGAATTATGGGGAGACCACAGAGAGGTGGCCAGGCCAGCTATAGGTGTTAAGAGGACCTAGTCTGAAATGGAATAGAAATCTGTGGAATTATCTAGGTCCTGCAGAGTATAAAAGAAAACAAATTCTGGAGAGGGAGACACAGCTCCTCAGGTTTAACTGTTCTTGCTGAAAGGACCCATCAGAGAAAAACCAGGGCCAGACCTAGAATAGGGACAGGGAAGTGGCTGTCAGGCAGTGGGCTCTGGGAGTTGCTGGAGGCGCCTCATTACCTCACCACTCCTAATGGGCCTGGCAAGGCCACTTTGAGGCTGATCAGTTGGTTTAAATGGAGGCTGCCTCTGGGTCTACTTTTTGGAAATGACTACAGTTTGCAGTCTAACAGATAACATTCTAATCAAGGGCTTTTAGTTGTCCAAAAAAGCCTCTGGCGATTACAGTTTAATGGAATTAGTTAAAAGAGGCTCTGAGCTTAATGATCTTCCTGGGAACTATGGAGACCACTGGGTCCTGTACTGAATACTGACACTGGGTTTCTTACTCCAAAAGCAGAGTTTGGTTTAGTATATGTTTTTGGCTGTGCTGTTTATGGCAACAGATACTTAGTTTTACTGAAAAAAATCTATGATTTAAATATTTTATAGCTGTGTTCCTGTTTGATAACAGTAGGCCATATGACATACAAATTAAATTGGCTAGGCTTCTGAGTCATCTGAATAAATTTTCAAGTAGTTTTTAAATGCTAGAAAGGAATGTAATGCTATGTATATATGAGAGCCCGGGACTCTAGCCTTCCTTCCTGTACCCTGTACATTCCAGGGCTTCGATCTCCATTTCTTCCTCTGTAAAATGGGAAGAAGAGAGAGAGAAAAAAAAGTTCTGCTTTTAAAGCAGGCAGTTTCTTTAAACAGATCCATGGTCTTTGATATTTGTTGAGAGAAAACTTAAATTCAACAAAATGCACTATGTTAAATGTACAGGGCTAGGAGTTTTAACACACATGCATACTTGTACAGTTATCACTGTGAACCAGATGTAGGGTGTTTCCATCACCCCAAAAGTGCTTTCGCACACCTTGGTGGATGGTTTACACTCCCTCCACCATCAGGTCCCTATTGATTCATCTACTTCCTGTTACAGGTTGGTTTTGCCTGTTCTGGAATGCCACAGAAACAGAATCAGGCAGATTGGTGGTAGAGGTCTATTTTAAAAGAAAATTCCTCTGCCTTTGTTCTTTGGAACATGTGCTTTTCTTGGAGGCTAGGGGGAGATCAGTGCAGTGTTTGAGCAACGATTTGTGGATTGTGGACTTCTTAGATTTCCCCCCAGCTCTGTTCCTTGTCTAGCTCAGTTGTCTTGAATTTTAAGCCTCGCAGTCTGTCTCCTGATTCATATATAAAAGCAAAATGCTGTAAAAACCCACGCAGCCTTCATTCCAACCCTGGGGCCCTATTTTAAAGGTCAAAGATGAACCGGACTCTCCTCCTGTAGCGCTGGGCATGGTGGACCGCTCTCGGATTCTGCTGTGTGTTCTCACCTTCCTGGGCCTCTCCTTTAACCCCCTGACTACCCTGCTGCAGTGGGGAGGGGCCCGAGACTCAGACCAGCATTCATACTCGGGCTCTACCCGCAGTGTGCTATCATTCGAGTCAGGTAGGTGGAGTCCCCCGCTTGTGCTGGTTGGGTGTGTGGCTAAACTGCTCTGGCAGGAGAAGTACCCAGTATACAAACCACTGGTTAAAGTACAGGTCTCAAAGGAGTAGTCTCCCCACCACCCACTCCCTGGTTGTTTATGAGAGAGATTGGTATAAGTTACATTTTAAAAATGATAGGTAAAACCCAAATTCAGGTGGAAAGAACAAAACAAAGCAGGAACCTGCACTGCTATAATTGCCTTGTCAAGGAGTGGATGCCGCAGGGGTGGTACCTGGCTACGGGCAGTGTCCCAATCCTCTTTGGTTGGGACTTTTATAGAATTTATCTCTGGTGCCAAGCACTGCAAAGTTTGTGTCTAGGCTGTGGAACTGACCACCCTTTTCTGGAAAAGAGAGAACATCTTTGATGTCATGCTGCCTGGGGTCTGTCAGGCTCAGCGGAAATGCCGCCCCTCTTCAGGTTCTGGGGGCTGGTTTGACTGGATGATGCCAACGCTCCTCCTGTGGTTGGTAAATGGTGTGATCGTCCTGAGCGTCTTCGTGAAGCTGATGGTCCATGGGGAGCCAGTGATGCGGCCACACTCGCGCTCCTCGGTCACCTTCTGGCGGCACCGAAAGCAAGCGGACCTGGACCTTGCCAGGGTGAGTTCCATCCTCCACCTGTCCTCATCCTCACCCAGGCGTGGCCAAGTGCTCAGCGGCTGGTGTTGAGTCCCCACTGTGGGTGAAGTCCTGCGCCAGGTGCTGTGGTGACTGAGGGAAAAGGGACCCTGTGCCTAAATAGTCTCAAGGAGCAGAAGAGAGGGTACCTGTACATAGCTATGCTGCGTGCATGGGAGGAAGAATGGAGTGCTGTGGGCGTCGGGGCAGAAGAGGGAGGAGTTCAGCTGAGGGCTCCAGGCAGGACAGGCTTTGTGGGGATGGCAGGTTTGATGGGAGTCTCTGGAGTACGGGGCAGGTCAGAGAGAGATGGGCCAGTTGTACGGGTAACCCCAAATTTGAGAGGGCTTTGACTTGTAATGATTTAGGACTTTGTTTCCAGTTCTTTGGAGAACCAGGGAAGATTTCTGAGCAAGAAAACTAGCTGGAAGTTTTCATTTGAAACCAGGAAGGGTATTTTATGAGAAGGATTCCATGGTGTCACAGCATTGAAGAAGAGTTAAGCATGCACACTCAAGGAAACCTGTGCTCAGAATGGTCCTGGCGGGGAACTGTGAGCCTGCTGTCCTCCTCTGCAAGTTACAGTGTTTTCAGTTGAAAGTCTGGCTGACCAGCTTAGATCCCTCTCCCAGGGCCAAGCTGTGGTCTTGTTCCCAAGATAGGTGTCCTAGAAGCAGGTGTAGGCATGTGCAGCTCGTTCTGCTGGCTGTATTAAGGGTGGGGTAGATTAGAGGAGGGCCACGTAAAATGCCCAGAAACAAATGCGTTTCTTGAAATAGGTCAGGTAAGAGAAGAATGCGACAACTTGGAGTTGAAAGAAAAAGCAGGACGAAAGAAATATTGGAGATGTAGACTAGAAGGTGATGATGAGGTGGTGCACACCTGTAATCCTGGCACTTGGAAGGCTGAGTCAGGGGGATCATGTCAGCTTAGACTATATAGCGGAACCTTGTCTCAAGAAAAGAAAGAAAGAAAGTGATGGTGACTGTCACTCAAAACAAGAAGGGCTGGAGGATGTGGTGGGCTCCCAAGAGGTGCATACCTGGATGGTGTTTGTGGAGAATTGGGTTGAAGAGGGACGGGTGAGAGCCAAAGACTTGAGTGTGGGAGACAGCCACCTATCCCAGGAAAGGCAGGGAAAGAGTGAGAAAGGTTGGCATTGTTGTTGTGGCCCTAGACACGTCCATTAGACCCTTAGGTTGGCCAAGAGTCATTCCTTCAGCTCCTAGGTTAGGGAAGTTCAGCTGTGAGTTTGCCTAAAACCATGGCTCTCAAACTTCAGGCACCAAAATTAGCAGGCCCCAGAGGTTGATCCCATAGGCCTAGGCTGGGGCCCAGGTGTTTTCATTTCCAACAAACTTCTGGGGCCAGGTGGCTTCTGCTTCACACTTTGGAAGCCTAAAAGCCTAAAGGAGCATGCAGTTAATAGAAATCCAAATTACCATCTTGTTTGTAAAAGCTGCTGTGGAGAACTCAGCATTTGCTCAGATGGAGCACAGCGTGATCCAGTTTAGTGAGAGGATGGTTCACAATGATTCTAAGGAATAAGATTACAGGTGGTAATCTCTTTTGTCCTCATAGGTGTCCAGATTTTGACTCATAGGTGTCCAGATGATGACTAGGAGAGTAGAAATCTGTCGAAGACTCCAGCAAGGCCAGTAACCCTTATATCCTCTTGCTGCTTTATAGGGGGATTTCGCAGCTGCTGCTGCCAACCTGCAGACTTGCCTGTCAGTTTTGGGTCGAGCACTGCCCACTTCCCGCCTGGATCTGGCCTGTAGTCTTTCCTGGAACGTGATCCGCTATAGCTTACAGAAGCTACGCCTGGTGCGCTGGTTGCTCAAGAAAGTCTTCCAGCGCTGGCGAGCCACCCCAGCCACCGCAGCTGGCTTTGAGGACGAGGCGAAGAGCAGTGCACGGGACGCGGCCCTGGCCTATCATAGGCTGCACCAGCTGCACATCACAGGTGAGAGAGTGACCGCTCCGTCCTGGCTTGCAGCAGGGTGCCAAGTGCCATCTCCCCCCAGTTTGGGATGCCAGGTCTTCCCTGGCCGAAGCCCTTTTACACTGCTTTTGTAGCCCAGACTTCAGCCTGCACTCATAGTTACAGCTCATTATTTCTAAGATCCACATTTTTTCAAAATAACATCTGTACACTCTCAGTGAGTCATACAAACATGCACATCATACATTGATCAGCAGTGGTATTTCAATTAATGTTAGTATCTAAAAATGTTATAATCTTAGATTGAATTCAGTGGGACCATTTGTTTGATTCAGTCACGCTCCTGGGCGGAGAGGTGGACAGGCCAGCAAATGGATGGCAGTTGGGTATAGCATGGTGGGGTCAGCAGACAGCATGTTTTCACTGGGCTGTTCAGAGGCCAAGACATTTCAGAGCCTTGGCTTCTGGAAGGATGCATAGAGGACAGCAGCTGTGAGGGCAGAGAGATAGCCTAAAAGAGGTGTCCCTTTTGGGCAACCCTTGAGAAAATGCCATGGAGGGGGAAGTATTCTGTAGGCAGCTGGACCAGAAAACAGATTCTGGGCCTACAGAGGAGAACAAGAAAACCTAAGGAGCTGGTGAGAGGGGGTAGCCAGAGAGTACCCCATACAAGGACAGGCGGAGCACTGGGGGTCAAGATGGACACTACCTGTCCTTTACCCCAGTGAGCGGGAGCGAGGGGTCACAGGGAAGTCAAGTGGCGTAGTGTTAGGGGAACAAAAGTAGGGTGGTGTAGGGTAGGGGACATGGTTTCAGGAAAGTTTTGGGAACCCCTAGTGGCTTTAGGAAGTTGAATGGACTCAGATACCATGGAGGACCAGGAAATGAGACAGTGGGCCAGCTGTGGTTTGTTTCTGTTTTTGTTTTTGCGTTTTTTGACACAGGGTCTCGCTATACAGTTTGAGCTGGCCTTGAGCTCACTTTTTAGCCAGGCTGGTGTCAAATTTGCAGTGATCCTCCTGCCTCAGCAAGAAATTTAAATTCAAATAAAACAAATTTGCTTTGGTTTTTGCTTTGTTCTGTTTTTCATTGCTCCCATTGACACTTTTGGAGACGGTACTGTATCAGTAGGGTGTGGCCATGCTGTGGACTCCATTGTGGGAAACATTGCTCATACCTCTGAGTCCTGTACAGCTATTATGACAGAGCCGGGTGCCGCGTCCCCACTCTGGGAGGAAGCACACAGCTAGCAGGTGGCAGAGCCTGGTGTCACATGCGGGCCTGAAGAATGATGAGCCTCACCTGCTTTCTCTTCTGGTACTACCCCCCCACCTCACCCCCAGTGGCACTAGAGAAGGCAGGGAAATGCTTGCCTTGGGGGATCTGTTCACGTCAGTGTCTGTTTCTGCCTCCCTAGGGAAGCTCCCCACAGGCTCTGCGTGTTCAGATGTGCACATGGCTCTGTGTGCCGTGAACCTGGCGGAGTGTGCTGAGGAGAAGATCCCGCCGAGCACATTGGTGGAGATCCATCTGACAGCTGCCATGGGGCTCAAGACCCGGTGCGGAGGCAAGCTTGGCTTCCTGGCTGTGAGTACCCTTCATGTCCTTCCCCAGGCCTGTGCCACACACTGCCCCCAGCCAGGAGCCAACACAGTGCTTGCACCCAAAAGCCTGAGTCCCTGGCATCAGGTGCCCACTCCCCAGAGGGGCAGACACTTGTCCTCTCCTCCTGGCCTTGACAGATGTAGGCTACACAAGCAGGACCTCCTGGAAGCCTGTAGAAAGAACTGGTTTAGAGATACTGCATGAGTCTACTTGGGGGTCATTTTCTCACTTTTCAATTTCCTGTTTCCACTGTTAGGCATCTTGTGTTGATCACAGCTCTGTGGATCCAAAAATGAAAATCAGTGCCCATCTACAAGGAGCTAAGGTCAGACCTGGGGCAGGAACTGGAGTTACCAGGTACCTCCAGTGTGCCTGGCGAGGCGCCTGCCTTGGACAGTCACAGCTGGCTAATTCCTGTCCTGTTATCAGCGAGTTTACAGTGTCTGCTGACCCCAGCTTTCCCCTCCTTTAGTAGGAGCAGGCATGTTTTCCTCAGTGCCCTACTTTGGCTAGACTGCTAAACACATTAGGTGTGTTCCAGTGGAATGGTCACGTTTCCCTTTGTTTCTGTCAGTAGTAGAGGTGCTGAGCCCTGTGCTGATACTGATGTGTCAGGTTCCTCAAGTACTCCTCAATAGTCTAGGTGACAGCACAAGGAGACCCACAAAAGGAAGTCAAACGCTTAACAACCATGCAGATCAAGGAGAATGTTCCCAGCACCGCAGAGGCCTTCAGCCCCCTCCCTGTTACCTGTGTAACTGAGATTACAGGCATGTACCACCACACCCAGCCAGTTTCTGTGACCATAGAAAAGTACACACATAATAAATGTACAGTCACTGACCTCTCAGAATAAACACTCTGACCAGGAGAAAGATCCAGAAACAGACCAAGCCAGGTTGAGTGGTGGCGCAACCTGTAATTCCACTATTTGAGAGGCTGAGGCAGAAAGATAGCAAGTTCAGGGGCAGCATCAGGCAATTTAGTGAAACCCTGTATCACAATAAATAAACTGTGAGGGGCTAGAGATACAGCTTTGTGCTCCCTCATTCCCATCTCCATTACTGAGAAAAAAAAAAAAAACAGAATCAAGACCTCAGAAACCTCCCTGAGGCCTCCCAGAGCCATTAAATTGCCTCCCTTGAGTCCTTCAGCCTGCGGCAACCGGCGTCCTAGTCTCCTGTGTTTGGCCACTGTTTAAACTTTGCGTTAGGAAAGTCAAATAGCATTACTGTTCAGTTTGGTGTCTTTTCTCAGTGTCATGTGTTAGGCTGGTTTTTATTGTTACATGGAGTAACGTGACACACCAGGAAGAAAACATTCTGCCACTGAGCTACTTTCCCAGCTGGGTGTCTATCCTTATATTGACAGAGCTTTTAGTATGCGGGCAATCCTTTGTTGGGTTTATACTTTACCAGTTCATATTCATTCTCCCTGTTTATAGTGGGGCTTAGACCGGGCTGCCCTGAGACAATCTCTTTTGCAATCTGTGTTTTATTTTGAGATCATCGCTCTAGTCACTGAATTGCCTGGCGTTGACGTGAACAGTGGTCCTCCTGTCTCAGCCCTTGCAGTGCTGAGATGATAGTAGGCTGTAGTCTGTCTCTCTCTCTTGTTGTTGTTGTTTACCTTTATGAAACAACAGGTCTTCCGCAGGTCTTACTCTGCAGGTAAGGCTGGCCTTGAGCTCATTTTGTAGCCCAGGCTGGTGTTGAACTCAAAATGAACCTTCTGCTTCAACCTTCCAAGTGCTGGGGTCACAGGCGTGCGCCACTACACTCGGCTATGGGCTCTTCTTCTTCCTTTTTTTTGGGGGGGGGTATTGGGGATCAAACTCATGACCTCACAATTGCCAGATAGTCCTTGTGCCACTGAGCCATATCCCAGGCCCTTTGTAGTCTCTCTCTTAATGACGTTGTCAGTTTTGTTTGAGACAGGTTCTTGCTGTGTGGATCAGGCTGCACTTAAACTCACTAGAGAGCCCAGGCTGTTGTCAAACTCATGACAGTCCTATTGCCTCAGCCTCCAGAGTGCTGGCATTATAGACAAGTGCCACTATGCCTGGCTATTGATATCTTTTGACAAACACACATTCCTGACTTTAGTGAAATCTAGATTGTCTTTCTTTCATAATTAGACATTTTGTGTCCTAACAGATGTTTGCCCTGTTTGAGAGCTAAGAGCACCCTCTTGTATTGTCTCCTACACACTAGATTTCTGCTCTCCTCATAAGACTCTCAGTCCACTGGAATTATTTTGTTAGGTGGAGGGAGGGGTTCACAATTGATCCCCGTCCCATATAGCCATTTTCCTGACTGGTGCCTGTTATTTTTGAAACTGTCCTTGCCCCATTGCCCTGGGTAGGAAGTTAAGTATCTGTGTCGCAGCTCTCCTGGGCTCTCATCTGTCCCATTGCACATGGCCCCACTAGCTCTGTTTTCTAATGTCTTGATATCTGGAAGTGTCGGTCCTCCAGTTTTAGGAATGACTTTTGCTCTTTATCTCGCCAAATAAATTTAGGAATCATTTAGTCATCTCAGAATCCCCTCTGGATTTCAGTTGTCCTTATTGCTAAGACACAACTGGATTTAAAAAGGACTAAGAGAGACCATTTGAGATAGGCATTTGTGTGGCCGCTGAGAATCAGGAAAGTGGTCCCATTAAAATTCTCCCTACTGGCCAGGTACAGTCATATTTACCTATAGTCATAAGTACTCAAGAGGCTGAGGCCACATGGCAAGACCTCACCATAAAGAGACAAAATTATCCTTGGCCATGAACCCCCCTGAAAATACTTTGTAGGCCTAACACAGCAGAGCTCAATGTAGCTTTATAACTGAGTGTATTTCCTCAGAACATTTCTACATGTATTAACATACATTATTTGTTTTGTGGGATTATACCATAAACCTTGTTTTTGTTTGGTTTTTTGAGGCACTATGTAGTTCAGGCTGGTCTTGAACTCACTGTGTAACCCAAGCTGGCCTCAAACTTGCAGCGATCCTCCTACCTCAGCCTCCCAAGTGCTGGGACTACAGATGTGTGACACTGTGTCTGGCACAAGCCCTGTTTTGCCATTTGCCTTTTTCACCCTAATGACAGATCTTCAGCATCTTCCTTTATAGTCTCCTTATTCAGCTAAGGGACTGACTGAGGTGACACTGAGGGGCACTGGAGGCATATGAGTTTTGCTGTTTTCAGACTGGTGCATGAGCATCTTGGTGTGTTTTCCTCACACGCCTCGGAGAACTTCGTCAGGCTAAATCTCTAGAGCTAGTGATGCTGGGTCAAAGAATGTAAAGCGTAATAGTACCACCCAGTTTTTATATTCATTGAAGTGGAGACAAGGCACTTCGATCTCTGAGGTGACTGCCCCTTTCTGTCCGCTTGGGAGAAGCAATCTGCAAGGCCCTTGGCCTACAGCCGGGGACGCACAGCCTGGCTCTGAGGCAGGGTCTCAGCTCAGGGGCACTTACCAGGTAGGTTACCAAGGAGGCCCTTGGGCCCCCACCTGGGGGAACACTGATGTTTATAAATTTAGAACTGTAATGCCAAAAAAATTAAAAGAGCAACAAAAGTTATTTTCTCAATTTCCCTTACAAAAGCCAGGCTATGGCTCTGCGTGTTCCAGATTTATATTTTTTATTAGTCCAAACCACCTCAAGCTCCCCCCACCCCCCTCAAGATAGGTTATAACTAAAGTGTTTCTTTAAGGATCCAACATAAAAGCATATTTTAACTTAATGATCTCCTAAATGGCCTCTGTGGGTGCCTCTTTGTAACCAAGCTTTGTTTCTGTCTGATGGGTGGGTCCTTCAGCTGGTCCTGAGTTTCCCCTGGAGCTCACTTGCTGATGAGGCTTGAGGAACTGGCTGGAGAGCATTGGGGTCATTGTTACAAGGCCTCTGGGACACGAGAGGCCTGGGATTGCCCCCAACTCCCCACACTGCCTCTCTGCCCCACCTCTGCCTCTCTCCACATGGCTCAGCTGCTGTTCCCCCACCATTGCTCAGGTCCAGTAGCAGTCGCTGGCCCTGTGATGAGAAATTGAAGTGAAGTACCCGCTCGTCCCCTAGCTGCCATTTCAGTGTGTGCGTCTGTAGAGCACTTGGCCAGATCGCCTTGCTCAGATTCAGGCAGCTGTCGCCACGTCCCCTGGAGAAAGGCAGTCTTCCTGTCTGCGACCTTGCCTGGTGCACCATGGTCGTGCTATTTCTGACCCTGGCATTCAAGTCTTCTGAAACTGTTACATTAGCTGATGGCTGTTTAGAGCCCACGAAAGGTCAGAACCAAGAAACAGGAGCTGATCGTGGGCCAGCTGCCCTCTGTGGCGGCAGCGCCTGGTGTGGTTCTGCAGCCCCTGCTCCAAGCTCGAGTTCTGTCCAGACCTCTGTCTGTGACTCTCCCTTCTCATCCTCTGCTCAGGTCCCTCTTAGATCAACTTGTGCGAATAGCTCTAAAGGTCAGAAATCGTGGATTTTAGAGGAAGGATATCCTCACTCAAAGGAAATGACAACTTCTGAAAACACGTGACAGACAACATTGTCTCTGCAGTTCTTGTCCTGGGGCCCTGAAATGATGTTACACTGGCCATGCAGGTGGTGTGGAGAGGGGAGCTCTGGTGCTCTGGAACACAGCCAAGAGCACTCAGAGCCCCACTGTGGACATCATCCTCATTGTCCCCCCACCTCACCCATACAAGGGAGGGTCTCTGGAGGAGCTGTCCCTCCGCTCCAGTGCTGTCTGGTGTGACCGTGACAGCTGGCTCTATACTGGGCCCTCTTTTAAACTCTTTCTACTCAAAGGTGAAATGGAGAATTAGTCAAAACAAAATATAGTTTCGCCTGAAAATATTTTAAAGGGCAGGTAATTAAAGTGGCATGAGAAACAGCCCCAGGATTTGGGGAGCTTGACACTCAGAGGGTTGAGGGGGAACTGTGGGCAGGGGACCCCCTTCCTTGGTAGACAGCCCCTACCTTGTGGTGCAGCTTGAGTGCTGGCAGGCAAGAACTGGATTCCGGAAGGGCGGGCCCAGTGGGACATGGTGCAGCAGGGGCCCGTGTGTACCTTGCACCGCTCTTCTGCTCGCCTTCAATCTGGGACCTGAGTGCCAGGCGCAGCAGGCTCCCCAGAAAAGCCATTTCCCTCATTTCTGTGGTGGGGTTCAGTGCCGGCCCTGCTCTCTCTTGATCCCGGTGCTATAGCCTCCTGTGCCCCACCCAGACTCCATCCCGACACTTTCTGATGACCCCACAATGGCTGCAGCCAGCATTCTGCCACCTTGGTGTCAAATGTGGTCGTTGTCCTTCCACAGAACTACTTCCTCAGTCGCGCCCAGAGCCTGTGCGGGCCCGAGCACAGCGCCATCCCAGACTCTCTGCGCTGGCTCTGCCACCCTCTGGGCCAGAAGTTTTTCATGGAGCGGAGCTGGTCAGTGAAGTCAGCGGCCAGGGAGAGCCTATACTGTGCCCAGAGGAACCCAGGTGAGCGCACCTTCCCTGCCACTCAGAATGGAGGCAGCTGGGGGAACTGCCCCTACGGTGGGTCCTGTGCCGCAAACCCAGACACAGGTGGGGTCAGTCTAACTTAATCCGTATTTTAAAAACCTGAGGCTCAAGCAGGTGGTTAATGACTTGTGAGGTTCTAAGCTGGCCAGAGTCAGCCTGCCTGTGGGAGACTTGGGTTTGCAGCTGTGCTCGCTTGGACCCTCAGAGCCTGTGTCCTCACATCATGATGCCACACACGATCAGTGGTGACTAAGCAGCAGCTGTATTATCAGCCGTGGTTCTGGTGCTTTGGAGACACAGAGGATGTGTGGGACCCACCGCTTCCTGGCTGTGGGGCCTCCCGGTCCCATTGGGAGACACACATGAAGCACTGAGGGAACAATGGGCGGCAGGCAGCCATCAAATGCAGAGGAGTGACAGGAATAGGGCTGCAGGCGTTGGAAGGAGATGCAGGCTTTCTGTCCCTGGCATTTGACAGTGATTGGAGTTGACTCTGCTGGCCTTGGAGCAGCAGAGGCTGGCGGGCTGTGCTGAGACCGTGAGTGCCTGGTGCGCTTTCCACTGCACTTTCCCGGGATAGTCAGGGCGCCGAGGCAGCGCTGCAGGTGAGGAGACACATCAGGCGTTCCGAGGTGTTTTCTAGCCTTCTTTTAAAAATAGCCATTCCCAATACAAGAATTACGTTCTCTATCAAAAAATGGATGAAAGCTAAAGCAGTCAGTCTCAAGTCTTTCAGCCCTGTTCCCACTGACAGTTTGGTCTACAGGAGAGACCTTCCACAGGCTTGTGTCAGTGGTGGTGGACCTGTGGCACGTGCATTGTTTTCCTTTTAAAGCAAAAGATGTTAGTATATGAATTGTTTTTCTAAACTAAAAGCTCCAGGTTCAATTGTGATGTTGGCACTTTGTGGCAAGTGAGTTTGGAGTTGCATTTTGGCGCTTGTGTTGAAAAGGTTCACCATCTCTTTCCTATGTTAAGGCCTTATCACCCAGAAAGTGCTCATAAATACCCGCCCAGGTCAGTTCAAGGGTATGTCTGCCATGTGTGCAGGGAGGACAGGGGCCAGTGATGCTGGGATTTGGGGAGGGTCAGTGTCAGCTCTTGCAAGCATCACAGGGCCTGTGTCTGTTCCACTCAGCCAGGGCATTGCCAATCACAGATTCCATGACGTGGTCAGAGAAATGAGGAGTGGACTCTTCATTGCCAGGAGCACAGGGCCGCTGTTGCTGCCTTTTTCTCTTTGGGTGGCTATTCTCAGACAACCTCTGGGACTTGAGATAGAACCCACCTTTCCATTTTCTGGTTCTGATAAGGTACAGCCACAGACATCATGTTCTGAGCTCCGTGCCAGGACATGTGGCACATAGGACCCCGGTTGCTGATCCAGGAGCATTTGCTCAGCTCTCCAGGCTGGGTGTGGCTATGCTCCCCACTTCATGGCTGTTTAGCAGAGTCGTTCTCAAGTTTGGTTAAAAACAGGGATTGAGCTCCATTATGGAGCATAGCTGTTTCTTATGTTCCTTTCTCTGTCCTTTTTTCTCTGTAAAGACAGGGCTTCCGGGTGAGATCTATCTTTTTTGTGGTGCTGGAATTGAACCTAGAGCCATGTTAACATGCTAACCATGTACCACGGAACTACACCTCCAGTGCCAAAAGGGCTTATAAGTCAGAAAACCCGTTTAACCCTTCGTTTTTCTCTTCAGCTGACCCCATTGCTCAGGTCCACCAGGCCTTCTGCAAGAATCTGCTGGAAAGAGCCGTGGAGTCCTTGGTGAAACCTCAAATCAAGAAGAAGGCTGGAGATCAGGAAGAAGAGAGCTGGTAAAGACCCCAGGCCACTCACACATCCGTCTTCATCCACCCAGGGTACTCTGGTGACAGGAACAAGTTGTGAGGTCAGCTAGGAAAACAATGTTGTATTGTTTCTCAAAAATATGGCTCTCTATGAGATCTGACTTCTCTGGACTACCTTCTCCCCATTGAGTTACTTCTCTCGCCAAATGGACCCCCTTGTTGGAGCGAGTCAGGAATTTGACTGGTTTGCTTTGCTTTTCTGGGTGGCCTATCAAGCGGGGATAGGAGTGAGACATGGAGAGCTCAGCAAAAGGTGGATGCCTCTAACCTAGATATCTAGGGGACCCAGCCCCTGGGGAAGCGTGCCAGGCAGTTTAAGTCTTACGTAGATGGTGGGCATAGGCCTCTGCTTTACAGAATAAGACCTGGGAGGCAGAGAGTTGTCAGAATCACCCTTGTGTGGGTCCTGTCTTTAGAGGGCAGTTCTAGGTGGGAGTTAGGAAACTTCTAGAAGCACATGACATTGGAATGGGGCCTTGAAAGAAGGAGATATCAGTGTTGGTTAGGGAGGGGAGAAGGAGAAAGGCTGCCGTGTAGCATACGAAGGGTAAGCTCAGTGCGCCTGGCATGGCGGGGAGAATGAGCGTGGGTGTCAGGGCTGGAGAGCTGAACAGCGGGGCCTTCGGTGGTTTTGTCTATGTCTTGTACGTAAGACTCTTTCTTCTCTTTCTAGTGAATTCTCCAGTGCTTTGGAATACCTGAAATTGCTTCACTCTTTTGTGGACTCTGTGGGGTTTGCAGCCCCACCATTCTCCAGTAGCTCTGTGCTCAAGTCAGCCCTTGGTGAGCATCTCTAGATCTGGGGTGGAGGTATCGGTGGAGTCCTGCCTGGCCTCCTGTCTCATCTAGACCTAGGAATAGTTAGGAGCATATGCTCAAACGTCTTCACTGGCCCCAAGTTTGCCCCAATCTGTGGCCCACAGGTTGCCCCAACCCAGTTAATGCTCCTGGTGGCGTTCTAGGCTCAGGAGATGATGACCCATGTGGGATGGCCAGGGTGCGTGAGTGTCCACACAGCCCACCTGGCGAGTCAGGTCAGGGCTCTTCCTGGATGCCCAGAATGGGCTGGTAGAGACTCACCTTCCAAGCACACATAGGCTGGTCTCGCCCTGAAGTTTCGTCTTTGAATTCTCTGTCTGCTCCTCACCACCACAGGTGTCACAGCATAGCCTGCTGCACCACCACTGCTGCTTTCCCTAATTGCCAAGGGATTGCACCTCAGTGACCCTTTCTTGACTTTCTGGGCTACTGAGGGGAGGATGGGGGTACCAGATTGCCCTCTGCCCTGTCTCCCTGGAGAGGGGAGGATCCCCGAGCAGCAGCATGGCCTCACGGCCTGTCTTGAGAAGCGGAAGAATGCGTGCTTTCCAGCCTTTGCTCTCGGATGACCATCCCCACTGGCTTTGTGAGATCACTGGTACCAGAATTTTGCAATTGAGAAAACCAAGACTCAGAGGAAAGAATTGAAACTACTCTGAAATGAGTCTGTTGCTGTGGACACTTTGGAGGCACCAGTCCTTGTGGCTATTGGAAGTTCAGGCTGTGTGTAACCCATACAGTGAATGTTTTGTTAAGCTTGTGTACTCAATCCAATTTTAGTGTAATAGATTACCACAATGGGGTCTATGGAAATGAGATATTGCCAGACCTTTTCCAAAAGCCAGAGCCCCCTGCCCACTGCCATGCATTGCGGAGCAGTGGCTGCAAAGCCCTGGGCTCCACAGAGCAGGTTCCCTTGGGTGCTGGAGCGTTTGCTGCCCTTCCCTCTAGGTCCAGACATCATCTGCCGCTGGTGGACATCCGCAGTCACATTGGCCATCAGCTGGCTCCAGGGAGACGATGCAGCTGTGCACTCCTGTTTCACTGATGTGGAGCGTGTCCCCAAGGCTCTGGAAGTGACTGAGTGCGTAAACCTCCTGTTCCTCTCTAGGGGCCTTGTGTGGGTTAGTGAGAGGGAGCAGGTCTGTTGGGGTGCAGGTATGAGCTCTGCCATAGCTGGGAGGGAAGAGGGCACCAAGGAGAGGTGTGTGAGTGTGTGCAGCTCGGCAGTTGTCAAAGTGGTCAGCACTGCTGCTGGGCCCTCCTCCCCACAGCCTGCGCGTGCCATAGGCTGCTGGGACGAGTGGAGCTTGGCAGCTGCCGCCTTGTGTCTCCCACATTCTGTCCTGGTTCCTTTCAGCCACCCCTCACCCCGCTGGCCCTGGCAGCCTTTCTGTACAGTACAAGGCCTGTGGCACAAGGCCTGAGCAAAGCACTTCTGACATTCCTTTTTGAGACCAGCGTCTGCATCTTGGGGGCATGTGACCCATAGTGATGGGTGCCTGGCTCTTCGTGATTAGATCTGAGTGCTCCTGAGACAAACTGTAAGGTGCTGTGAGGCAGAAAGGCCCCAGGGGGGCCTGTCCTGAGTGCCAAGGCTGCCACCCAGCATCGAGAAAGGGAGTCGAGGAAGTGGGGGGAGAGCGGGTTAGCGTGCTGGATTTCTACAGTGGATCTAATGCCCCACTTCTGTTTGAGTAGTCCCATGTTAAGCCACCAGCCCTGTGTTTACGTGCCACAGCGTGCCACCCGTGGCTTCCTTAGGGCAACTGGAGTCTCTTCACTCCTAAGCTGCAGGGCCGGACCCAGGCCTACGGGCATCCCAGCCCCCTGGATTCAGTTTCTCCAGCTCCCTTCACGTTTCCGGACAGTGATACTGTGGGAACCAACCCAATCCCCATCATAGCAGCCCCCCAAGCTTCTCTAGAGACAGTACACCACTCTTCTGAGGACGGACACAATAATTAGGCCAGTACCTATGTCACCATAGGAAGTAGCAGTTGGTATTATAGTCACCTATAGGTAAGGAAACTGAGCACAGATTAAATTTGAGCCTGGGTTTGTGGTCCTAGCATGAAATGAAAGATAAGGGATGAGCTGAACTGGGAACTGTGATGGCAGTGCTGCAGTGACAGATCCATGTGTCATGGAGGTGTGAAGGATTATGGTCATCTCTTTGGTGCCTCACCTGTTGCTGCGGTAACGCTGTGCCCTGCCTCTCCACACCTGTCACCGTCACAGGAGCCCCCTGGTAAAAGCTGTCTTTCATGTCTGCAAAGCTCTGCACGCCTCGCTCTCTGGAAAAGCAGATGGGCAGCAGAATTCCTTCTGTCATTGTGAGAGGGCCAGCGGCCACCTGTGGAGCAGCCTCAATGTCAGCGAGGCCACCTCTGACCCTGCCCTCAACCACGTGAGTAGTGGGCTCAGCAGCCCCTCTGGAGGTGCTAGCCTCTTCTCTGTGAGAACACCCTCACCTGCGCTCAAAATGTGGCCCATTCGCTGAGGTGGACACCCTCTTCGCTCCCTGGGGGCCAAAAACACATTCTCATGAGTGCCTGTCCTCATCGTCTGATTCCCAGCTCTTGCTGGCCCGGTTTGTTCAAGCGCTAGGGGAGCCTCAGCTGGCCAGGGCTGCCCAGTTGCTCACAGCCCACTGCCTCCCTGCGCTGTGCTGCCAGCTGCCAGGTGGCCCTGCCCTGGCGCACACCTTGCACAGCCTGTGCACACCTGGCGGGCAGCTGTGGTGCATTGTAGTTGCATTGCATGTTCTGGCAGTACCGTGCAATGTTTCCACAGTGCATCACAGAGGCCTGCCCGGCTCTCCAGAGGCCAGCCCATGGCCCGTCACTGGGTACTGCTCCTGGCATGGTTATCCTGGGAGACAGGGACAGTGGGAGCGCAGCAGCGGATAGCAGAGTGACAAGGAACATCCTGGGGGGTCAGGCTCAGCAGCTTTTTGGGGTTTGGGCCTGCAGGACCGGGCTGGCACTTGGAGCTCCAGGTATCAGTGGGTGTGGACACGGTGAAACCAAGGCAGCATATCACTCCTATGGGGATAATGTAAAGGAAGGTAAAGGGCAGGATGGGGGCCACTGTGGGCTTCCTGTGATCCCCATTAGAGAACCATTTAGTCCTCACTGAGGACTGAGATCACCTTTGAGGCTCCCCCAGGGAGCACCTGAGCTGCTCTGAGGCCGGAGAATGGGCCCTCCAGCCCAGTGGCCCAAGACCACATCCTAACCCTGCCTGCCACCCCCAGGCCCAGGTTCACACCTTTAAATGCCAAGAAGCGTCCTGCGTGTCCCTTCCAGGCTGTCTGCAGCTGGGAGCAGTGTGGCCAGGGAGCATAGGGTAGGGTCTGGGTGGCACAGTGACCTCCCAGGTCACCCTAGGGAAATGAGGCCAGGGCTGGGAGAGGTATGAAGAACCCAACAAGTCTGTAGCCCATCACAAGGACACACTGTCTCTTCGCTGCTTCATGTGGTACCAGTCTCGGTGGAATGTGGACTCTGTAGTCTACCCCATGCCCCTGTGCACTGTGAACTCAGAATATTCGCATCAACCCTGTGCTGCTATTCCCATTTTTCAGATGTGGAAACTGAGGTTCAGAGGCTAAGTCCCATGCCAGGGTCCTGTAGCTAGGAAGTAGAAACCAGGATTGAATCCAGGTCAGTGAGACACCTGAGCATAAAACCGCCATGCAGCTCTCCCTTCATGGACACCCATTCCTCCTCCTGGTGCTCCCGCCATCACCACCTCCAGACTGCTGCCACTTCCCAAGAGTGCCTCTGGGTGCCTCAGCTGTTGGGCCAGCCATGGGCTCCTGTGAGGGTGAAGCAGAACCCTTGGGTTGTAGTCCTGCCCCTGCGCCCAGACTGTGCCCAGCCTGTGCCCTAGCCCCCTGTAAGCTGCAGCCTTTTCAGAGCCTCACTTCTTACCTGCAGAAGGTGGAGCAGCCCTTCCTTCCCCCAGGCTCTGGGCTCCGTGCTTTTCCCAGGGCCCTGCCTTAGCCACTGGCCAGTCACCTGTCTCTGCCCTCTCGCCCCTACAGGTGGTCCAGCTGCTGACCTGTGACCTGCTCCTGTCACTGCGGACAACACTCTGGCAAAAGCAAGCAAATGCCAGCCAAACCCTGGGCGAGACCTACCATGCGTCGGGCACCGAGCTGGCTGGCTTCCAGCGGGACCTGGGCAGCCTGCGCAGGCTGGCACACAGCTTCCGCTCAGCGTACCGCAAGGTGAGGCCAGCGGGCTGGCAGGACAGACACTTGTGACGGTATTGGTGGCTCTCTGAGGTCACCTGCTGTGGCCCAGCCTTGACTAGGTGCCACATGTTCCTTTGTTCAGCACACATGACAGGGCACCTACAGCGTGCCCGGCTCTGGCACAGCAGATAGCAGCTGGCTCTGCCCCCTGCCCAGGCCACAGCCGTCCCACCTGTACCTCCCACGCTGGGTGGGAGGGTGCCCCTGGTCACCAGGGAGCTGCTCTGGCTTCCTAACTGCTTGTCAGGGTGACAGACTCTTAGAAGCACTCCCTTTGACCACACTGAAGAATCCACTGCAACCCTGTGTCTGAGCCGCTGGGGGCTTCAGTGCTGCCGCGCTCTCCACATGGTGTCTCCTCGGTCTGGCTGCGCTGAGCTGCGTCTCCTGAGGACAGTTGTATAACTGAGCTTGGACTCATCGCTTCCCTCTTTATTTTTATTGCTGATTAGAGTAATGTACTAGAAGACATTTGTTTGGTTGGTTGTTTTTGGATTTTTTTTTTTTTTTTTTTTTTTTTTTTTTTCAGTTGGGTCATTCAGTAAAATTCTCTTGAGACAGGATTTTACTCTGCAGTTCAGGCTGATCTTCAGCTCTTGTCAATCCACCTGCCTCAGCCTCTCGGGTACTAAAATTAGAGGCGTGTTACTACCTACCCAGCTTGTTGTTTGCATATATTACCCAGGGTGCCATTGAATTCCTGGCCTTAAGCAACCCTCCTGCCTCAGCCTCCCAAGTAGCAGGGACTACAAGTGTGTGTCCCTTGCACCTGGCCTACAGTAAACATCTTTTAAATATAGTTTTTATTTTTTCTTTCCAGATGTAAATATATAATGTCTAGTAATCAGATCTAGCATATTCCTGGCCTCATTTAGCATCTCTTTGTGTTAGGATCAAGGTATTTTACCTGGATATTTTCTGCAGGTTTGAGTAAGATACCTGTCAGGGAGGGGCATAGATTGTACTGGGAATGGACAAAAAGGAGGTCTCAGAATGTGGCTGTTGCCACAGACCCATACCCTGGGCCCTGAGGTATGGGGACACCTCACGGGTCAGCCCAGCCATGTTAGCAGCCAAGACTGGCACTGCACACGGGGTGGCTAGCATCAGAGACCCTCTAAGAATACCTTGTGCATCCTGCCTCTCCCCTCTGATGGGCTCCCCATTACCTCCCAGCAGCACTGAGGGCCAGACAGGAGGACAAGGCTGTTTGCTTGCAGTGCTAGAAATTGCACCCAGGACCTTTGCACTGAGCTGCGTCCCCAGCCCAGTCTCTGTTTCTTATCTTGAGACAGGGTCTCAGTGAATCCCTAGTCCTGCCTCAGCCTCCCAGAGTGCTAGGTTACAGGTGTGTGGCACCGCGCTCAGCTTGTGTTTCCAGTTTTGAGAGGCTGGATAGCTGCTAATTCCTGTTTGCCTCAGAACCTCTGCGCTCTGTTACTTTCTGAAGACACAGAAGGAAACAAGGCGCTGTGTGTGGTTCCAGCCCTCTTACCTGCTGTCCGTCTCTTCCCTATCCTTGTGTCAGGCTGGAAGCAGCCCCTAGGGACTGGAGGTTTCACCCGAGCTGCTGTCTTCCAGTCCCAGGAGACTCCAGGAAAGCAGCCCCATCTGCCTTTTGGCCTGGCCCCTGCCAGGGACCTGGCTTCCTCCCCTTTCCTGCTGCCCATCCAGGTCTCTAGCTGGGCTCTGGACAAGACAGGTTGCTTTCAAGGGGTATGCAGGGCAGGGTGGCCTAGTGGGAGAGGACCACCATCAGGTGGTAGGTGAGGTGGCCCAGGGAGCGGGACACTGGAGCCAACAGTGGCCAGAACTGGGACTTGATAGTGTTCCCTGTACCTTGCCAGGTGTTCCTGCATGAAGCCACCGTGCGCTTGATGGCAGGAGCCAGTCCCACTCGCACGCACCAGCTGCTGGAGCACAGCCTGCGCCGCCGCACCACCGAGAGCACCAAGCATGGTGGGTCCGGCTGCTCCCTTCTGGCCAGGTTGGGGACAGCTACTTGGCCAGCTCTGCCAGTGAGGCCACTGTCTTCGGAGAGGGTGCTGCAGCCCAGAACATTCGGGTGTGAAAGGAGCCCCAGGCTCGGTTTGGTGGCCACAGGGCTGGGTGTTAGCTCGGTTATCGGACATCCAGCCTGGTACGGGCAGGAACAGGGCAGAGACCTATGGGTCCCCTCTCCACCCCACCACGCTCTGATCCTCACCCTCACGGGCGACCAGGGAGCAGCACAGGCAGCCTGTGAGGGTTAAGTGACAGCCTCGCCTGAAGCTGCAGGGCCAGTGCCTACATGTGTCTCCTTTTTCCCACAGGAGAGGTGGATGCCTGGCCTGGTCAGCGAGAGCGGGCCACTGCCATCCTGCTGGCGTGTCGTCACCTTCCCCTCTCCTTCCTATCCTCCCCGGGCCAGCGGGCCGTGCTGCTGGCCGAGGCCGCCCGCACGCTGGAGAAGGTGGGCGACCGGCGCTCGTGCAACGACTGCCAGCAGATGATTGTCAAGCTGGGTGGTGGCACTGCCATTGCCGCTTCTTGACCACCAGGTGTGGCACACTCCTCCTGCCTCTGTCCTAGTGTCTCTCAGACTGTCTCCCTGCTCCCCGAGTCTGTTCTCCTCTTCCCTCTGAGAGCAGCAGAGTGGCCTCCTCTTCTGAGCTGTTAGCTGCTGGGCTCTTGGACCGCCTCAGGCCAGAGCACCCAGACAGAGTCCCCCAAAGCCGTAGTATTAGGCACCTTGGTTTGCACCCTAGTGTGTGCCGAGGGAAGACCTCGGGCAGCCATGGAGCGGGTCCTGCCCCCTGCTGCTCCAGCCCTCGGAGACCCTGCATAGCTCCCTCTCCGCTTCCTCATTTTTTACAGGCTTTCTCTCTGGGGGCCAGGGCTCTGGGCACCTGAGAGCACCGCGCCCTTGGGACAGTACCCAGCACGCCCTCCCCCTTTTTATATGAATGTTTTTATATCAATGTGCTCGGGGCTGCCGCAATGCAGGTGAAGTTGCTGTGGCATCTTTGTGTCTCATCCAGGGCCCGCTCCCTGCCTGTGCCTAAGCATTGTTCTCGTATCATTCCGTGGGGTAGCCGGCACGGGAAGCAGGGGCAGGCCTTGGGATGGGTAAAATAATGTTTGCATTATTTTTTTAATTTTTTTAAAAAAATAAACGGTATCTTATTTAATTGTTCTGTTCTTCCCACTCCCCTGCCTCCTGGGACCTCAGGCCAGCTCGGGGTAGGCCCAGGGGCCGGGAAGGGTGAAACCACCTGTCGGGCCTGGGGCTCAAAGGTCTTCTCTTGGTTCCCTCCTACCCCCACCCTGACTCTTACCTCCACAATACATTCTATTCCTAATTCTTGTCCTGAAAATGAGCTGTGGTAGCAGGGACCACCCCCAGTCCCTCCCCAGTGACATGCCTCTTCTGGCTGGGGACCAGGAACCAGGGCCCTCACTTTGATGGGGTCCTAGAGTAACTAATCCCTTTCTTCTGGATCCCTTGGCTCAGTGCCTCCCTGGTGACTTCCCTGAGGGCTGCAGCCCTCAGGCCTCTGCAGGGGTACAGCACAGCTGAAGGGGTACACTCAGCAGGGCTCCTGTGGTCTGCATGGGCCCCACCCATTCTTGATCTCTTGCCCCTCCCCCAACACTGTAATTTATGTACCCTGCCCAACAGGGCAGCCCAGCCCTTGTGTCACATGTATATACTGTGCCTTTTCTCCTGTTTTGTTTTTTTTTTTTAGGGAGGGGGGGGTTTCACTGAAAAGGGGGATATGCCTATGGCTTCCTTGATGTCCAGTCATTACCATGTCTTGGACATCGGTTACTCAATAAACACAATTGGTACCACCCAGCTCCAGGTGTGTGGAGATTTGTCATGTGGCTGCCGTGGTGCCTAAGCCAGGGGCTGCATGACTTGGCTGGCGGGACAGGGACCCAGGGTACCTGGCACCTTCAGTCTGCAGTACCGTCCTTGCCTGCCACTGTGACCAGCCTCCTGCTCCCGTGCCTGGTGCACACTCCCAAGGACAGGTAAAGGCCTGGCATTAAGAGCTGGCAGTGCTGCTGGGATCAGAGGTCACTGTGTCCAGGTTCCAGTTCCTTGGTGGCTCCGCTGGCAGCAGCAGTTGTTTGGGAGTGGGGTGGACTGATCCTTAGTGTCCCATTCCCTGGAGGTCATTACCCTCTGAGTCACTCCTTGGCCTTGGCCTGCACTTCACATGTACACGTGCAGCTGCCAGCCCCACGGTCCTGCAGGCTCAGGGACCAGGGTTGGTGACAACACATGAAGTACCAGTATGTGCCTGGTAACACTGGTTGAGGCCATTGGCAAAGAGCAGCTGGTGCGTTGAGCCTGCGCTTAGGGACCCCGTGTGGGAGCAAGCTTGGGACTGCACCACGTGGCTAGTGGCCTTGTTTACCTCCCTTAGAGCTAGTCCCTTCCTGAGGGGCAACTGTGGCAGGCTGTGTTGTCCCAAGGAGCAGAGCAGCCAGGAGGGACCCACTGCACAGGTCTCATTGAGGGGAGGGCCACAAAGTCACCTGCAGTGACCACCACCCAGGGCCTCCACCTGGCCTGAGTCATCTGGAGATCCAGGGCCCTTGAGCCTAAGGAAGCGCAGTGGGGCCCAGGCAGGGCCTGTGTCGTCGTGGTGCGTGACCTGCACACCCAGGAACTCAACTCCTGAGTCTGGGCACACCCCGTTCCTCAGCTCCTCTCATGGGCAGGACTTAGGACCCCCACCATGCGAGCGACAGTATGATCTCTCCAGGTCACGAAGGCCCACTTACTTCTGCAACTTTAAGGGCCAAGGGAGACAGACCCAGCAGGTGATACCAAGCCTTGGTGATTTGGGGGCCTCCATACCCTAGAACCAGCTCCCCACCCCATCAACAATGTCTCACCTTCCTTCTCCCCCTACACAGCCCTTTCCATTTGAGTCCCAGTAGACCTGGGAGCTAGCTGAGTAACCCTAGGGGAGCTGTGTTATTTTGAAGACACCCCCAGGGGGCTTTTGTGAGGGTTAGTGAGAAACAGCACATGGCGGCCAATAGTGGACACTCCTGGCTATCAGGGTGAGCCACCCGGCTTGCAGCTCAGTTGTCATCGTCCACTGTGGCATGGGGGAACTTCAGGGAGAGCTACAGCCAGGCACCAGGGGCCCTGGCAGAGTGGGAGGGCTGCCACACTGTGCAGGTGGGGTGCAGGCACTCAGACCAAGGGATATAGGGTGCTCGTGGTTGGCCCCAGCGTCTCCCCTCCCCATCCATCCCAGCTCCTGGGAGTGGGGAGGGGCACCTCTCCTCAGTACCAGATGTCCGCATGGCCACCACCCATTAGGAGGGTGGTCCTGGGCCAATCTGGCCAAGCAGCCTGCAGAGCAGGGCCCTGCCCGGGGCCAGACCGTGTTACTGACAATTAGCCAGGCCAGGTCCTCGAGCGCAGAGTGGGTGACAGGCTGGGTGCTCACTCCCTTTCCCAGATGGCCTGAACCAACCGTGCTCTCTGGGCCAAACCTGAAAGTGGCTGACACCCCCCCCAGGCCTGCGTTCCTGCTGGTGTGAGCATTAAGCCTGGCACTGGGCCCTAGCCCGGGCACACCTGCCTGCCGGCTCAGAAGCTAGCCTCTGCCCTTCCCCTGCTGTGCCCTCGACCTGCACTGCCGTCTGTCGGGTCAATGACGATGCTGCCACCGGCGCCTCTTGGGGCAGAAACCACGGAAGGGTTTATTTACACGGGAATGAGACTGGCGTGGCCGCAAGGCCAGAACAACTGACTGGGCACAGTCCAGTCTGGGCACAGGACCGTGCTCCTGGCCCTCGAGAGCATCGAGGGTCCGGGGGAGCCATGCCTCACACGGTGACCTCAGCCTTGCTGTTGGTGCTCAGGTGTCGGGGCCCGCGGCCAGCACCGCCGTACAGACCGGGAATCTGCTGTGAGCTGAAAGCCTCGGGCAGCTTCTCCACGCTGAATTGGTGTCGGGGCGCGCGGCCGGGCCGCCGGGCAGCAGGCGAGGCCTGGGTGGCTGAGGGGCCGCGCGGGGCAGGCCGGCGGGCGGTCCATGCCGCGTAGGGCGCCGGCGGAGTGGGGCAGGCGGGAGGTGCATACCCCGGTGGAGCCCAGGGGCAGGCGTCGAGCAGCGAGGGCAGGTCCTCCAGGGGCCGCGGGGCTCGCGCCGGGAGAGGCCGCGGAGTCGGCTCAGAGGCTGCAGGGAAACGCTGGTAGAAGTCCTGGGGCGTGGCCTCTGTGGGGACAGGCGTGTGGGCGGGGTCAGCGTAGGGCCGTAGGGCGCCGACTGGCTGCGCGGCGACCCGCGAGCGCGGATTGGCCGGTCCCGGAAAGTCTGGACACGGCGGGATCTCCATCAGGGCCCCTAATTGTGCGCTGCGCGCGCAACGCAACCCATAAGCTCACCTGTGGCCTTCAGCGCAGCAGCCTTGAGGGTTGCAAACTTGGCGTAGTCTGGCTGCAGTGTCACGCTGCCGCCGCTCAGCAGCCGGGGACCACGTGGGGGCCCCGGGGTGGTGGAGCCCAGGGTTGCGTTGTTGAGGCATTTCACGTCTGCAGGAAGGGAAATTAGGCGAGGCTTCGCACGCACCCCTTACGCACCGCCTGCACCACCACCCTACCGAGTGTAGCTCGGTGGGAACCCGGGGGACGCCTCTCGGGGAGTACAGGGTGAAGTCCGTCTGGCGTTGCAGCCCAAGGTCCAGCGCAGGGAACAGCGCCTGGCTCAGACCCTGATACACTGGACGGCTCAGCTCAGTTCGGCTCAGGAGCGAGGCAGGCTGAGCCAGGACCCTGGAGACAGAGCCCACCTGAGAGGGGCACTTGGCCAGGGAAGAGAAAGCTCTGAGCTCTGGACCCCAGCCGGGCTGGAGCCACAAGCACAGCCCTGGTCAGCAAATCCTGAATCTGGAGCCTTCCTCAGAGAAGCCAAGCCCCTGAAACTGGAGGTTCTGTGGGGGACCCCCTCCAAGGGCGGCTGGCTTTTGTCCAGCCCCCACTGAAACGCCTACAGAGGCAGGCAGCCCTCCCAGGAGCAGCAGCTCAGCACCTCCACCCAAGCAAGCGACCTCCTCTCCATCTCTCCCATACCCGTCCCATGCCCTGCTCTGGACCCAGCGCCCCTCACCTGTGCTGTTGTGGGGGGACCCCCGGGGAAGGCCATCGCCCATCTGCACTTGGACACAGCTACCCAGGGGTGGGCCCAGAGGTGGGGGCAGAGGTTCCTGGGGCCCCGGCTGCTTCAGAAGTTCTGTCAGTGTCCTGTGGGAACAGAGTGATTAGGGGTGGCTCTCTCAACCTCCTCCCATCAGCCACTCTGGTGGCTGTCAAAAGCCACCCCACCCCAGCCTCCAGGGTCCCACTGCATGATGGCCCTGGGCAGCTCCTCAGCCTCTCTGCACTCCCTCTGTTTTCTCCTGTGCTTGACCTTTGGTGTCCAATTTCTCCAAGCAGATGCCTTTGAAACCTGTGAGTATCCCTGGGATCCCAAAATGGCTACCTCCCCAAACAGGTCAAGAAACTCCAGCTGAGGCTCCCTTCTCTTCCCTCCACAGAGCTCAATCACCAAGCGCCTCCCTGTGACCCTCCTGCCCCAACACAAGCTCCTGTTTGCAGTATCCTCTCCATCTCCTTCCTTAAACCTCTCCATTCATCTGTGACCTGTGGGTCTCCTCCATGGGGCCCCTTTTACCTGCCTGCCCTGTCCTTCCTGCTGCCAGCACAGGCTGGGACACAGATGAGGGGACCTGGGAGATGTCCCTCTAGCAGCCCAACACCCAAAGGCTGTGTGACCTTGGGCAGCTGCTTCCCTGGGTACCCAAGACACCCAGCCCCCACCCAGCTGTGACAGTGTCTGATGGAGCCTTCTCTGCAGACAGCCAAACTCAGCCTTCAGCCCAGCTGCCTACAGCACCCAAAACCCATGATTTTCTCCCACTCGACCTGACCCTCCTCCTGGGGCTGGGACTGTGGCTGATTCACTGGGACACCTGGTGTGGCTGAGGTTTGGCTGGAGGGTGACAGAGTCTACAGTGTCTGATGCCTATGGCTCACCCTGTTGTCTCTTCTCTGGGCAAGCTCGGACCACGAATAACTATCACACCCCTGGGCCTTTGCACGGGCTTTCTGGGGGCTCTGCACACCCTCAGAAGCCTGCCCCAGCCATCAGCCCTGGCATGAATTAGGCTGAGCCTTGGGCAAGGCTTCAGAACACTCCCACCCATGAGCCCGTCTTATTCCAGGTGTCCTTAGAAGAGGAAAGGCTCAGCACATATGCCACCCAGGAAGGGGCTGGCCTGAGTAAGAACCAAATCTATAGATGAAGAGGCTTCAGAGCAACAGGTCAGCCGGGCTCCCCCAGCCACCCTACACCCTACACTGTGGTGACCCTCAGCTGTACAAACACACCACCTGCCCTCCCCAGTGAGCCTTGCCCAGCACAAGGAACTCCAAATACAGGACAGCCAGCTCCTGCCCTTCTGTGCCCAGGCCCCTGCCAAAGACTGCATGTCCCCACATCCCACAGCCAGATCCACAGCCCTGGCCCTGCCTTACAGTGTCCAGAGAGGGTGGCTAAGGAGTCCGGGGGCAAGGATGCCCTCAGCCCGGGTCCTGGGCCCAGGATGCCAAACACCCCTACCTGGTCCAGCACTCTTGTCACTTCCAGATGCCTGCCTGTTGCGTGGAGTGTCAGCTGCCAAATGTCCTGGGGACTGCAAGCTGGGTGGATAAGGCGGCACAGGCAGGGCATGGGAGTAGAGATGAGGCGTGTGGGTGTGAGCTGGGTGTAAGTCCCAAGGCCAGGAGACAGGACCTCGAGATCCTATTTGGCTGAGGAAGGAAGCCTGGGTCCTGTGCACCCTCCTTTGCATGAAGCTTAGGATTTAGCCCCAGTATAGCAGGTGAGATGGTGTGCACCTGTAATCTCAGTGCTCTGGGAGGCTGAGGCAGAAAAACTGCAAGTTGGACCCCACCCTGGGCAACTTAGAGACTCTGAGACCCTGTCTAAAAAATTTAAAAGGGCTGAGAATGTAGCTGAGTGCAAAGGCCCTGGATTCAATCCCTGGTACCAGGGAAAAAGAAAGAAAAAGGATTGAGCCAGCACCTGGTTGGTCCACACACACCTCAGCCCCCTTTCGAGCGGAGGGACCTTCACCTTAATAGCTTCACCTTCAGCTACTGAGCAGGTCGAGGGGGGCTTCTGAAATCCCGGGGAAGGAAGGTCAGGCCTGAGTCACAGCTAGCGGAGAGGGAGAGGGAGAGGGATGGAGGGGGAAAGGGCGGGGGAAACGGGAGAATCAAGAGGGAATCAGGCTTCTCTTTTCCCTGCCCCAGACCCCCATTACTGTGACAGCCCCCTCCTCTGCCTGGCCAGTGGGGTTTGGGTCCCGGCCTCCTTGGGTCCTGGCGCTGACCTTGTAACCTCTGCAGAGGAGGTTGGAGCCGTGGGAGGGTGGCCCAGCGAGGGCCGGAAGGTCAAGGGGAGACAGAGAGGTATCAGGTGTCCACTCCGAGAAGTGGGGGTCGGGAGAGGAAGCGACACAGGAAAAAAACAGGAGAGCGAGGCTGCGGAGAGGCCCAGGGCCCGGAGTGGAGTAGGGAAGGCCGTCCATGCGCAGCGGCCCAGGGTCCGGGCCGTGGACGACCTGGGCGCTCACCTGGTCACCGTGCGTCTCGCGCGCGGGCTGTGCGCCCTCTCCAGGCCCAGGCGCACCCCGATGCCGACCAGCACGAGCAGCGCGGCGACACCGCACACCGCGTAGACGGCCGTGTGACTGCGCTCGCGAGCGGGGTCCCGGGGCGGGGCGGCGTCGCGGGCGCGGGCCGGCGGGCGTCCGGTCTGCACCCAGGCGGGCGTGTCGTAGTTGGAGCAGCGGCTCTGGTCCAGGCGGCGCGGCCCGTCGTGGCAGCAGAAGCGGTAGCCGCACGTGCCGCAGCAGAAGCTGTAGGCGCCCGAGCTGCAGTTGAAGGGCGGGTCCCACTGGCCCATCACGTCGTAGTAGCCGCGGCAGCGGTCGCCCCCCGGCGGGGTCGCCGTGCTGGGCGCCGCTGGCTCCTGCGCCTCGGGGGCTCCCGAGCGGCCCGACGGCGGCCGCGCCAGCAGCAGCGCCAGGCGGAGCGCGAGTGCCAGCCGGAGCCGGAGCCCTGGCGGGCGGCGGCCACCGCTCGGTCCCCGCGCCCCAGCCCGCTCCATCGGGCCCGCGCCGCCGGCTACAGCGGTCCGCGCATGGCCGGGCGCCGCGGCTCCTCCGCGCCCGCAGGGGTCGCGCTCCCTCCGATCCCCACCCGGGCGCTTCGGCCGCGGGCTCCTCCACCGACCCCGCACCGGTGGGCGTCTCGGTCTGCAGCGCGCGGGGGTGAGCGGCGGTGGGCGCCTTTCCCGTGCTCCCCTCGGACCCGGGTGGTTACCCGCGCCCTGGATGCCGCTCCTGCTCGCGCGTGGTCCCCAGCTTCTCCGTGCCCGGCGGGGGTGTGCGTCCCGGGCCGCCGAGACCGCTGCCTTCCCGCGCTGCCCGCGCTCGGCTCCGGCTCCCGCTCGGCGCGGGCTCGGCGGGCGGGGGAGGCAGCGCCGGGAGGACGCAGGGCGGGAGGCCGGGCGGGGGAGGAGCGCGGCCGCCGGGGCGGAGGGAGGGGCGCGCGGGCCGGGGCCCCGCCGCCGGGGACCCTCCCAAGACGCCCCCAAACAGTCCTGCAGCTGGGCGCGCCCGGGACTGCTAAACTGGGACGCACGGCCCACGACAGGCGCGAGCGGGCTTTACAGGTGCGGCGGCCGAGACAGACACAGCGGGCGCGCAGCCCGGGCAGTGTCCGCGCCACTCGCGCCTCCTTTTGGTCCTCCCTGCCCGTTCTGATTGACACGAAGAGGACCCATTCCCTAGGATAAAGCTCCATCCCCAGACCCAGTCGCTGGGAAGGAACCCCTCGAGAGACAGCGCAGGGGGGAAGGCTGCTTCTCCAGCGCAGATTCACCGCAGGGCGCGCGCCGGGTTCCAGTAGCTCTCGGCCACCTGGCTGGGGTCCCAGGCTGTCCCCAGCCCCGTTGTGTCGGGATGGCCGGGCCAGTGGCCTCCTGTGATCTGCTCCCCTCCCCAACCGTAGCAAGGTGGAAATTAGACCAGCCGTGGCCTTTTAAGAGTGGGGCTGCCCCGGGCCTTGAGCAGGGACAGTGTTGGGTCGATCTGCCACTCCCAGGTCCTTCACAAGCCCGGGAGAAGCCGAGGGGAAGGACCAGGAGCAGCTCGGCCATGTTTTCAGAGTTGAGTGGAACTGGACACTGGCTGCTCCACGGCACTTCTCTCTCCCTCAGTCTCTTGAGTTCGTATCAAATACTTTAGTGGCTTGCGCCTGTAACTCCTCGCTGAGAAGCTGAGGCAGGAACATCCCTTCAGTATCAGCCTGGGCAACATAGTGAGACATTACTAAAAAAAAAAATAAACTCTTCCTTGGGCTGAGGATATAGCTCAGTGGCACAGCACCTGCCTGGCAAGCTCAAGGTCCTGAGTTCAGTTCCCCGTACAAAACAAAAAACCCACCTCTTCCTCAATAGTAAATTCCTAATCTGCCTCCTCCAGTAGGGGTGGAGGTGACAACCTCACAGTCTAGATGGCCTCACCAGGAGGGAGTGCAAGGACTGGGGTCCCAGCTCAGGTTTCTGTGGGATATTTACTGAAGAAACAAACGAATGAAAACATTTTTGCCTCTAGTTTCTGTAAGGTGATGAATGTGGGCGCTCTAGGGTCTTCTCTGCTCCTCTTTCCACATCCCCCCACCCCAGGATCCACTTAAGAGAGTGGAGGAGGTGGAGGAGGAAGAGGGAGGATTTACATGTTAAGGAGGATCAAGTCCTTCTGCCGCATGCCTGAGTCCCGGGGCTGGCAGGCTCACTTCAGGTATTAGTGGCTGAGGCTGGAAGGGGCGGACCTCCCCCTCCCGGTCTTCTCGGTCTCCCACAGCCCACGTGCCTCCCACCCAGCTGCAAGACCCTGTCCTCGTTCCAAGACTTTCCTTGTCACATTTTAGAAGGAAAAAAAATAGGTGAGCAACAGAATGAGCGAAACTGCTTTAATCCCATCACCAGAGACAGCCACCCGAGAACATGCCACACTCTGCATCCCATTTCGTAACTGGCGTTTAACATGTCTTACTGTCCGTCCACCCTTCAACTTTTCATTTGTGATTCTGTTTGAAACTGCGCGACTGTAACTTTCTGAAGCTTTCTGAGGGGCTTTTCCTGGCAATGGGCTCAGTGCAGAAACTGCAGTCCATGTTAGGGCTCTGCTGTCTGGGTCCCAGGGGCTCTGGGGTGGCTGCTCCCTCCGTGTTACTGGGCACTGGACTTAAACGTGGCTCTGCCCCTCAGAACTGTGACCTCTGCCTACGTAGGGTGACCCTACCGCTCCAGCCTGATGCTCTCCCTGAAATTTGTCTGCTCCCTGGTCCCTTTTGTCCCACTGTCCTGGCCTTGGGCCTTCTGTCAGCATCTGCCCCATGTTGATGCCGATCTTGTCTTGTAAAGGACAGCCATTTATCCAGTGAAGGAGCTGGACTCCCCCCTGCACCCAGTTTCCTCCTTGGTCTGATTCTGTGGGCTACAAGCTACCACGAATGTCCACACCAATGGGGTCTGTGCCAGGCCCTCGGTGCCCTCTCTCTATGCACATGTGGTCCTGGGGCAGTGGGGACAGGAGAGAGAATCTCAGACACCTCCTGGCTGGCCCCAAGTCCTGGATGTAGCATCCATGTAGCTGACACTGCCCCCTGACCTGTGTGCCCAGCCGTGTGCTGGGCAAGGGGATCTAGAGATGGCATAGCTCAGCCCTGGCCTCTGGGGGGCCTGTGATCACAGCAAGCATCCAGGACACAGGTCCCTTGTCTCTTCTGCCAGCCCCCCTAAGCCTGTGTCACCAAAACTCATCCATTGATCCAGGCTTAAAATAACCCCTGGCATCTGCAGTGAGCCCCGAGGAGCGGGTGGAGGAGCTGAGTCTCTGCGTCTGAAGGGCACCTACCCCGCCCCCAGCTCCTAGCGCTGGCAGCTTGGGGGTGCGGGCCTGGGTGTGTAAGCTGTGTGACTGAGAGGGCAGGTGGGAGCTATTGTGGTCACACGTGTGCAGTGCAGATGTGCCCGTGCTCATATGGCCTTCCCTCTCTACCTGGCTCTCATGATGGAAGCCTGGGGTCCTGAGAGACTGTGGTCATTAGGGAAAATGCTAGGCATTAGGGTCCCCATTTTAGATGCTGGGTGCCAGGCTACCAGTTCTGCCTTCCCTGGGAGAGAGGCTTTGGGATTTCCTGAAGAGAAACCCAGGATACAGAGAAGGGAAGTGACTGGCTGGAAAACCAGGGACTGGCCTGGAGTTTGCTCTGTGAACCCCAAACCTGTTTTCTGGTGGCCCAGCAGGGCTGGAAGGTTCTTCCCACCTCTGACAGCAGCTCCCCGGTGTGGCCACGCTGTTCCCAGTGCCCAGCTGGCTGTCATTCCTGCTAGCCAGTCTGCCTTTCTGGGCCTCAGTTGTCCCATCTGCAAGGTCGGCAGCCAGCACCTCTTTGGCCAGGATACAGGGAGAGGGCAGTGGGCCCCAGGCCAGGAAACACTGGGTACACGCAGCCTTCTGGGACCCTCACAGCAGAGCACGGTGATCGGTGATCGTGACAGCAGATGCCACTCTCAAACTAGAAAGGCCTCATCCCTAAACTCACTTCCCACTCCTCCCACGTGGAGGATTAGCCGCTAGCAGCGATTCTGGGGAGAGGACCATGGACTCCCCGCTAGTGCAAATGCCAATGCGGCACCAGGAGGGGGTCCACAGGGAGGGCAGCGCGCACGCTGCCTTTGCCTCCTGAGAGCAGTGTGACTCAGCCTCCAGCTGCCTGTAGGAGGGAGGGGGCGCCCGGGCTCCTGAGGTCGCTGGGGAGCTGAGGCCTTGAGGGGCTGGGAGCTGAGGCTTGGCCTCCCCTCGGGAACCCTGTGCACCCTCTCCGTGCACCCTGTCTCGGGAGTCTTCGGAAATCCCTCTGCACCAATTCACCCCAGGGTACGTGCACCGACCACCGCGACGCGGTGTGGGGACAGACAGGGCAGGGCACACAGCGCGGCCCCCGGGCCAGGGACTCGTCTACTGGGCCCGGATTCCGCAGATCAGAGCCGGGGTGGGTGTGGGGAGGCGCGCCCGCGCCTCCTCCTCCTTCCACCGTGCCCTGAAGTTGTTCTGTGCTACTGAAGCGAGCGCAACGCCTGAAGTTGTGGCCGCGGCTGCACCCTGCTGCCCCGCGCTGCACCCGCTCTGCTGCCCGCGGGATACTGGTGACAACCGGGCCCGGGCACCCGGAGGTCCAGAGCTGGAGGACCGCATCTTAGCCCCGCCCTTCGCCAAGCCCCTTTCCCACCCTGAGCCCGGGCCCCGCCCCTTATCCGCAACCCAACTGGACAGTTCCGCAGCCCCGCCCCGGTGGCTCCGCCCACCTGCCGCTCCCCTGGCCCCACCCCCTCGGTCTCCTAGGCCAGCTGCTGGCGGTCAAGGTGGAGTTGACCGCAGGAGCCGCGCAGGTCAACTTTCACCTGCCCCCGGAGTCCTTGCGGGATCCCCAGTCAGGGCTGGATCCCATGTTCTCTGCGGTTTGGGGACGTGGAGACGTCCAGTGGCCCTTTGGGTCCAGGAGGTCCACCACTCCCCGCCCTCCAGCTGCTGTGCCCTGAGGATTCCCGGACAGTTACACGGGCGTCTGTGTCCTCCCAGATCCTCGCTGACCCCGCGTCCCTAGGTGGTCGTCCCCGTGGAACTCCAGTCCGTCCTGCTCCCCTGGCCTGCTGGCGGCCTTCCCCAGCCCTGGCCCTGCAGGCCCCTGTCTACTTTCATCTCGAAGGAGCCTCATTTTGCAGAGGCGGAGCCAAGCCCAGGACAAGGCTGGGGGCTCCCTGCTGAGACGAGTGAGGGTCAGGTCTCCTTCGACTCCCAGCTGGGCAGCCCCAGCCCCACCCTGAGCCCTGAACCGTGGCTGCCAGGCAGGAAATGAAAGGGGCCTGCAGGAAACCCCAAGAGGAACCAAGACTTCGGCCGTCCCGCTCCCACTTGCCGGGCCCTGGGGACCCTGGGGAAACCAGACCCTCTTCTGGGAGAAGCTGACCAGAAGTGGCCTCTGGGATTGGAGACGCTTCCTTCTGTCCCCACCCCAAACAGTCCTTCTGGAGACTGTCTCGGAGCCTCTCACCACAAAGTGAGGCCTGCTGGGAGGAAAATCTCAGTAGTGATGAGAGCAAGGGGTGAGCCCTCCCCAGTCTGGCCCCGGAGCCACTGTCCCAAGGAGGGGCCCTCGGCCTATGGCCTTCTACTGGGCCGGAACCGAGAGTGCCAGCCCACCACCGACTGCCCTCTGTGACCAGGCCATCCTCCACCTCTCTGGGCCTCTCTCCTCCAGTCTGCAGAAAGGTCAGCACTGTCCCAGGCCATGGACTCAAAATACTCCGCATTTGCCACCAACATGATGGTTCTTCTTGGTCAAAGCTTCAGGCAGCCCTCCTTCCGAGAACCCGAGACTTTCACAAAGAGCAAAGATTTCCGAAGGAGGAGCCGTTCCCTGGCTCTGTTCAATAGCAAGGACAGAACTAACCCGCCAGGTGCTCAGGTGGAAACCTTGACGCATGGTGAAAACCGTACCGAGATGTCGAGCAGAGGTGCTTACTGCGTGTGACAGGCAAGGACGGGTTTAGTTTCTGATTTTTATTAGTGCGCATTCACAGAACACAAGGATGACATTCCGGGGGGGGGGCGGTAGCTGGACATGACACATTGGGATTCTTTTCATGTCCTCTCCTCCCATTTTTCCTGCAAATATTTATGTGTAAAACAATTATCATTAAAGGACAACAATACCCCACATGTCCCCCTGGGTCTGCTGGATGTGGGTTAGCACGCTACAGATTCCATCTGCATTAGCAGCCGGAACCTTCCAGCTTGTCTGTAAAACACGACTTTTTTAAAATTAAAAATAACTTTTTTCAGAATTGGGAGTTGAACCCAGGACTTTCGTGAGCTATATCCCTGACCCTTTTTTATTTTTATTTTTTGAGACAGGCTCTCACTATGTTTCCCTGGCTGGGCTTGAACTTGCAATGCTCCTGCTTCAGCTCTCAGAGCACTGAGATTACAGGCGTGCACCGCTACACTTGGCTAAAAGCTTTTCTTTTTAACCAAACACAGATGATCACATACACCCCTCCCTCGCTGTTACGAAGATGAAATGCAGTATCAACAGGAAGAGTCCTTAGCAAGGGACACGTCAGCCAGAGCAGGGGAAGGAGGGCCGATCTCACTCCCTGGGGTCCGTAAGGGGGCACTGCACCTGCCCCTTGTCTACCTCTCCTGGTCTCTCTTGCTTCTTTCCCAAAACATCCTGCTATTTGCTGAGACAGTGGTGCCAAGTCCTTTCCCCTGCTGGGCCTCAGTTTCCTCATATGTGAAATGGGGATTTGTATGTGGGCAGGCTCAAAGGTTTCTTCTCAACCTTCTCTGGAGGCCACAAGCCAGGGTCAGAAATGTACATCCAGACTTCATTTCTCAGAAGAGCAAATGAAGCCCATTGAGTCTGGGACCATGTGCAAGCCAGGGGTTGAGCTGGGACAGGAGGCACTAGGAGTTTGTGTGTCTAGGCCTGGGGTTTCATTCTTCCACCTTCAAAGCCTGGACTGGCTGCAGTGGAGAAGGTATGGAGCAGGGTAGGGGTGGCCGCTGACAGCTCGGATTCCCCCAGCCCTCAGCGAGAAGCCATCTGTCCCTACCTCACTCGCCTGGCTCCCTGAGACTGGGCATCTGAGCTGGGTTCAGAGAGGGACAGCCACACAGGGACTTGGACATGAATGACCAGTCCTGGAGCCCCACTGGCCAGGTGCCTGGGCTGGCCAATGGATGGGCAGGAGCCAGGCACCTGCCAGGCCCTTTTGGTGGGCGGCGCATGGAACTGAAGCTGGCCAAGGACCCATATAGGAACAAAGGAGACCAGGATCCCATCTTCTGCTCCTGGCCCAGTGCTCCTCCCAGTGAGGCACTTGGCTGTGACGAATTCTGAGAAGCTGTCTGGGGTGGCATGAGATGCAGCCTGGGCAGGAGAGGCTGGCACGGATTGGACCTGGAAAGAGGGGATCATGGTCCTAGGCCCATGCACTAGCATCACTGTCAGAGGGCAAGAGGTGGGCACGGGGTGGCATAGGATGGTTAAGGGAGCTCAGGACTTGGGGCTCAGCACAGAGAGAAACAGAAACAGGTGCTCAAGCAAAGGGGTCAGTGGACCTCAGGCCCATCCAGTTCAAAGCCGCAGGCCACCCTTGCCTCTGTTCAGAGAGCTCCCTCTAGGTTTTGGGCCTTGCCAGTGCATGACTGAGAGGCAGTGGGGCCTCCAGGCAGTCTCAGTCTCAGTCTCTCTTGTTGGAGACAGGGTCTTGCCCTGTAGCCCCGGCTGGCCTCAGACTTGCAGTGATCCTCCTGCCTCAGCCTCCCAAGTCCTGTGAATCTAGCCATGCACCCCCATGCCTGGCTTTTCCCAGGCAATCTCTGGGGTTGCTTCCTGTCAGGATACCCCTTCTGTTTGAGTCTGGAGTCCAGTCCTAGAGCCTGTGCAGGTTGTGGCTCTGAAAGTGACCACCAAGATAGAAACATCATTTTAGTCCTGGCAGATTGGGATGAGCCCAGAGTTGCCCCAGGGATGCAGACACCTGAGTCAGCAACCCTGCACAGCCTTGTTTCTTTCATGCTGGTTATAATGGGTGGGTGGGTGGGTGGGGGGCTGAGACAGGGTCCCACTATGTCAGCCAAGCTGGCACTGAACTTACAATCCTCCTGCCTCAGCCTCCCTAGTGCTGGGTTTACAGGCATGCACTCCCATGGCTAGCTTTTCCTAGTTATTGCTACAAGATTATTAAGAGGTTGGGGCCTCAGCTCAGAGGTACAGTGCTTGCCTGGCATGCATGAAGCCCTGGGTTTGATCCCCAGGACCACAAAAATAAAATAAAACAAATATAAAAAAAAAAGCCAACTAAAAATATTGGTGCACTAAATCCTAAAGTGAAACCATCAGCTGGTTACTCATGGCTGCTACTTGCATAAGTTTAAAAGCAGAACAGCTCTGACAGCAAGGATTAAAAAGCTGTAACACTGAAGTACAAATTAAGTGTCCTCCCACGTGGCTTTTCAGATTCATTGTGGCTTTATGGTGCTGTCCCTACTGTAAAAGAAAAGTCTCTCAGTCAGTCCCTGTGTTAGTCTGCTGTGTTACTACAACAAACTCTCTGACTCTGGTAACTTTATAAAGAAAAGACCTCGGTCTCTCTTTTTGCAGTGCTAGGAAGCAAATCTAGTTGTGCGCTACGTCTGAGCTGCATCGTACCTCTTTTAATTTTGTTTCACAGGACTGGAACTCATGAGCTTCCTGCCTCAGCCTCCCGAGTAGTTGAGCTGACAGCCCTGGCTGTCACTTTGTTTGTGGTGCTCACAGTTGCAGAGGTCCGAGAGTCCACCTCCAGTGACGACCTTGCTGGCTGAGTCTCCAGGTGGCGCGGTCTCTCCTGGTCTCTCTCCTGATGAAGCCACCCGTGTGCAGTCACAGCCATCGTCCTTGTCACCCACCTCTGAACACTGCAGTCTGCTCAGGTTTTCACCCTTTTAATACCTCGCAATGGGGATGCTCTGGATACGCGAAGCTCTGGGGCACACACTCAACCGCGTCCAAACCCAAGCACTCTGGGCTGCGGGAGCCCTGTGTGATCTGTGAGGTTGTAGGATCCAAATCTGGTGCTGACAGCGAGCCGCTCTGGCTGGCTGCACAAGGCAGCCCGGGTCCCAGGCAAAGGGCCGCTGGCCCTAGGTGAGGGTCCCAATCGTTTCCAGGCCCTGGGTCGAAGCCTGGAAGCAGGACAAGGTCCTCTCCTGTTCCCTCTGGGCTACTGCTGCTCGGGGCCAGCTGTCTTGGTGGTGACCAACTCAGTGGAGCCCAGCTCTGTGGCGGGAACGGGGACACTGTGGCTAGATGGGGTGGTGGCCGGGTCTTCTCTGGGTGTAGGCCAGTCGGGAGCAGAGGCATCAGGGGTTCCCGAGGAGAGGATGTAGACGCTGTCCAGTGGCTCTAGAGTGGGCAGGGCAGGGGACATAGAGGGTCAGTGTGACCCGGCCTGTTCTGGAAGGTTCCTCCTGAGGGACAGCCCTCTGTGATGGAGTAGAGAGGGGCGGCCATGACAGGTCCTCAGGACAGGAAGTGCTGAGTGCAGAGGCCTTGCCGGGGGCTGGAGAAGGGGACAGTGGAAGAGGGGAAGAAAGCCCACCAGCCACCCCGCAGAGCTTCCTGGGACCTCAGACAGGCTCTAGTCCCCAAAGGCCAGGGTCCCCTAAGGGCCAGCTCTCCCAGGCTGGTGCTTCCAGGATACCCAGCATAAGACTCACCATCCTGGCTTTTTTCTAGTGCCTCCTGAGTCCTGCGCTGCCGCCACTTCCAGCTCACCAGGGCCACCAGAACTAGGGCCAGGAGCAGTGCCAGGCCCAGCAGCACAGGGGCCCCAAAGAGCAGTCCAGGCATGGGCAGCATGGCCTCGGGGGTCCCAGCGCCCACCGACTCTTGCGGCTGCAGCACCGTCCCGGGTGCCTGGCTGCTGGCCCCTGCTGCTGGCGGAGGGGACAGGGAGGAAGGCTGGTGGGTGGAGGGGAGGAATGACCGAGGGCTGATGGGAGGTGAGGCTGGGTGGGCAGGAGGGACAGCGGGCGGGGGGGACAGGGGAGGGGAGAGGGGGTGGTGAGACCATGTGGTGTCCACTGGTCCTCGGGCCCATCACCCCATGACCTGACCTGGTTGGCACAGTGGGGCCCCCCCCAGCAGGACCTCCTCTGTGGGGCCTCCCAGGCCATGTGGCAGGGACCTTCTCTTACCAGCTCTGGGCTCTGGTGTGCGGAGCAGCCTGCAGGACACACAGTGACGGACCAGGTGGTCAAAGCACTCGGTCTGGACACAGCGCGTGGGCGCTGGCCCGCTCATGCCCTTCAGGCTCCTGCTCCCCGGCCCCATGGTGCTCCAGTGTCTCACACAGCTGGGTTCTGAGTCTCCAGCTGCGTGAGAGGAGAGGAAACCCAGAGGCCCCGCCCTGTCCGCTGGGAGGGACTGCTGGGGTAGGACCAGCGCCACCAGGCCCTGCACCCCAGACCTTCTCTTTCATTTGTGGTTCCCCCATCCAACCACTCAACCGTCACCCCCAGACGCCAGCTGGATGGGCGCTCCGCCTGGCACTGGGCTGCACTGGGGGTCAGACAGGAGCTCTGCTCTGGTCCCCAGACCCTGGGGGACACAGACCTCAGAATGGACCCTGCTGTGCTTCACTAGGGTCACTTGTGGCCAGCCCCTCCCCCTCCTTCTCTGCCCTCCCCAAAGCTGGTACAGAGCTGGTCCAGGACATCAAACATCTCAGCAACAACAAAAAGCCAAAGAATCAAAAAAGAAACACAAAAAACAACCCAGGCCTGGTGGTGCATGTCTGCAATCTCAGCATGTGAGGGACGGAGGCAGGAGGATTGCCACAAGCGCAAGGCCACTCTGGGCTGCATAGTGAGACAAAGAACTCCCCAGACTGGCCGTGGCAGGGCAATTTCACCATTCTGGAAGGCTGAGACAGGAAGATCATTGTAAGTTTGAGCCCAACCTGGCAACAGTGACTTAGCCCTTGTCTCAAACTAAAAAATAAAGGGCCAGGGATGGAGTTCAGTGTGAAGGGCCTGGGTTTAATCCACCAAAAATGATGTCAACACCACCACTGCCACGACCACTGCCATGGCTCCAAAGTGACGACCCGGCCTGCGTAGAGTCCCCTGCACTGTGATGGAGCGGGGAGGGAGGCAGAAGGTGCCTCACCTGCCCCAGTCTCGTCTCCTTCCCCCTGGGTGCCACACTCCCTCCCTTGGTCCCCTGACCTCCTCCCTGTCCCCTCTGGCAGCAGTGGGAGTGGACAGCCAGGAGCCTCCTGCAGGCACAGAGTCAGGGGCTTCCTGTACAGTCCCCACAGGGGACACAGGAAGGCTTGAGGGAGGGAGGTGCAGATGAGCTGGTCAGGGGAGATGATGAGCACCCCCCAAGGCCCCGGGGCCCAGCCGGGAAGGCCAGGAGAGCACAGGCAGCATGAGTGAGTGGAGCGTTGTCAGACGGGCTGGAGGACCCGGAGGCGCCACGCAGGGCTTGGGGCAGGGAGTGTCCCGTTAGGGTGTAAGATCCAGAGAAGCGAGGAACCTATGGCCCTGCAACTCCATGTCCCAGGGCTGTGTGTGTCCCCACCTTGTCTCCTCACCCTGTCCAACACAGTCTCCCTCCCTCAGGGCAAGAAGCAATCTCCCCTCCCCCAGCACTCAGCGGTGGGGGCACAGTGCGGGGGGGAGAAACAACTATTTAGGAGCTTGGGGACGAGGGACACCCACAGTGGATGCCCAAGGTAGGGTGCCAGGCAGGCGTGACGACATCGGGAGCCCTGGGGTGGCAATGAGTGCGTGGGCAGCACCCAGGCTGCGGAGGACTGGCCTGGCAGTGCAGAGCGAGTTGAGGCCCTCCCTGGCTGCCACAAACTGGAGGTGGATGGAGCGGCCAGAGGCCAGAGGCCAGGTGCCATGGCCTGGGCAAGGGACAAAGGTGTGGCAGCGGACTCGAGTAGAGGAGCACGGCCAATCCTGGGGGCTCTGGCTGGAGAGACCTAGGACTCCTGCAGCCCCCCGGGGCCATGCTGCAGGCCAGGCACTGCCCCCCCACCCGCTGCCCATGGTCCAGCGCCCCGGCAGGAAGGTGTAGGCGGCAGGGCGGCTGCAAAGGAGAAGTGGCGGGGAGGTGCGTGTGGGCGTGAGGGGGTGGGGGGCTGAGGCAGGGGTGCAGGGCAAGGATGGCCCTTCTGGGACAGAGGATGATGGGCCACCACCCACACCCATCTCTGTCGCCGCCGTTCCTCCCTGCACTCCTTAGGGACAGAGCCTTACACAGCAGGTGTCCCGTGAGGCCCTTATGTTGGACCAGGCTGAGCAAGCTGAGGCTAGAGGGACCCCAGCAGTGGGAGACCCGGCCCTGGGAGAGGGCAGCCCGGCAGGCTGCACCAAGGCTGCCTGCCACCTCCAGCCTCTCAGGCCCCATTCAAGAGGGGAGCTGTCACCCACAGCTCCTCACCTCGGACAGGGAGGGACAGAGCTGTCACCTGACTCACATTTACTGGGTACGTTCTATGAGTCTGCGCAGAGCCAAGTGCCAGGGACCAAGTGGGAACAGCAAAAGGCCTGTGGGATCCGGCTGACCCCAGCTGAATCTCTTCACTTGGGCCTCTAAGTAGGGCCTGGGGCTATGGCAAGCCTTGAATCTTTGGATGACTTAGTGATTAAAAACAGAAATTTCACCAACGTGGGAAATGTTAGGTTACACGTGAATATATTCCTTTTCATAGCTCCCCTGCCCTCTTTCTGAGACACGGTCTTGCTAGCCCAGTTTCAGGCTGGCCTAGAATTTGAGCTCCTTCTGCTTCAGCCTCCCAAGTGCTGGGATTACCAGCATGTGCCACAGTACTGGTCTTACATCAAGCTTGTTAATTTTGTTTTCAGGATTGAACCCATAGTTCCTGCATGCTAGTCAAGTGCTCTACCACTGAGCTACCTGCCTAGCTGTTTTTAATTTTGTAACAGGGTCTCACTGTGTTGCTCAGGCTGGCCTTGAACTTGCAATCCTGCCTCAGTCTCCCGAGTAGCTGGGATTGCAGGTGTGCAAACAACTTTATTACTTTCTTCATTCAAGTCTTGGACATAAATATCTGCTTATCGTAAAGGATACAACTCAGGTACAGCCAGAGGACATTTAGGGAGGGAATGCTTTCTACATCTTCTCTGGGTGAGTGTCACCCTGGGCCTCCCTCCCAAGTCCTCCATGTGTCTACCAACCCGGGAGCTCTTACGGGTCACTTTGAGAGTTGCTCAAGGGAGGAAAGTTAAAGTTTCTAAAATCAGTGTAACTTTTTCTTTGTTCTGTTAAAGAACTGTTAAGTACAGCGCCTGTGCTCCAGTGATCCTCCTGCCTCAGCCTCCAGAGGAGCTGGCATGCGCCATGCCCAGCCCTGTAGTGTTTACTTCAAATGCTGACACGTGACCTCAGTGCATTCCTGAATCGGAAGGGACCTTACGGTGAAACTCTTCTACTTTAATCCGTCCCATGTTCTTTTCATTCACTGAATACTTTCTTTTACCAGATGATTCAGTTGGGGTTCGTCAGGGAGGACACTGCCTTTCATCTTTGCCCTCTAAAATCCCCCCAAAACGAAGTGAGATGAAGAAACAGGCTTTGGGGGGTGAAGGGCTTTCCCAGAATGACCCAGCAGATAGAGTGCCCACGTCTGGAGACAGGGAAGGGCAGTGGGGCCGCTGCGCTGTGGGACGAGCCTTGTTGGGGGTGCAGTCCCCGGAGGGCAGAGGCCCAGCCCCCTGACTGGATGTGAAACTGCGCCGACACCCGGGACGCGCTCCAAGCTTCACAATGAGTCGCAGTCATAATTAGGGCAGCGATGGCTGAGCGGGTTCTCATGAAAAGCCCAGAAGCTGGGAGGAAGGGGCGGTGCCCAGGCCCGCAGGGAGCCTCGGTGGCAGGTTTGTGCCTTTGTAATCCGGGGGCAACATATGGAGGCCTTGACAGAGATGGGCTGGCGTTTTGGCATGGGGTGATCCCTGGGGACTCCTTTGCCCAGCTCCAGTATTACTTTGGGTTTCGGACCTGAGGGTGGCAGGAGTGGCAGGGCGCATGCACACTGTGAGGCCTAAGCGGGAAACCCTGGCCTCAGCCCTGACTGCCAGGAAGGCCAGATCACATGGATCTGCGCTGTCCACACGTGTGCACACGCACATTCTCCGGCCCCGCAGGTTCCCAGCTGGGCAGCCATTCTCAGAGCACGGCCCTGGGGAGGGGGACATGGCTGTCCCTGTGGGCTGGGGTCCCCACCTCCAGGGGCCATGCAGTGGTGTGTGGCTGGAGGAGGCTGAGGCCAGGTGGTAGGATGGAGGCTGGAGCAGGAAACTCCACAGGGCCCTGTCCCCCAGCGGCACCACATAGGAGGGACAAGGAGCCGCTGGTTCTTCCTGCGGCACAGCTGAGCCCATGGGCAGACGCCTCAGCACCTACTGAATGCTAAGTGAGCCCCCCAAGTGGTTAGGTTCTGGGCAGCAAGAGAGAAACAGAAACAAAACCCAAGCAGGACAGGATTTAGCGGGCAGGGGTGAGGTGCGCTCTGGCACCTCCTTGTCCTGAGAGCTGGCTCCTGTGCAGACATTGAGTGCTGAGGACGGGCCATTCATTGTCCCTCATGGAGCTGGTCCACAATGCCTGGGTCACACCGAGGCGGGATCACAGGGCTGGGCTACCTCACTGTCCCTCTTCACCCCTTCTGGCCTGGGGAGGTTGGAGGGACAGGGTTATAGCAGCTCGTGCCCCAGACAAGGTGAGCCCTGCCAGGGGGCCTGGAAGCCTGTGTGCTGGAGACAGGGCACAGGGCTGTCCTGGGGCTGGGCAGGGTGTACTGCACCCGAGCTGGCCAGCCTGCCAGGCGACTGTCCTGGGAGGGTGGATACCGGGCAGCCTGAGGTCAGGCTCTTTTGATTCTCAGCCCCTGGGGGTCCAGGTACAGCAGGTGGGGTTTGGGGGGAAGTGACCGGCCCAGGTCACTGTGGGACTCCCGGGCTAGCTCCTTTCCCAGTACCACTTCCTCTGTGGCCAGGTGCCAGCGCCTGCCAAGACAGCAGAGCCCCAGTGCCAGCCTGCAGGGCGCCCTCCTCACTGCAAGGATGGGAGTTCACTGGGAGGGCTTCAGCTCACCGCAAGGAGATGGCTTAAGGAGGCAAACAAACCTGTGCCCTTAAGCAAAGCCTGCCAGATTCTCAGACATCGTACCCAGACCACAGGGCCATGAAAGCCAGGTTCATGAAAGCCAGGGGTTCCTGTGGCTTCCAAGCCCAGCAGAGGGAGCATCACCCATGAGGGGGCCCTCAGGCTGCCACACATTCTATCCTGCAGCGTGGGGTCCTTGCCCACTCTGAGAAACCACGTCAGGGCTGGGCTTGGCAGTACACACCTATAATCTCAGCACCAGGTAAACTGAGGCAGGAGGATCACTACGAGTTTGAGGCCAGCCTGAATGACACAGAGACCTTATCAAATAACCAAGAAAACAAAAATCGGCCTTCAGTCAGCGAGACCCATTCCATAGAAGCGAGCAGCTTCCCTGAGGCCAGGCTGTCCTGCTACAGCCATGCCAGCTTCCTGTTCTTCCCACTGGAGCCCCAGGTGCCACTCCAGGCATATACTGGGCACCAGGATGGACCCATTACCTCCCTGACTCCTCCAGGACATTGCCATGGGCCTCCAGGTGATGGGAAGCAACCACTCCCTGTCTGTCCATCCCTGGCCTTCTGGGGACAGCAGGTCTGAAGGCTGTCATGTACATTTACTCGGTCCTACTGGGAGGCAGGGGCAGGCCACCCCCATCCTGAGGCGGTCTCTTGGTTCCAGGACCTGCCAAGCTCGGCAGGAAGCTGGCAGCAGTAACAAGTCGCGTTTCCCCAGCACTTGGAAGGCTCCCAGGTCCTCGCTGGAGAGTGTGATGCCAATTCTCTTGTTAAATGGCACCAGGTGGCAAAGAAAATATGGTACAGGGACCTGGGGTGAGAGGTGCACCCCATGCTGGTTGGGGGCAGGGGCAGGGTTGTGGGAAGGCTCCTGTCTGTAGGACAGGTAACCTGTCCAGGAGAGGGAGCAGGCTGTGTCCACACGGCGCCCTCCCCAGCAGTCCCTGAAGACCTAGCCCAGCCCAGAGCCCTGCACAGCCCCCTTTAGAGCCCTGGACACTGAGGGAGCTGAGGGCAATGTGTCCCCAGGCCCTCTAAAGCAGGCCACCTCCTGGAGGGACCCTGTCCCACCTCTCGTGTCCCCAGCTCAGGCATGCCCAGCAGAGAAGCCACAACACCGGCCAAAAGACACACAGGATCACCGGGCTGGCTCTGCTGCACCTGGCTGTGTGATAGCAGCCACATCCCGATGACAACAGTCTCAGTTTCACGAACTGTGAAATGGAGAAACATCAGTGACCTCACAGGTCTGCTGGGGGGTGAGGGAGCGGTTGCCGTGTGAGAAGAGCTCGGTGGAGCGTGATATGCCTGCAAATGTCAGGTGACACATGGGGCCTCAACCGGAATCCACACAGCTGAGGTCCTCAGTGGGGCCCAGGGGCTACCTCGGAGCCAGCCAGGTATGAACAAGGCCTTGCTTCACACATGCGACTGGGACAGGTCTGACCCTTCCAGCACTGGCAAGGGTTAGAAGCTGGCCTGTCCTCCAGAGAGCAGGACCCTGTGCACTGGTGACATTGGTGACACCAGAGCCAGGGTGTGCTGCCAGGGTGTTAAGCAGGGCTGGCCTGGCGCTGAGAGCAGGAAGCACCCGGCTCTCCCTGGGAGGTCCCTTTTGCCAGGCCACCCTGCAGCCCCAAGCTGTGGGTGTCCTCTCTCCCTGTGGTGGGTGCCGAGGCTTTGATCTGGATGACAGGGTTCCAAGATCCTCACCCCAGCCCTCCCACGGGTACTGAGCAGACGCAGTAGGCAGCAGTCATGGTGTACCCTCCCCCTGCGAAGCAGGACCCTGCAGCCAGCTCCTCAGAGCCCACACCCCTCCGCCTGTGGTGGCACGGTTCCCAGCTAAGCTCAGCTCTGCTGGATTGCAAATAGCGGTGTTCCCCGAGCACCTCTCACTGGCACCTTGAGATCCAACAAGCAAACGCACTCACCCTCACTGTGACACACGGCGGTGAGCAGACCATCTCTGTTTACCCGAGGAAACTGTGGCTCCTGGGGCAACAACCAGTTTTCCAGGAAAATGGGGTCCCTCTCAGCTCATGCAGTCCACAGCTCGCCCACCCCCCAACAGTTCTAGGTCCGTCTCCTCATCGGCACAGTCACAGTGGATGCCACCTCTGATTCTCAGATCCTTTCTGGACACCACACCTTTGCTCCAGTGAAATCCTAAGTGGTGACCTGTGTGTCCTGCAGTGAGGAGCCAGCTCCGGCAGGGCGGGTGCGGGGTAGGAGGGAGCAGCCAAGCGGGGCCCTCACAGCTCCTCGGGTGGGGGGCTCTCGGAGCCCCGCAGCAGGGACAGCAGGTTCAGCGCCGAGACGCCCGGCACGTGGCCGGCGCAGATCTGCAGCATGCGCACCAGGCGCTGTGCCAGGCTGGCACGGAAGGCGTCCACCTGCAGGGAAGGCGGGCAAGGCTGTGAGCAGGCCGGGCAGCGACGGGGCGCCAACCTGCACCCCACCACTTGTCACTCATGACCTCCTTAGCATCACATCCAGTGGGGACTTCTCGGTCACCGGAATGCGACCCCTGTGTTCCCGCCCCCGTGAAACACTCCCGTTGTGGCGCCTGCCACCTCACACTGTCCCTCCTGGGTTTCCAGGCTCGGTCTTGGATTTTGCCTCCCACACTTGATCCCTCGGTGACATCCCCTTCTGCGGCTCTGACGCCACCTCACTGACATCATGTGAGTTACTGCTGACCTCTCTTGTGCGCAGCTGTGAGCTGAGCCTCCCCTCAGACTGTCACTGGCCACCTCGTCTCACGGTGTCACACCAGAGGCCCTGGACTGGCCCCGCAGTTCTGCTCGTTGCTGCCGAAGGCCAGAAACTACTACCGCCCCTGACTCACCTTTCTGTCACCTCTCATGTCTGGCTGTCAGTACATTCTGTCCCCTCCTCCCAGGAAACAGCCAGTGTGATGGGCCAGCCCACTGCCCTCCTCCACGGCCACCATGAAGCCCAGGCTGCTCCCACCTCCTACCTCTCCCTCAGCGGCCTCTCCTTGGGGCTCAGAAGGGCCTCTGTTCCCACAAGTCTGCTCGCATCAGGCTGGTCTGAATCTCACCCCATTTCCTCCACTGGGTCTCCTCCCCGCTCCCCTTTGCAGCACTGGGGTCTCATGTGCTCCACCACAGGGCTACACCTCTTACTATGGTACCTGGGCCGGTCTAAGTTTCTGGGCTCAAATGTCCAGATGGGACACCTGCTCCTCCCGGGAAGCTGGAGGCCACAGGTGCCATCACTGCCCCACACCAGGGTTTTCCCTGTGTTCTGTGCTGCGCCCCAGTGCCTACAGTGGCTAACGAGCATATGTGAGGAGTAGCTGTTGGATGAATCCTCCCGAGCAAAGTCCTCTGGCCTTTGCCCCAAAGCCCATCTTCAGGCTCCAAGCTGCCTCCTGCTGGCCAGGCCCCCTCCTGGCCACACACCCTCTTCAGAGACAAGGCAACAGCCCAGGTCTCACCACGGTCATGACCGCTCCCCTGCAAATCCTCCTGCTGTTGCCAGCATTACATGTCTGACTCTCACTTTGTCTCTAGCTTCTGAGGGGTCAGGGCCAGCGTCAACACCACCTGTGTGTCCTGCTGCAAGCACCCCTGGCCGGGTCACGCCTCCCCGGCTATGCTTCTTGCCACCGGAGGGCGCGCTCTGGGAAGAACGCACAGCCCTGTGGAGTTCTGAGGGCCCGAGCACGGTGGGCTTCCTCTGAAGGGCGCAAGTCCAGGCTCTGAAAGGCCAGTTCTGCAGCCCATATGCAGGCTGGAAAGGGCTGGACCTCTGCTTCCTACACAAGTCTCTTCTTCAGACAGTTTTCAGGCTAGAAGGGGCCTGGACCTGGTATGGGCTGCCACCTCACGGCCACACACGGAACTGCACCGCTTGCGACAAGTTTAGCAGGTGCATGGCCACCTACACAGGCTCAAGAGTTGTGAACACAGATGGTTCTCCAATTAGAGGAAAGAAAACTAAGGCAGAGGGGAAGCCTCCAGGGGAAGGTGGCTTATTCAAGCCACACGTCAGCAGACTACGGTGGAGTGGCAGCTGGATAGCAGCTGGCTGGCACTAACTTACAAGCTGTGACAACTTCCCCCGTTTGCTCTGAGGAAAGTCTGGCAGGGGAGGCGCTTCCAGTGTGCGAGGGCTTCAGGATTCTGTCCATAAGATCCATGGTGGGTTTTAAAAACAGTCACCCAGTTTGCAAACAAACTAAAGAAACCTGGGTATGGAGGTGCACGCCTGTGACCCCAGCACTCTGGAAGGCAGAGCCGGCAGGGGGCTGGGGGACATCAGGCACCCTGACTACTAAGGAGACATGGGGACACACGGGTTAGCAGAACACACGTGGCACCTGGTCTCAGAAGCAGGGCAGCGAGATACCAGTCCAGATCCCAAGTGGACACACGAGACTTCCCGAGGTGCAGAGAAGCCACAGGAGGCTGAGCAGAGGACCCAGGATCTTGTGACACCCTACGCATCAGAGTCACCTCACCTGGGCATTCCTGGAGTGTCCTTTTCCCGTGCCCTTCCCTGTACCCCAGTGTAACACCTGCCACTGCAATCAGTGTGCTCACCTCGAGGTCACAGAAGAGCAGGGGGCTTCGGTAGGTGCGGGCCAGCTTCCTGACCGTGTTGTGGTGGACACTGCAGTGGCTGTCCTGCCCGGCTGCAAAGAGGCCAGAAAGCTGCAGGCTGCACCCAGGGGCCATCAGGCAAAGCAATCACTGCCCTCTTATGTGGCAGTTTCTCACTAGTCCTGATCTACACATTCCCTGGGCAGCCGAGACCATCAATTAGACAACAAAGCTGACTGGGCTTACAGGGAGTGCTCTGTGCATGCACAGGATGCCACAGGAAGTGCGCCTGGCCTGTGGAGTGACTGAAGCACCAGTGAATCCCCACCGGGAAGTCACGGGTGCTTTTTATTCACCAGTGCTTACCGAGGGTGAGCTACACCGGGTCCTCCCTTCAAGGTCACAGTTTAGCGCGAGAGGCAGACAGATCACACATGTCACCCCCTAGGTGCCCACAGGAATGCAGGAGCTGAGTCTTGAAGTACTCGCAGGGTTAGTGAGACAAAGGCATCAGAGTGAGCACTTAGCCGCAGGGCCGCGGGCAAAGTGCTTAACCTCATGACGATCTCCTCAGTTACAGAACTGAGCTGCGACCTCCCGCAAAGGGTCATGACAGAGAAAACAAGGCGGTGGTAAATCTGGACTGGTGCAGTGAGAGCTCAGTATGCGCCAATGGTCACCACTTCTGCTGCCAGAGAACGACAGCTGACTCCAGGATTGAGTGCAACAGGGGTGCTCTAGACACAGCGGCAGAGGCAGAGAGCCCAAGCCTGTCTCAGAGGTGGGGTCTGGCTCTGAGCTGCAGGACCGGGCAGCAGCGGTTACCGCTCACACTGGGAGGCCAGGTCCTGTGGCACCAGGGCTGCAGCTCTCCTTCGGGGGTGACAGGTGAGGAGGGGCACACTTACCACCCGTGGCCAGGAAGCACACCCTGCCCAGGAAGAAGCTGGTGTCCATGTGGTGCAGGGACGCCTCTGCGTTCTGCAGGCTGCGGGGGCCGGGAGAGAAAACAAAGGAGACAACAGAACTTCACCACAGGGACAGGAGAAGCCCCTGCTCCCCAACCCGAGGGGGGGGGGCGAGAAGAGGGTCCCAGAAACACCCCTGAGGGAACACTGTCCTTTAGTTAAAAAACAAACCCCAAAGCTACTTTCCATCGCAAAGCGACTCATGCTTGTAACATAATCAAATAGTAAATCCAGGGGCAGATGCAGAGAGCAAACGTTCCTCTCCCAGCACACCCCCCACCCCAGCTCCCCAGAGGAGACAGAGGGGGTGACTCTTACAACTTCTTGCTTGCTCATGCAAAGACAGCAGGTTGTTTAGGTGTCTACCTCTTGGGTACAAGAACCTGGCCAATGCTAAATTGGGACTGGTCTCACAGAGACCCCCAGATAAAATGCAATTCCCATGATGCACTATTAAAAAAGTGGAGAGGTCCCTGGTTAGAGATGGGCTTCGGGGTGTTTGGGATGAGAGGAGCTCTGGGCTGAATCCTGGGCTTCCACGGGGAGAGGAAGAGATTACACCTGTGCTCTCTCTCTCACCACTGCCAGCATGAGGGCCATCACCAGACGCGGCCTTTTGACCTGACACCTCCACAACTGTGAGGCAAAATAAATCTCCTTTTTTTCTTTTCTTTTTTGCAGTACTGAGGATTGAACTTTTTTTTTTTTTTAATCAGTACCAGGGGTTGAACTCATGACTGCCCGCTTGCAAGGCAGGCGCTTATGCCGCTGAGCTAAATCCCCAGCCCCTGAGGATTGAACTTTGAGACTTAGTACTGAGCTATATCCCCAGCCCTTTTAGATTGCTAAGTGATTAAATTGTCCAGGCTGGGCTTGACTTTGAGCTCTTCCTGCCTCAGCCTTCAAGAGTGCTGGTATCACTGGCGTGCACCTCTCTTTTCTATAAAGTAGCCTGCCTGTCATGGTTTATGTCTGTGGCCTCCAGGCCTCATGAGTTTGCATTGTTCATTTGTGATGGTTCATGGTATAGTGCTTGGATTGAGGGTGTCAGTGCTCCACCCACATAGGGGTGGAGCCAGGATGTGATGTAATGGCAGGAAGAAGGTGTGTCTTGCTCTTTGCTGGTTTGAGCTTTGCTGTTTGCAGCCGCCATGAACTGCGGTCCAGCCATGACCGCTTGTCTTGGAGCCAACTGAGTGTGGACTGAAACCTCCCAAAACTGTAAGAAATAAATCTTTCCTTTCCCAACTTTGGGCTTCAGGTATTTTGTCTCAGTGACAAGCATAAAGTAACTAAGACACTGCCTCTGATATTTTACTATGGTAACGTGAAACTGACTAATGAAAGTACACAGAAATCTGTCACATCCTTTAGAATGAATACACAGCTATTATAACCTATTTTCCCAGGGATGAGTAGTTAAGTGATCTTTAATTTTTCACTATTATAAGGCGATCACCACAAATCTCAGTTCTTTCTCTTCTCCCCACTGTTAACTAGTTCCAACTAGTTGGGTGGTGAGGTCTAGAGCCAGTCCTGATGCCGCATGCATCTGCTATCTCCATGTTCCAGGGTCTCCTGGTGCCTCCTCACAGCTGTTCCTCAGCACCCAACCCATCTGTGACAGTCTCCTGCTGGCCCTGAGCCCTGCCTCACCTCAGTCGCCGGCCCCTGGAGGGGTTCATGCCGCCTCCCCCCGTCTAACTCCTCCTAGGTCAGGGCTCCATGCAGTTGCCGCCTCACCTGAAAGTCCGCCCTCACCTCCTACCCCTACGGGCTGCTCTCCAGGGTCCTGGGCTCCTACTATCCAACACCGCTTCCTTCACAGTACATGACCAGGGACTCCCCCTGTCCAGCCGAAGTCCAGCTTCGTCCCCAGTGGATGTGGGCACCTTGAGGACAGGGGTCTGTTTTGTTCACTTTGGAGCCCCTATAAGGAGTACAGAGTAGGTCTCTGACACTTAAACTAGGTCTGGTGGTGCATGCCTGTAATCCCAGCACCCTGGGAGCCGAGTTAGGGAGAGCATGAGTTGGAACCCAGTCCGGGAAACTTATCAAGACCCGGGCTCAAGATAAAAAATGAAAAGGGTGGCTGGGCATGGTGGCACATGCCTGTAATTCCAGCACTTGGGAGGCTGAGGCAGGCGGATTGCTGTGAGTTCAAGATGGGCTACAAAGTGAGTTCAAGGCCAGCCTGAACTGCAAAAACTACATAGTAAAACCCTTTCTCAAAAATACCTAAAAAATAAAAAGAAAAGAAGGGCCTGCCTGGCAAGCGCGAGGTCACGAGTTTGATCCCTGGTACCAAGTGCAAAGGTTCCAGGTTGAATCCTAGTACCACAGGAAGACAAAGGGGTAGAGGAGAGGGAAAGACAGATGGCTAATGAAATGAGCAGAAGGCACCATCGGGATCTGTCTGTGTGCGCAGTGGCCGCTGGCTCCTCCTCTTCACCTTTGAGGTCCACCCCAGGAAGCCTCTCACCCCTGTCCTTCCTCACATCGCCAGGGAGGCCCATCCCAGCACCCTCCCAAGCCCGCTCTGCCTGAGCCCTGGCTCTCACCTGTATCTGCTGTGAAGATTAATCACGAACACGACCAGGTCAATCCGGGGTCGGTTCACGTTAGAGGGCAAAGGGAGGGACTTGGCCAAGTGACTGAAACACAAGCAAGTGCAGGTCCAAAGCTGCAGGCCCACCCTCAGTGAGTGTCACCCGCCACCCTCTGCAGAAGAGGCCGCCCGCGGCTATGCGAGCGCTCAACCACCGAGCTACACCCAGGTTTTCCTTGGAGCCTCTACTTCTGCTCACAGTTAGTGTACTCATCACCCTTTTCCCCGACTATAATTGAGAAATACCAAAAAGTACAATAACTACAGAAGTTTAAAACACAACCCTCAAGTCTAGACACCTAGAAATTACATGCACATAATGTACGCACATGCAGATAACAACCAGAGTAACAGCACTAATTTAAACTGAGTGGAACAGAAGCAAAATGAAGTAGAACTGAAAAAAGTGGCTGAACTCTAGACACACCTTTTCCTTTCTTTTTTTTTTTTTTTTGGAGGCACTGAGGACTGAACCCAGGGCCTCATTATGCTAGGCGAGCAACTGCTCTACCACTGAGCTTTAACCCCAGCTCTTTTTGTTTTTATTTTATTTTTTGTGTTTTTGTTTTGTACTGAGACAGGGTTTTGCTATGTAGCCCAGGCTGGCCTTGACTTGCAGCGATCCTCCTGCCTCAGCTTCCCAAGTGCCAGGGTTAGAAGTGTGCGCCATCACACCTGGTTGTCATCATCATTAACTGAACGCAGGCTGAGGAAGCTGCCACTGTGGCTGAGGGGGTGGGGCGGGGGAGTTCTTGTTAGCAACTGAATGCTGAAGCTGTGAAGAGAGAACTATTTTTACTCATAATTCCATCTTGTTTTTGCTCCACAAGTGTAAGCGATTTGGTTTTGTGGCTTGTGGTGCTAGGCCTTTGCACTGAGCTACATTCCTAGCTACTGCACTGAATTTTTACTATCTTGAGACATTTCTAGCATCCTCTCCACTTGGAAGTTTTCTTGAAGCTGGATGTGGTGGCACAGGCTTGTAACCATAGCACCCTGAGAGGCAGGAGGATCACAAGTTCACAGGAAGCCTGGGAAATTCAGTGAGACTGTGCCTTAAAATAACAGGGCTGGGGCTACAGCTCAGTGAAAAGGCCTGGGTTCAATCCCCAGTACCGGTGTGGGAGGGGTGTGCTTTTTAAAATCATTTATATATTTACTGCGACTCACTCTTGCTATGTAGTCCAGGCTGGCACCAAACTCAGACCCTCCTACCTCAGCCTTCCAAGTGCTGGGATGACAGACGTGCACCACCACTTCTGGCTTGAATCCTGCATCTTAATTCAACAACAGTCGATCAAGCATCTAAACTGTTCCTCACACCCAGTCTCGGCTACTTACACCCGCAACTCGGACGCGCAGTCCTCCTTGAGCATTGAGTCTGCCAGCTGCTGCAGAAGTGCATCCTCTGCGCCCACCAGCTGAGGGAAGACGAAGTGTCCGGTGGGGACCTGGGCGGGGCGGTGTCCAGAGCCGGGCGCCGAGACGCCCTCTCTGGGGGGTCAGGTCACAGCCGAAGTGGTCCAGGGGACCCATCGCCCATGAGGAGGCTCCCGCGAGCACTCACTCCCCGCTCCGTCTGACCGTGCAGGGGACAGGAACTTGCAGAGTCTGGCCTGGGGTCACTAGAAAACCAACTAGGCCAGCGGGCGCCCTGCGCCTCCACCAATCATAAGCTGAGAAATCCTCTACCGCGCATCTAGTGGTGAGCACTGCCCCCCGCCTTCCCCCACAGTCGCTATTCTGATTGGCTCAGAGCATGGTTCTCCCGCCTACCCTAACCCTAACCCACTGGCCGGAACAGCGTGCGCCGGTCCTAAGGAGCGCTGAGCCCAGGGCTGCTGAGACGCAACTAAGGAAGGAAGGCAGAGCGGGGGTGCCAGGCCGCAAGCACCTACCAAGATGGTGGCTGTGTTCAGGCAAGGCAACTTGTCTAGGGGCCGCAACACCGACATTTTCGGGGTAGGCCAAACCGCTGCTCTCCAAACGCGCGCCGACCTTTCAAACCTCTCCGAGCCCCGCCCCGAGTGGGCGTGGGGGACACGTGACCATCCCTAGGCGGGGCTTCGGACGGGGAGGGGGGGAAATGGGACCCTGTTAAAGGAACCATACCTTTTTTTTTTTTTTTTTTTAAATCGGTACCGGGGATCGAACTCACGACCGCCTGCTTGCAAGGCAGGTGCTTACGCCGCTGAGCTAAATCCTCAGCCCCCATACCTTCTTTTTCAAGAGGGGCAGAGGCACAGCATAGCCCTGTGTGTCACTGGGCTGCTCTTTACTTAAAACAGCAAGCTCTCTCATACATACTTCCCCCCTTTTTTCCCTTTTTCGCTGTGCAAGGATTGAACCTCGGGCCTCTTGCACGTTAGGAAAGTACTCCACCACTGAGCTGTGCCTTTACTCATCAGCCTGCTCTGCTATTCTGCTCTGTTTTCTCCATCAAACTAATCTTCACAAGTCATGGTCAAGAATCATCCACCATCTGAGACTTTCTGCTTCTTTTTGGGGCATGAGGGGTAGTCCTGGGAATTGAACTCAGGACCTCACGCTTGCCAGGCAGGTATTTATGCCACTGAGCTATAGCCCCAGCCTGATTTTCTCCTTCTTATAAACTAATACATTAACTCTTTACTGTCCTGGATGCTGGCAGAAGACATGCAACTCTGGAAAGAGATGAAGGACTCATTAATTTATAAAAGCAGCATCTGGAACTTCATCTTACATTATTTCTCCAAGTCCCGCAAGCCCCACTGGGAACGCCTGTGTAGCTTAGTGGGTGTTCAGGATTATATGAGTGGTTAGCATGCCTGTTCTTTGTCCAGCATGCTCATCCCTTAAAGTCCTTGTCTGCAAACACAGGCTCCAGAAATAGCCCAGGTAAAGAGCTGTCAGGATCTTGCTTCTTTGGCCTACCTGGCAAGAGACAAGCAGAGCTGCTCAGGGTCCATAGCATGCTGGTTCTTGTAACAGGCACTGAGAATTACTTGTTCAGTGTCTGTCTCTCCAACTAGAATGTAAGATACCTGAGGTCAGCAACTTGGTCATTCTAAAAAGTGCCTGGAATCCACATTGCCCGCTAAATATTTGCTGAATGCATGGATTGATTTATATCCATTCTCAGCAGGCATTCATTGTTCAGTTCCAGACCCAATGCCCCACCCTAGAAATACAGATAAACCAGGAATCACTGACAAACCCTGCAGTGGGGTGACCCCGCGGTGATAGTGTGCTCAGTGTTGTGATGTTCAGGACAGCAGGGGAATACGCCTGTCTACCTCAAATCCTTGTTACTGCAGGCAGAATGGATTGTCTTGCTCAGAAAGAGCAGGAAGTAAATGGATTCATGGAGCCTCTGCCCTGGCACACATGGGGCTTTGATTCCTTGTGGCATGAGATGCTGAGGGGATTCCCTAGAAGTCAGGTAGCAGCCAGCACCTTTGAGGGCAAGTGGAATGAAGCAGGAGGATCTCTTGAGCCCAGGGGGGGGCCTGATCTCTTGAGGCCAAATGGGGGCCTGCTCCGGGGGTGGGAGCTGCTTCCTGTTGGGGGCGGTGTTTGACTCCATGAGGAGCAGAGGCTTCAGGGAAGGAAGCACAGCTGCAGAGACTTGGTGGGGCAAGGAGGCTTCAGAGGAGGAGAGAAGACTGGATAGGAGGTCAAGGGCCAGATTACTGGCTGATGTCCTTAGAGAGTTGCAGGGCATGGAAAGGCTCTGGACCTGGTCAGGACTCTCTGGGAGGGCAAAGCTGAAACTTATTCAATCAACAGGCACTGAGTGCCTGCCTTGGGCCAGGGCTGGTGCTGAGTGTGGGGAGCAGGACTCTAGGGTGTTATCTGGCTCCAGGGAGTTGGCGACACCGCGAGTGAGGCCATCAGGAGCAGCCAGGGAGGCACAGAAGATAGAGTGTGTAGGCTCCATCCTGCCATGAAGAACAGGGACTGGCCCGAGGGTCTTGGTCACAGACACCCAGAGCTGGTGCACTTGTGAGAGACCTGTGGGCCAACATTTTATTTTATTTTTTGTGGTACTGGGGATTGAACTCACGACCTTACGCTTGCCAGGCAGGCACTTATGCTGCTGAGCTAAATCCCCAGCCCTAGGGCCAGCATTTTAAAAGCTGGCTTCTGTGAGACCCTGGAGAGAGACCTTAGGGCATGACGAGGCACAGGGGTAACTGAGCAGGTGGGGTCTAGAAAGACCACTCTTAAGAGGAGGAGTCCTGGCTTTATCTCCAGTATACATTGAGCTTCCCACGGTTTTGTATAAATAATTAGTGACCAAAACAATACCTACGGGCCACTGATGGTATGTTTGACAGACTTATCATGGTATAATCGATGTATAAGAAATACGGATTAGCAGGGCACCACTACAGCCCCAGGTACTGAGGAGACTGACAGGTACTGAGGAGAATGAAGCAGGAGGATCTCTTGAGTCCAGGAATTTAAAGCCAGCTTGGGCAACATAACAAGGTCCCATTATAAACAAACAAACACAAGCCACTGTATACAGTTTGAGGTTTTGACCTAGAAGGTGCCATCAAAATCAAGGTGTTGACATACTCATCACTGAGCTTCAGTGCTGCCCCAGGTAACCCTTGCCCCAACTCCTCCCAGCCCCCCAACCCGAACTGTTAAGAAGCACAGTGATGGCTTTGCTCCTTGTGGCCCCACCCAAATACAAAACCAGTCCACAGTGACAGCAGCAGAGCAATGTGTTCTTTTGGGGAAGGAGCTGTGGGTTTTTGTTTCTTTTTTTTTTCCAGGGCTGGGGATGGAACCAGGGCCTCCCACACACTGGGCACATGCCCTGCCACGAACTGTCTACCCCTAACCCCAGTGCGAGAGGCAGGAGGGACTTCTCTGGGGTGATGGACATATCCTATACTGCAGTCCAGATGGTGGCGACTCGGGTGTGTATGTAGTAGACAAAAATGTACCCCTAGAGTTGTATATTTTACTGTGAATTAAAAAGAAATCTCTCTGTGAACTCAGAGTCACAGAAGGTCTGCAGGCTGGGGACTGAGGGTCCCAAAGCCACTGCACCCCAGCCTTTCACACCTGCCTGCTTTCAGGTTTCTGGGGCTGGACTCTGAAGATGCGGCTCCTGGGAGCCACTTCCCGCCCTGTGGGTCACTGGGGGTGCCCTGCTCTCTCCTGAGACCACAACCCCTGCTGTTTATGGAAGCTCCAGAGTGCCAGGCGCCCAGAGGACACTGCAGCCACAGCCAGGGCAGGATCCAGGTTTGGGGATGGAACCCCCATTCCCAGCCCCACCCCAGCTTAGTCGGAGCAGGTGAGCGACCTAGAAGGAGAAGGTAAACAGCTTTGCCCCTCGGAGCCTCAGCCCCCTTAAGGCCCCCAGCTCCCTAGTACCCTTGTGGGGAGGACCAAGTAAAGTACTGTGTGTGGCCAGGCCTTGGCATGGGGGTGCTCAGTGCCTGTCAGCTGTGAGCACTGCAGACGGAACCCCGGTCTGAGGAGCTCCAACCCTCAAATCTCGAAGTGACCTTGGATGAATTAATGGAAATAAAGCCCTGAAAGCAGTGTCTGGCACATGACTCGGGGCTCCGCTGGGCCAGACACAGTCTCAGTGCTGGGTCTTTCCCGTGTGACATTTAACTATCATTAGGTCAGTGTACTGCTCCTGTGTCCCTGCCCCCTGCCATGCCCCAGTCCCTCCCTACTCCCCATCAGCCAGCCGCCAACCATTCCCAGTTATCAGCTGGCATCCTCTCTCCTCTCTGGGCCCAGCAGCCCTGGGGCTTAGCAGTCTGCTGAGCACCCCTCATCCCTCCTGTAGTTCCCCAATTTGCCCTCCTTGTCATCTGCTATACCATGTGCACAGCAGAGGGATCCAGAAAAGGAGGTTGGTTGCCAGGGCAACAAAGGAGAAAGCCCTTGCTCTCCTAGGCTGTTGATTGGCTGAGAAAGGCCCTGCCTCCTGCCATCCTGAGAGTGGGGGTAGAGGGAAGGGTCTCTGATGGGTAGGGAGAGGTACCAGGGTATTGAGTCAGCCCAGGACTATACCCCTCTATCCCAGTCAGAGCCCTGGGCCTGAGAAGTTCTGTCTTCTCAGGGGGGGGGGGGGGAGCGCATCAGCGTCATCCTATCTCTGCCTCCAGCACCTAGAGTGGCCACAGATGGCAGTGTCTCTGGGGACAGCAGCTGCGACTGAGTCCCTGGGCCGACGCTGAGCTGCTCAGCGCAGAGCCCCGGCGCAGGCATCTGCAGGCCCTGAGGTGGGTCTGAAGGCACGGCAGGAACACCGAGGGATGCCAGGGTCGTGGGAGGCAGGGAGGGGGTTCTGCAACCTGCACGCCATTGCAGGCAGGACCCTGGCTGGGACGGGCCTGGATGATCCTTAGAGACCATCTGGTGACCTCCATCCTCACCGTGCAGTGTGCAGGGGAACCCTGAAGCCCAGAGACGGTGAGGAATGGTCCAAGGTATCACAGAGGGCTGGGTTTTGTGTGTCCATTTAGACCAGTCCCCCAGGATGCCAGAAAAAGGTCTTGGGGTCCCCTGTCTGGCTCAGAATACCTGGAATTTTGTTCACAGGGTCAGAGAAATTTGGAACCCTGAGCTCTGCCTTGCAGGGCTACAGCATTGCAGCTAACATGGGTCTGTTCTGCCCAGCCTCTCATTTACATGTCGAAGCCAGAAAAAATTGGGGGTGGTGGTGGTGGTTCTGGCCAGGCCTGGAGGGACTCAGCAATCACCTGGGTCCTTGAATCAACCTCCTGCCTGAGGGTCCCTCCCCTCCTCCCTCCACCAGCAGCATCTTGCCACCCTGGACTCTCTCTTTAATTTCCGGCAAGGCAACTGGGTAGGAGGGCGGCGGGCGGGGGGGGGGGGTGTCCAGCAGGCCAGCCTGCCTCTGTGTGCTAGTCCTGACTTTGGACGCTTAGGGCCCTCTTGTTTTTTTTCCTCCATGAATAGGGGGCTTTAAGCTGCTGTCCGTGTTTCAGAACAGCCACTGGGAACCCAGGGGGAGCCCCAGATAGATGCAAGAGCAGGAAGTGCCCCCCCCTCCCCGGTCACAGCCTAGCTGGGAACAGAGGGGCAGGAAGAGCTCAGGATTGGGGACAGAGGATCTGGGGCTTTTCCTCAGCCTGCACTGAAGTCATTTCATCCATCCTGTGATTCCCATCCCCAGAAGCCGGGGACAGGGGTGATTCTGTCCATTTCAACCCATTTAGTTGTTTCTCTCTGCCTGGCAGAACTCAGGCCTTGGAACATCCCTGGGGCTTGGGGTCTCTGCCCCTTCCCAGCAGGGTAACCATGGCAGGGAGCTTGTGAGCTGTGGACAGTGCCTTCTACCCCACGGGCCTGTCCTGAGGGTCAGGGCAGAAGGGGCGCTCCAGCCCACTGCTTTCTTATGCTCAGAGAGGGTTGGGGGGTTAAAGGGCCCCTCTGTTTCCATTCCTGGAGCGATGATCCTCTGCCTGGCTTTTGAAGTATAAATGCGGACATGAGAGCAGGGGCAAAGGAGGGGACTGTGTGACAGGCACCAGGCGACTGGCAAGCAGCTCCATGACGGCATGCAGGGTGGGCTGTGAGAAGGGAGCTGGCTTGGAGTGGGCGGGGACAGCTTTGGGCTATTCTGAGAAGCTCTCTGACCTGGGTACTGTTATCACCCCATTTTATAGACATAGAAACCAAGGCCCTAAGCCTCTTGCCTGAGTTTTTAGTTGCATCTAAAGCCTTCTAATTCTGAAACTGGGCGGTGCAGACGGTTAAGCAGGTGCTCTGGGATGGCTGTATGTTTCCCATGCTTCCGCCAGGCTACACCTGGGATGCCAGGTATTGGGGAAGCCACTCACCTGGGACGGAAGGGCCCAGTCCAGAGACTCAGGTGCAGGGAAACAGGAGGAGGCATTGTGCCACCTGCTCTCTTTGCTAGGGTCCCTTTTCCAGGGATTAGGCCCCTCAGGGAATCTGCAGGAGGACTGCTGTCACTCTCCTCTGCCACAGGAGAGGGAGCAGAGGCCTGAGAGGTGAGGCACGTTGCCCAAGGGCACTCATGCTGGAGAGATAGTAGCTGAGCATATAGGTTGCAGTCCAGGGTCCCCATGTGATGGGGACAGGTGGGTGCAAGGTCAGGAGGCTCAGGCTGCTGAGTCAGCGTGTGGTCTCTACCACCTGCTGTTCACTCCCCACCCCCACTCCTAGACCTCAGTTTCCCCATCTGTAAAATGATGTTTGGGTTTTCTGGCTCTGGGACCCTGAGGGTCTCTCTGTCCCTGGGTGGGTACACAAAGGGCCCCTCCGCCAGCCCTCATGGCCTGTGTCTCAGCAGCCAGAGCCGCCGCGATGCCGCACTTCCTGGACTGGTTCGTGCCTGTCTACCTGGTCATCTCCGTGCTCATCCTGGTGGGCTTCGGGGCCTGCATCTACTACTTCGAGCCAGGCCTGCAAGAGGCGCACAAGTGGCGCATGCAGCGACCCCTGGTGGACCGAGATCTCCGCAAGACACTGATGGTGCGAGACAACCTGGCCTTCGGTGGCCTGGAGGTCTGAGCCCTCGTGTTGGGGATGGCGAGCGCTCGTGCCAGGCACCCATTCCTTCCCCACTCTGCCAATCCTAGAGACCCTTAAGGCAGGGAGAGGACGATCCCTTGGTTCCCCAAGCCATACCCTCTGCAGCCCATGCCCTCCCAGCAGTGCCCTTGGTGCTTGGGGAGGCCCCTGGCTGTGGGGCCAGCTCACCCCAGGCCTGCTCGCTTGAGCGCTAGACACATTTCCCACTAGCTCCGGTGCCTTTGTGCTTCCTGGCATTCTGTCCCTCTAGCTGGAGTCACACGTGGCTGCCCCTGCCTGCCCTGAGCCTCTGGAACCCCTTTTCCCCACAGAGCCCCCAGGTACCCCCAGCTCCCCTCTCTGCACCCAAAGACACAGGCCCTGTATGTGCTTGGGAGCTGGGGAAAGGGTCTGTGCCAGCGTGGTGTAGCCCGGCCGGCCTGCCGGGACTCAGGCCTGGAGTCTGAGAGTGTGTCGGGGAGGTCGGGGCTGTGCAGAGGGGTGAGAGAGCAGAAGGCAGGGTGTGTGTGTGTGTGTGTGTGTGTGCTTGCGTGTGCGAGTCGGGACAGTGGTGTGAGGACCTTTCTGTGGGCCTTTCCTGCCCCTTCTTTGCTGCCCCTAGGCTGAGGTGGTGGGCAGGAGCCCCTGCCTGCCCTCCCTCCCTCCCTCCCGTCCTGTGCTGCGCTTCTGGGGGGATCCCAGTTCCCCAGACTCAGATCTTTCCCCCGAAACCCTCAAGTCCACCCTGGAGGCCTCCTGCTATGTGCAGCTTTCGGTGGCTGCTTTGACTCAGAGCGGTAACCTGCCTCCCCCCTCCCCGAGGGCTTCCATCTTCATTCATTTGTAGTAATAAAGACTTCCTGGCCAACTTTGTAGGACTTTGTCTTCCTTCTTTTTTTTGAATAATTTATTATTATTATTATTATTATTATTATTAGTAGTAGTAGTCTTTGAGACAGGGCCTTGCTGTGTATTCCAGGCTGGCTTCAAACTTGTGATCCTCCTGCCTCACCCTCCTGAGGTGGCATAGTAGGTCTGGGCCACCATGCTTGGCTCTGTTTTTTTTTTTTTTTTTTTTTTTTTGGTACTGGGGATCGAACTCACAACTTTGTGTTTGCTAACAAGGCACTGGGGCCTCCTTAGATTTGTCACCGGGCAGTTGCCCTCACTCCCTGGCCTGGCACCCGGCAGAGCCTTTGTGCAGCTCTGGGACAGTCTCCCACCCCTGCCCACTCAAGGGGGCCGCCTGGCCGGAGTCATCACCCCTTACCACCAGCCAAGACTCCTCAGTTCCAGACACTGGGGCTCGAGGATGTTACTCATGTCTGGCAGTCTGTTTCTCTCTCCCTCTCTTTCTCCTTCTCAACATGGCCTGGAATTGCTCATCTCATTAAAAGGCAGTGCTCTTGAGACCTCTTTTGGGAGGCGGGGATAGAGTAGGTTCCAGAAGGCAGTTTCCCCATGAGGAATCCCCCTCTCAGTCCAGCCACATCCCACAGACCCTGGGGGCTAGAATTTCTATTTTTATAGAGAAGTCAGGACAGCAGGTTTAGTTGGGCGTGGTGGCTCTCACCTGCCATCCCAGCACTCAGGAGGCTGAGGCAGGAGGGTCATTGTGAGTTCAGGACCAGCCTGGGCTAGAAAGTGAACTTAAGGGCAGCCAGAGCTGCATAGTGAGACTCTGTCTTAAAAACACAAAAAACTTGCAGACATTCTGAGCGTGAAGGCGTTAGCCATTTTTCAACTCCATGGTGGTACAACCCCATCGTGAGAGGAGAGGCGTCTGTATTCTCACTCTGAGACATTGCTGTAATGCTGTCTTCATTGTCCTGAGCTTCCTGACTGCTGGAGGGCAAAATGAAATATGGAGAGATCATTTTGTTTTTCCATGTGATAGAAGGGAGTGATGGATTTAATGTGAAAGAAAAATTTTCTACTTCTTAATAGGCAAGAGGCTGAGTATGGTACACACAGCTGTAATTCCGGTTCTCAGGAGGCTGAGGCAGGAGGATCGCTGTGAATTTCAGGCTTGCCTGTGCTGTTCAAGGTCAGCTTGAACTCCACGTGAGACTATCTCGAAAACCCCACAAAACATATGAAAAAGGAATCTCCCAGATGGGATATTACGGGCACCACAGGTGACAATATCCACCCACAGAGGCAGGACTTGTCCACCTGCTGCGGTATGTGGGAAGGCTTGACTAGGAGAACTGGAGGTCTGAGCCTGACAAAAGTGAATCCTTGTGCTTTTGTGTGCCAGGCTCTGAAACCACAGATGACTCAGGCCCGAGGACGCTACCCCTGCCGGTGCCTGCATTGCCCCGAGCTCACTTCAGGTTTATTTCCATTTCTCTCCTCTCCGCCAGCCTTACTGATGGTGGTAACTGTCAAAGGAGGTGGAGGGGAAGAAGATGCTGACTAAGTGCTGAGTGTCATGTAGCCGTCATCTGGAGCCCCACAGAGGCAAGTCAGTACTGCTCCACCCCAGCACTAGGCCAGGATCCAAAGATGCAGAGATAAAGACGCAGCCCCTGCATCCACAGAGCTCACAAGCTGGAAACAGGTATGTGCACTGTAAGTGACCTGTGTACGCCAAACTGAAAACAGCTGAAGCATGTCTGACTTCTGGCGGGTGCCTCAGTATGCACCTGTAACCCAGCATTCTGGCAGGAGGGTTGCTTGTCAGAGCCCAGCCTGGGCAACGCAGTGACTTAGAGAGACTCTGTCACAAAAAAACCAGCCAAACAAACAAACAAAAAGAATGCCTGACTCCTAAGGAAGCAGGCTGCCTAAGAAAGCTTCCTGAAGGTGGGGACTCCAGGAATTAAATTTGGACAATTCTGCTTGCTAGGCAAGCATTCTACCACTGAATTATATCCCAAACTGGGTTTTGAAGGTTGAATAAGAGTCTTCCTCATAAGAAGAAGAGATGTCTTCCAGTACAAAGTCACAACAGAGGCTTCAGCCAGCTCATTGCTGAGATCTGGGAGTGACGTGGCTGAAACACACTGCAGTTTCAAAGGCTTTGGGAGGGTTTGCAGGATCCTGAAGCTTTTCTTTCCCACCATCTGGGAACCATCAGGAAGGGAAGGAAGGGTGTGTTTGGGCCTGGCCCAGAGCAGGAGGACAGAAGGGAGAATGCACAGGGTCCCCGCGTGGGAGTGGCTACAATGTCTGGACCGTGGCAGGAGGCGGCACAGGCCTCTCATTGTTCTGCCCCGTGGCTCTCCACTCTGGCTGAGTGGGAAAGGAGCTGGCAGGACAGACCAGCTTTGGGAGAAGGCAGAGGCTGCAGACTCCTCAAAGGACCCTCGTGAGTGGGGCCTGGAGTCACCCGCCTGTAATCCCAGCACTCGGGAGACTGAGGCACGAGGGTTGCCGTAAGTTCAAAGTCAGCCTGAGCTCGAGGCCAGCCTGAACTATACAGTGAGAGCCCATCTCAGAAACACCAAAAACAAAACAAAATGAAAAACTGAAAGACCCTCAGTCCACAATCCTTCCAGAGGGCCCTGGGTGGAAGAGGCTCCAAATTTGGGGCTGGAATCATAGGTGTCCGGCTGTGTCACTGGAACCATGGGGAGTCCATCTCTGCAGCTCTGAACGGTAGGAGCTGATATGGAAACCAAAGGAAATCCGTGGATGGAAAATAAACAAGGGAATCAATTCCAAGGCAACAGGTGTTTTGTTTTTTCAGACGGTGCCCAGGCCTCATGCATGCTAAGTGTGTCTCCCACCCCAGCCTCGGGGGGAAAACAGTTTCTGGGCTAACACGGATCGGGCTCACTGGGGCCTGGGGCCTGGCTGAAGGTGCCATGAAGCAGATCCCTGGCTGCAGGAGACACGAGTGAGTGATTGGGCTTGGGAATTGAAAGCTGGTGACTCTGGAGTGGATGTCACTTAACACATCGCCCGACCCCACCCTTACCTCACAGGAAGGAAATGAGCTCAGGGAACGAGTGCGGTGTTCAAAATCACACAGCTCTAAACAAACCCAGGGTAGAGAGATCCAGGGGCCTGTCCTCTTCGTGGGAGTGACTAACCTCAGGACACTGGAGGTCTTCATCCTCTGGGGCCGCTTGTAGGCTTGAGGCAGTCCTGGCTGGGAAGGATGTGCGGAGATACACAGTTGTCATTCTCACTTTTGGCCACCAGTGGGCAGCAGACACTCAAACCAGGAGAGACCGGGTTAGGTAAATTCAGAGGAAAAACACTGCTGGAGTGGAACTCAGGCAGCAGTGACAGAGTTCTAGATCCTCAAGCTAGGAGAAACCACAGGAGGGTCCCTATTTAGAAAAGCAGCTGAGAGCCCGGTGTGGCGGCATATGCTTGTAATCCCGGCACTCTGGGAGGCTGAGGCAGGAGGATCACAAAGGCAGGAGGAGCTCAGTGGGGGCAAGTTAGCAAGACCTTCCCTCAAAATAAAATATAACAAAGGCCTGGAGAGGCGCAGCGTAAAGACTGGTTCCTCCCTCCCCGTGGGCCACTGAGGCTCAAGAGGGCAAGAGATCCGACAGAAGTCACCGAAGAAATAACTGGCCACAGTGGGAGCAGAACCTGGGGTTCCTGACTTCGAGGTACAGCTATCTGGTAGAGGTGAACCCAGCTGAGCCCCACCCTCATCTGCCCTGGCAGAACTGTTCCGTCTCCTCCTGCAGCCACCTCTGTTGTTCCTTCCAGCCTCAAAGAAAGAGGAGGGGAGAACCCACGTTTCCAGCAGGTTGCCCTGGTAACCAGAATCATGGTTTAGAGAACACACAGCTTGAAGGGGAGAGAACGGATAATCGAGAGGCTCCGAGGCCCATGTGTGCACCAGTTAATCATTTCATCCCTTCATTCATTCACTCTGTGGAAGCTCACCAAGGCTGATTCTTGCCAGAAGAGAATAAAACCCAGGCCCTTCGGAACTATGCTGTCTGACATGATGGCCACAGGGGCTGAGGATTTAGCTCAGTGGCAAAAGTGCCTGCCTTCCAAGTGCGTGGTCCTGAGTTCGATCCCTGGTACCGGTAAAAAAAATAAAAACCAAACTTCCAAAAAAACCCCACTAAAATAAAAAAGTAGAATAAAAAGTTCAGTTCGTTGGTCCCTGGAGCCACACTTTGAGGGCATGGGAGCCGTCCATGGCCAGTGGCCTATTGCATTGAGCAGCACTGGCAGAGAACTGTTCCATCATCACAGGAAGTTCTAGCTCAGTCCACAGAAAGTGACACAAGGAGTAGGCCAGACTCGTGTGTGGGGCTGGCGTGTCCTCTGCGGCAGAAGGCAGATGGCCAGGTGAAGGCACGGAGATGCTAGGAGGATGCTTAGCCCAGATCCCGGTTCGGGTGGGTGCGCGGGTGACATCTGTGTCACTGCCCTATGACGGTTACTGGGAGGATCTGTCCACACCCTCCTCTTCCTGAGCAGGCTGTGAGCTCCCCATGGCTGGCATAGTGCCTGGCACAGAGCAAATGCTCAGTAAATGCAGGCTATTTCTCAGCATCATCGTCACTATCATCATCTTTTTGAAATTGAACCCAGGGCCCATGCATTGAGTGACATCCCCAGGCCATCCTTTATTTTTTTATTTTCTGACAATGTCTTGCTAAGTCGTCCAAGCCAGGCTTGAACTTTTGATCCTCCTGTCTCAGGCTCCCAAAGTGCTGGGGTTATAGGTGTGTGCCACCTTGTCCAGACCACCACCATTATTTTTATCATTGCTGTGACTTAGGCAACCCTGGAGGGTGGCAGCATAGAAGTGGGCACCCATTCTCTGTCGAGGGCCACGGTTGGCTGAGAATCCACTTTGGCAGAGCCAGGCTGGGTAGCTTTGTGGATCTTTTCAAGACCAGCACAGGGCTGGGTCACCTTTAGTATATAGGGTTTAGCTGGTGTGAGCTGAGGCTCAGGAGATGGCCATTTCAGGGGACACAGCCAAGCTCCAGGAATTCCAGCTTGCTTGAGGATATGGATAAGATGGGCAGAGGGTCACAGAGCCCAGCAGGGCATGGGGGGCTGCAGAGGGACAGCAGGAGTGAGGCTGTCCTGGGGACAGCCAGAGGGACAGCATTTTTGGAGTGTCACTGTTTTAAGTGGGGCATCTTGCCCAGGGCTGTTCCATGAAACATAGTACATCTGGGGTCGGGGGCAGCTGGGCCCCGCCCTCCCTTGGCCCTGAGTTCAGAGCAGCTCAGCCTGGCTGATGTGAGGCTCCCTTGACCCTTTAGGATTCCAGAGGCTCAGAGCAGCCATTCACGGACACCCACTCCGAGGCGAGGCTCCTCCTGCCCAGGGCCTAGCCCAGCTGCTGGGATGTGGCTGGAGGGACAGGTTCTGGGCCTGAGCACTGTAGCCTGGAGGCTGAGCAGGAGCCCTGCAAGGCAAAGGACAATGTAGTCCCTGACCATCACCATGGCCAGTCTCTGGGTGCAGAGGTGAGGGCTCCAGCCTCCCAGAGCAGGAACCATCAGCCTGGTCTTCTGATCAAGGTAGGTGTGTGTGTGTGTGTGTGTGTGTGTGTGTGTGTGTGTATGCACATGTGTGTGTGTGCAGGAATAGGACGTGGGGGTTCACGGCGATGAGGACTCACAGATCTCAGCCGTGCTGTTTGGGGGCTGCTGTCTGGCTGTGGGTAGAGGGCAGGCTCCTGTGGTTCAGTGCACAGTATGTGCTGGGTTCATGGGTTTAGAATCACAGGGCAGGAAGGCAGAGAGGCAAGGACCTGCCAGGCGGGAGGGGATGGAGGCCTGAGCAGTCCTGGATGCTGGAGGCTGATAAGGGGCTGAAGGTACCGCTTGAGCCCTGGTGGGGACCCTCCTGCTCTGCTACCCTCTCTGTCCCTACTTCAGACCTTAGAGAGCTGGCTAGAGAATCGCTCCCTTCTCCCATGAGCCCCTTACATTGAGAACGAACCCCTCTGGGCAGCATCGCAGAGGATAAGTTCTAGGGAGCCCAGGGGAAGCACAAGCCAGCTCTCTGGAAGCCCCGGAGCGCACCTCAGGGATGGACAATCATCTCCCTGACCATGTCCCGCCCACCTCACTTCCCACCTCCAGGGCTTTCTCCAGCCCTGCCCCACCCATTCACGTCCCTAAGTCTCCTTGTCTTTTCTCCCCCTTGGATCTCTGTGTCACACTGCCTGAGTGACCATTCCCGCGACCAGGCCATCCTGCAGGGCCACGCATCTTTGCCCTGGCCTGCACCCCTAGGCACAGCCTCGGCTACTTGGGTTGGATTCGCAGGAGGCTCCTGCAGCCACGCTTTCTGGCCCCGGGGTGGCAGCTGAAATTGTCCTGCGCCAGTCCTGCCTTCCTCAGCTGACATAGAGCTGGCTCTTGCTTAATTCTCAATGTTTACTGCAGCAGAGCTCCGCCCACCTCCCTGCCTGGTGTCCGGGGAATGGCAGTCTCACCAAGGCCAGGGGCTGGGGCTTTTTTACGGGACAGGTGTCCTCCTGTAAACACCCATGCCTTCTCCACTTCCCAAGCCCTCTTCTCCAGGTCTCCTCCCTGCTCTGTCTCTGATCCCATCCCCACACCAGGTCAGTGCGAGACCCCTTCCTGGTTTGTTTGGGGGCTCTAGCCCCAGGCCCTGTTCTCAAGCCAAGTGGTCAACTCCTGGCCTCTGACCCCAGAGACTCTGGGAACCCAGAACCTTTCTACCCCTTCCAGAAGAGAGGCAGCTAGGATATTAATAGCCACATCCCCCTCAGGGTCCCTTAATATGTGTGTCACCTCTAGGGGGTTGTCCTCAGCAAGGGGTCTACTCTCAGGCCCCAGCCAGGGGGAGAGGTAAGCCCCACAGCTGCATTATCTTATGGAGGGGCAACTGGTTCCCTAGCTGTGCCCACAGCCGCCCTGTGGCAGCTGGCTGGCCGTGCGGGCATGGCTGCGTAGTCTGTAGCAGGCAGGAAGATAAACATGATAGTCCCTTCTGACCAGCAGTGTCAGCTGAGACCTCTGCTGTTGGACATCTTTCTTTCCTGTGGTCCCTCAGGGCAAGCCCACCAGCCTGGATGGAATACAGCTTGGCCCCTCCAGAGATGCAGCCCCACGGAGCCCCAGGTCCTGGAGCCTCCTTCTCTCGCAGCCACATACCGGGGCGCCCTACCCACCCTTCTCGGTTCCCTGGAGGGGTGTCTCCCCTCATTCCTGTCCTCAGGAAGACGGTCCGTCTGGATGCCTTCCCTCAAAGCCACATCCAGACTTCTGGTCGATCAGGCCTGAGATCGAGGGCCCGGAGCAAGTCCCCACAGGACACCGGCATCAGCCCGGTGGCTCCACGGAGCTCCATGCCTGCCAACAGCCTTGTGCCCAGGAAGCTCAGCTCCATTTCCTTAACGATCCGTCAGAACAGTCACATGCGGTCCCTGGACCCCCCAGCATCTCACTGGGAAGAGCTTCCCAGCCTGGGCAGAGAGGCTGGCATCCACGGAGGAGGGGGACCGTCTGCTCCGAGTTCACCACCTCTGCCCCTGAGGCCAGAGAGCAGGGTCCACTCTGAAGGCCCAGGGAACCCAGGGCTGAGCACACCCAGCAGGACAGCCATGGTGGAGAAGCCCGTGGTGGGCTCGTACCTGGCCTTACCTTTTCAGTCTCGGCTAATCCTGAGTTCACCAAGCCCCACTGGACCGGCCCCTGTGGGGCAAGGGCACACCCGAGCTTCTCCAGGAAGAGGTAAGTCCCGGGCCAGGGCCATTCCTAGACCCCGACTATGTCCCCAAAGGGCCACTCCTGTTATGAATTTGTCTGCTGTGCACGCAACAAGGCCAGACATAACCAGACACTTAACTGCAATGGCCACCAAAGGACCTAGCTTGGCCACCAATTTGGCCACAACAGACACATCCACACTGGACACAGGCACAAAGTTCTCTGCTCTGGATACCAAGTGGGGCTCAGCCACGGACATATCTACAGCAGGTACAGCTAAGTCAGGCAAAGTCAAGAACTGGGCTGCTGCGGGCACAGATAAGTGTGACACAGCCGTGAATTTGGCTGCAGCAGAGACAACGAAGCCACGCAAGGTTTTGAATTTGGCAGCAACAGAACCAGATGAGCTGGGCAAATACATGGTTACAGCAGACACAGCCCAGCCAGAAGTGACCACAGAAGGCTCAGCAAAGCCAGATATGACCACAAGGAGCACAGCCACAGCTGTGGCAATACCAGATCCATTCAAGTCAGACACCACCAGTGTGGACCCAGCTATGGTTTTGGTGCCAGCAAATACAGCCGAGCTGGGCCCAGCTATGGATTCTCCTGCTTTGGACAGAAGCGGGTTCAGAACAGCAGTGGGTGCAGTTGTGCTGGTCACACCAGACTCCACCAATGGGGAGACCAAGCCAGACAGTGTTCATGACCTGACCAAACCAGACACTGCTGTCTACTCACTGATACCAAACAGAGGCACAGACACAGCCCAGGACCATGCCACGGAGGAGGGTGCCACAGTACAGGCTGCCACCATAGAGGCTGCCACAGAGTTTTCCACCCTGACTGAAGAAGGCAAAGGTAAATGTAAGAACCTGGGGCTGCTGGAGGCGGTGGGAGGCGTGAGAATGTGGGGATGGGTGGTGCCTGGATAGGTAGGCAAAGGAAGGGAGGCGTCTAAATCCAGAACTGGATGAAGGAGGTGGGGGAAAGGGAACAAGGGTTGAGGGGCCAAAGATAGGGTGTGCAGCTTCCAGCTAAAAGTCACGCTGAGGGAAGCTGCCGGAAGGAAGGTTTATGGGGGTGACCTGTGGAGCAGCAATCGTGCCGAGTCCTCTCTGGAGCGTCTCCTCTGGATATTCTTTGTTCCCTAAAGAGCTTCTAATAGTCAGGTGATTACTAGGTAAGTCCAACTCTAAAAGCAGACTTCCTGTGTGAAAGTACAGACTAGGGCTTCAGTAAGTGCTGATTTGCCTAATAGTAGTTGCCACTGCAAAAGCAAAATGTTGGCTTTGGAGGAGACCTAAATCCATTCACAATCAGCCTTTTATGAAGCTCTCTGTTGCTTAGAAGGTTCCTTATCTGCAAGTCTGTTTCTTGACTTCCCGCCCGAGTCCTGAACAGTAGCTTTGAGACTCAGGTATGTGGAAGTCCTACTCAGCATCATAAACACAAGGGTCAGAAGGTCCCCAATCATCACAGAGAGGCCGGGTCATGCCTATCGCCCCACCAAAGCTGGCTGGTGGCAGTAGACTGATTGGAACCCAGACCTTGGAATCCTACTTTGGGCAGCCTCATTTCCAACATTTCAATGGCTTGGAGGTTCTGGGTCAGGAGAGAGGCTGGAAAGCATGCAGGCCAGGGCCTAAATTGTGTCCTTGGCTTGTCAGCCCCCTGGTCATCCTCAGCCTGGGGACCTCCATGTCGGCCTCGTCCTAGTCTTTGATCCTCCCTGTGTGACCTGAGCTCTCATCTTCCCAGCCCTCTCCCCTTCCAGCCAGTGCCTGCTGGACTCTTCCTCAACTGGTCCTGTCCTCAGGACCTCCCTCAGCGGCAGGCACTGCCCACCCTTCATCCTTGGCTTAGAGGCCGAGTGTCCTCCTCTTCTTCACGTTCTTTCTCCCACATCCCATCCAGGCTGTATGTTTGCTGGCAGCACTTGGGCTTAGCATGTTACTTTCCTGTGAATTCAGCTCTTAACCCTGGTGTCCAAGGCCACGCTTCTGCCGCCTCTTTGCTGGGGCCTTGTGCTGGGTCTCCTCCATGCCAGCTGGCCCAGGAGCTCTGGCACCATGCAGCTCTGGCCTCCTCCGGAACCCTTGTCCCTGCAGCCACCTCTGCGAAGAGCTCTTCTTCCCACCTCTCTCTCTGCCTTTCTACCTCGGTCGTCATCCCCTCCAGGAAGTCTTCCAGACCCCACTCCTCCCCGAGGTATCCACTTGTGTGCGCCTCCTGCAGGCTCTGTCCAGCTTCATTTTCCTCACCAGACCCAGAACTTGGGAGGGCAGGTATGGTTACCCTCAGCCCTGTACCTCCAGGGCCTGGAAATACGCTGATCATTTACGTTGATGGAATGCCTGAAAGATTTTTCGGACTGGTAAATTGAGGCTCAGGGACACTCCTAACGAGCCCAAGGTTATAAGCTCATTATTCTGGAGCTGGGCCTGGAACCCGGGCCCCGGGCCCAGAACCGAGTTCAGCCGGCGTAATATCCCAGCCACCGTGTGACTCAACGCGGGCTTGGTCACCCGCAGCTGCCATGGTCCTGGCGCCCCCAGCCGGGTCCCAGCCTACAGAATAAGAGGCTGGGGGGCAGGATCGCGACTGAGGGGAGACGCAGCCGGGCACCCGGAGCGCGCGGGGAAGGGGAGGGGCCCGGCCGGGCGGGCGCGCGGTCACGTGGTGCGGGTGGCGGCGGCGGCGGTGGCGGCGGCGGCGGTGGCGGCGGCGGCAGAGGCGGCTTCGGTGCGCGCGGGTAGGGGCGGCGCGGCGCCGGGCGAGCCGAGGCGAGGTCTCGGGCGGGCGCGGGGCGCAGGGGGCGGCGCGGGCCAGGCGGGGGCCGGAGAGCGCGGAGGGGCGAGGTCCGGCTGTAGGGGCCGTTTGGCCCGGAGGAGCCTGCGCCCCGCTCAGCCTTGCAGCCCCGCGCCCTGAGCATCTCCCGGCGGCAGAGCGGAGACAAAGGAGGATTCATGTCCAAAGGTAGGGCGCCCAGCCCGGGGAGTCTGCGGTCCCCCAACCGCGGCCGGGGTTGGGGGGTGCCACCAGCGGGAGGGCGCTGCGCCGAGGAGCCCACGCGCGGTGACATATGCACGGGCACGCATGCACGGTGGCAGACACCTCAGCACTGACGGCCCTAGAAGAAGGCGCACACAGGAACGCGGGGTTCCAGATGCTCGTAGAAAGCCCCATGCTGGAGCACCCCAAAACACGCGTTTGCACGCGCAGGAACCAAGGCCACCTACTGCCCGTGCCTGGCTGACACATCAGCCTGCTTCCCCACAGGGACAGCCACCAGCTGGTGGTCTCCAAGGGAACTCGCTGACCTCCTGAGGACTGGAGGCGGGGCCCTCCGGGGCCCTTTGCTCCTGAGGATGGGGAAGGGCAAATGCATGTGTTGTGCTTCCTTTTCCAAGCGCCCCGGGGCTGGAGCTGAGGTGGCCTAGGATTTCCTCTCCCGGTGAGGCTGATGAGAACCTTTTGGCTTAGGAGACCCCTAGTTTGGGAGAGAGGGAAAAGGGGGCCAACAATTAACAGAGGAGGCAAGTGCTGTGCTGGAGAGGTCCCCACTTCCTACAGCCACCTTCCCAATAGAGGGGTGGGGTCTCTGGGCTGGACAAAGACAAAGCCATCCCTTTGCCTATGCGAGAAAGTACCAGCATCCCTGCTTGCCCTGGGGATGAAGGGTGCTGTTCCTGTGGGCCCAGTGCTATGTCAGGAAGACAGTGCCTGTCCCTGGGCCACCAGTGGGCCAAATGGCACCTGGCAGGGATCTGCAGACTGATCCTCTCCTCTCCAGGGGCCCCGGGGGAGCGTGAGCATTGGAGGGGCCCTAAGCACCATGAAGCCTGTGCAGCTGCATCTTCCTGTCTCCCCCACCCTGAGCTCTTCCCACCCTTGGGGAGCCCCCTCCACTACCAGTTGCAGGCAAGGAGGAGCTCTGCATCCCTTAACCATGGTCCACACCACATCCATTTGCTGGCTGGGGGTCAGCTGCTGTGTGGAGGCAGCATGTAAGGGCGGAGACAGGTGTTAGCTTGAAGTGACACCTGCCTTTCGGTGTGGGGCTTGCATCCATTTATCATTCATGGGCGAGTGCCTGGAGTGTGTTAGGGACAAGGGCCCCAGAGACCAATGAGCCATAGCCCCTGCCCCCAAAGAAGGCTGGGAATCCGCAGGTATTCAGCGCCAGGTGATTCACACCCGTGATTGTATTAGAACCGGCACAGCCACCCAGCAGGGCACAGACTGTCCTCACTTTTCTGAGAAGAAAACTGTGGCTCGCAGTGGTCACCCAGTCTGGACTCGAGCCTGGTGTCAGGATGGAGGATGGAGCCACAGAGTCCTACTCCAGAACAGCATCTGTTTTGTGCCCTGGAGGTCTTGGTGTACTTGTTAGATTCCCTAAACAGACAGTGGCCCTGGGGGAAGGGGCAGTGACCTTGTTTGAGATATAGAATTATCCTTGGTGTTTAGTGCAGGCGTGGCTAGATGAGGCTTGCATTTGACAGCATATAAAATGGCCCGAACAGGGTGAAATGATTGAACGAGTCTGGTCGGCGCCAGGGGACCAAGACCTCACAGAAGAGGGACATCCACACCAGATGGGAGTGCAGCCAGGAGCTAGCAGGGGTGGCGCTGGGCGGGGCAGGGCGCAGGGTCTTCTAGCTCAGCGTGTGCACAGTGGCCCACGGCATGTGTGCAGTATGTCTGGTTTATCAGTGGCTGTGAGCCTGTGACTGGCTTGTGATTGGCACGTGGTTGGCATGTGTCTGAGAGGCTGGCTTGCCAGGAGGTACTCTCTGTGTGATGCATACTATGGGTGCTAATATGTGTTCATTAAAAGAATAAACAAGATCTGCCCATAGCTTGTCTCCCAACAGGCCTCCCGTAGCCCCTAGAAACTGGGTGGGAGTCTGACAGGCCTCTCTCTCAATCGTGGTCTGTCTTTTGGGACAGTACTTTCTCTAGATGCTGCAGGTGGCAGGCCAGGACTGGGCAGGCCATGATGAAGACACATGCTTTATAAGGACACGTTCCCCCAATACGAGGCTTAACTTTCCAGGCCTGTAGAGTAGGGTTAAGATGGCCCCCAGCCCCAGGTGGGTGTGCTTCACTGTACAGGTTGTAGAGACCAAGTGGGCTCAGCTGAGAGCAATGGGAGGCCCAGGCTGTGTGAGAAGCTGGCCAGGGGAAGTGGGGCACGGGCCCTCGGCGCAGGTGGGGGCCGGGAGCCACGTGTGAGCGGAGGAGCAGGCCAGGCTGCTGAGAGTCAGCTGCCGCAGGGCTGAGCCAATCTTGCTGCCCTCTGGAGCCGCCTGGCTGGCAACAGCTTCCTGGGAATCAAGGAGGAACCCCACCAGGCCCTGGGGGAGGGCCCGAGGCTTTGTCAGATTTGGCTGTACCTGAGAGTGACAGGGGACAGAGGGTCTTGCCAGTACCAGTGGAAGGACCAGGTGGCGGGTATATAAGAGCAGATTCCTGTCGAGTTTGGGGGTTGGGAAGCTGGAGCCTCCGTCCCCTCTCCCTCCTGCCCATCTGCTGCTCCATCAGGCCGAGACCTCCCTGCGAGGCTGAGACTCTGCAGGGTGGTGAACCATGAGAGTCTCTCAAAGGGGAAGAAAGACAAGCCCAGGAGCCTGGAGGCCGATCACTGTGCTTGTGAAGTTAGCCTCTGGGGCCCGCCACTTCCACAAGAGCTGCCACTTTGCCTCCCCTCCAGATAAGCCTGGAGACTTGGAAGGGCCCCAGTCAAGAAGGTCTGGGCTGTGAGGTGCCACGCTCGGTGCTTCTGGGCGTCGTGTCCCAGGTGGCGCCCACTGCAGCCTTAATCAGAGTTTGACCGAGCCACAGAGCAGGAAGCCAGCTCCCAGAGATTAGGTGGGCTGCCCGAATCACCTGCTCACCTGTTTTATGGATGGTGAGTCGGAGTCGCTCTGTTGTAGAACCTATGCTAGTGGCAGTGTCCTGTTGAGGGCCCGCAGATCTCTCCAGAGCTGAGAGACTTTGGCCGTTCCTTGCCAAGTCTTCCCCTGCTCTTTCCTCAGCCTCCCCGTGCATCCTCTGCCGAGCATCCCCCCTCTGCGTCATCTTAGGCAAGTGACCACCCTCCCTGGGGTCTCTTCTCCTCCCTACTCATCCCACAGACTCAAACTATGGGCTCCGCCGGTGTTTGGGATGCCTCTGGGTGTAGACACCCTAGTTTGCCGCTCATGGGGCAGAGGGGACGCTGAGGTGTGAGGCAGGAGTGAAGCTCTCTGCAGAGAAGGGCAGCCCCGTGTGCTTCCGAGAGACACAGCAGTGGCAGCTGGTGGCGGTCCGTAGACATGAGACCCAGGATCCCAAAGCATCTTTGCCCTTTACCTGGCAAGGCTGGACTTGGGTCTGAATGACCCCTCACGTTTCTTAGACCAGCGGTTCTCCACCAGGGTGGTGTTGCCCCTGGGGACATTTGGTGCTGTCTAGAGATGTTTTTGTCATAACCGGAGGGCCGATGGCATCTGGGAGAGAACAGGGTGCCAGGAAGCATCCTACAGGACAGTCCCCCATAAGAAAGAATCATCTGAATGTCAGCAGCGCTGAGGTGGAGAGGCCCTGGCATTAGACACAGACACAGTGCTTTGGAGCGCGCGCGTGGCCAGCAGCTGGAGAACCTGCTAAGGTGCCCATCTTGCATCTGGCACGCTGTGTGTTCTCAAGCAAGTGTTTTCATCTCTGGGCCTGTCTCTTCATCTATGGGACAAGGGAACAGCCTGGGTCACATTAAAATCTCTTCTAGTTCCAACTCTGTGGAGTATTCCGTGTTGGGGGGAAAAATACTGTGGCTTCCATGTGACCTCTCCTGTCCTCCTGTTTCCTCCCCCTCCCCCCTTCACCCTCCCCCTTCGCCCCCCCGCCCCCCTCCTCCCTTCTTCACTTTCCTCTCCCCCTCCCCCCTGACTCTGCAGGGCTCCCCGAGACCAGGACGGACGCAGCCATGTCAGAGCTGGTGCCTGAGCCCAGGCCTAAACCGGCAGTGCCCATGAAGCCCGTTAGCATCAACTCCAACCTGCTGGGCTACATTGGCATCGACACCATCATCGAGCAGATGCGGAAGAAGACCATGAAGACCGGTTTCGACTTCAACATCATGGTCGTGGGTACGGAAGGCCGTGGGGTCACTGGTGCGCCTGGGGGACTGGTGGTGCCAAGGGTCCCAGTTCTTTCCCCAGAAGGACCTCAGCCATGGCTTCTCTAGGATGAGCTCTTTTAGGAAGATTTGCCATGCTGATCACAAAGGCCTGACCCTCTTCTGTCCTCAGGGCTAGCTGACCCAGGGAGTGGGGGCTTTGAGTGGGTGGCCAGTCTGGCTCCACCTCCAGCCAGAGGTAGATGGGTAGCTTCTTCACCATTCTGATCTCGCTTTCAGGTTTGTGGCAAGGGAGAATCAGCAGGGTCCTTCCCTACCTCCAAGAGCAGGGGAAGAATTGGGTGAAAGGTGGCTTTATGTCCAATCCTTTGTGATACTTTAAAACTCTGACACCAGGTGTGGTGGGACATGCTTGTAATCCCAGTGCTCTGGGAGGCTGAGGCAGGAGGATTGCAAGCTTAAACTCAGCCTGGGCAATTTAGCAATTTAACAAGAGCCTGTCTCAAAATGAAAAATAAAAAAAGGGTTGGGAGGGAGGTCAGTGCCAAGGCCCTGGGTTCAGTCCCCAGTACTGAGGGTGGAGGGCGGAAGGAAGAGAATCATCAGGGATTTGGGCGTTAAGAGCTATCACTGGGGGCTGGGAATTTAGCTCAGCGGCATAAGCGCCTGCATGGCAAGCGGGAGGTCATGAGTTTGATCCCCAGTACTAGAAGAAAAAGCTATCACTGGGTCACAGAATGCAACAGGGACCTCTGGCAGACCTCAGTGGGATTCAGTGTGCACAGGGAGCTGGGCACCCTTTCTTTCCTCTTCCTCCAGCTGAAGGAGTCATCGAGTCTGTCGCCTTGCCCTTCTAAATGCCTCCAAGTCCGCTCACTTCTCTTCACACCTGCTGCCACCACCTGAGGCTGCTAGACTTCTCCCCAGTGCCTCAGTGCTGCTCTGAGGCCAACCTGCAGCGGGATGAGGAGCTTGGGCAGAGCGTGACTCACCCGGCACCTGTTGCTATGAGAAAAGCCAGCGGGGCTAGGCAGGGCGCTCAGTGGCACCCGGAGTTTATTTACCTTCTGGTGCAAAACTCTTAGCATGGCTGGGTGTGCATGTGTGTAATCCCAGCACTCGGGAGGCTGAGGCAGGAGAATTGTTGTGAGTTTGAGGCCAGCCTGGGCTACATAGCAAGACCCTGTCTCCAAAACAAAACAAAACAAAAAACTGCTACCATGAGAATGAGTAGGAAACCGTGGACCCTCACAGCTGGGCCACAAGAAACATCTGGAGTGGCACTGGCCCTCCTGTTTCTTGCTCCCCTGTAATCAGTTATCCACTGAGTGCCTGAGTAATCTTCCCAACCTGCGGAACTCCTCAAGTCTCCCTTCCCACATGAGACCCTCTGGTAACTGTCCTTTAACCTCAAGGCGAGTTGAGACCCCTCCTGGTGCCACCTCTCAACTCCTCCCTTCCCACCATGAGTCCAGAACTCTCTCTTTCCTGCACATGGACAGTTCTCGACTCCCCACACACTCCTACCCAGATCTAGAACTCCCTGCTCCTCACGGCTCCCGGAAAGTCATCTTTCTGCTTTCAGCTTAGTTGTTGCTGTTTCCTAGAAGTCTTCCGTGAACTAGGAGAGACTGGGTTGCATTTCCTTTGCAAGGCTGATACAACCAGCCCCTGCGGTTAGCTCTTCTGTGGGTTTATTGTAACATCGTGACTGCTTATGTGTTTTGGCCTCCTTTGCTCCAAACAGCCCCTTGACCATGCAATGAGTCTGAGTCCAGACATACACAGGAACATCACTGGACCCTACCCCCAGGACAGCACTTGGCACTCGAGAATAAGTGAACAATGCCCTTAGAAAACATTCCAGACCAAGAGGGGCAGGTGCAGGTTGAGTCCCTGTTATGTAAGATGCTTGGGCCCACAGGTCTGATTTAGGATTGTTTTAGTTTTTTTGAACTATTTCCATAGATTCGACTGGTTGAAAAAACCCCTAATCTGGCCAGGTGTGGTGGCACATTCCTGTAATCCCAGCACTTGGGGGGCTGAGGCAAGAGGACTGCTGTGAGTTTGAGGCCAGCCTGAACTGCATAGTAAAACCCTATTTTTAAAAAATCCAAGGGGCTGGGGATTTAGCTCAGCAGCATAAGCACCTGCCTTGCAAGCAGGCAGTTGTGAGTTTAATCCCCGGTACCGATAAAAAGGAAAAAGACCAAAAAAAAAAAAAAAAATCCAGGTGTGGTGGCTCATGTCTGTAATCTCAGCACTTGGGGAGGCTGAGGCAGGAGGATTGTTTCGAGTTTGAGACCAGCCTAGGCTACAGAGTGAGCTCAAAGCCAGCCTGAACTGCATAGTGAGACCCTGTCTCAAAAGACAAAAACAAAAAAGAAAAAAAGGGAAAAAATCCCTAATCTGAAAACCTGAAATCCTTCAAAATTCAAAATGTTTTTGAGCAGCCTGTCAGCACTTGAAAAGGTTCCAGTGCTGGAGTATTTTGGATTTCTAATTTTTAGATGAGAGGTGCTCAACCTGCACAAGCCGCGTGGACTGCTTCTCCCCCAGGCGTGCCCGTGGCGGATGCACTGGTCAGATGCACTGTCCAGCACTGAGCACAGAGAGCGTTTAGTTGCATGGGTCTCTGTGAGCTGGGCAGCTTTCCTCCATCCCGTCTCATCTGGTTCCCACCCCTTCGCCTTCCTGTCGTAAAGAGGCTGAGACCTTGCGGGGCACGGGTGACAGTGAAAAGGCATTGGGACAGACACTACAGGCTGGGTCTCAAACCCTAGGCTCCTGCCCCCCAGCCTGACCTTTCTGCTAGAGCAGCACCGTGTGGCCCTCACTGTCCCTGCGATTCCTCCGGAAGCCCAGTCAGACAGCAGGTTTGAGTCCTGGGTCCGGGGAGCGATACTCCCTGCACATATCCGGGCACCTCAGCTGCAGCTTCTTGGAAGTTCATGTGCCCACCAGGCTGCTCAGGTGACACAGGTAACGCAGGGAGCCGGAGGGAAGGAGGCAGAGCAGGTGCTGTGGGCCTGTCTGCCTGGCTTCCCGGTCTCCCCATGGTGTCCCCGCCGGCCTGTACCGAACAGGACACTGGTGCATAATTACCGCAAGTGCTCTACTAGAGTAGGTATGAGGTCCACGTCCCTGGCGTCGTATTTACCTGTTATGTTGCCCTGTGCACATTTTATGTTACAAGAGGATTAAACGCTCTGGGGCCTTCTCAGCTGGAGCTAAACATAGCTGTGCTGCGGGACTCAGGGCTGGGGGAGAGATGAATTCTGTGAACAGATGGGAAAGTGCATAGGCACTGTGACGCAGTCTCAGAATGCAACGTGATTTTCTTCTTTCTTTGAGTGTTAGGAAAGACGGGCAACCTAAGCAAAAAGCCAAGCCAGATAAAAAATGCTACCTTAGGTAAAGACAGAGGTGAGCAGGGAGCGGGGCCCACTGCCTGCTCTCTGCTCAGCCCCTCGCTCCATCACGGGAGGATCACAGCCCTGGAAGTCTATAGGTTCATGTGAGAGCCGTGAGGCTCAGGAGGTGGACACGGGGTCTTCTGCCTTGTCTTCCTCGTCCTCCCCGCTGCAGGCCAGAGTGGACTGGGCAAGTCAACACTGGTCAACACACTCTTCAAATCCCAAGTGAGCCGGAAAGCCTCCAGCTGGAACCGGGAGGAGAAGATCCCCAAAACGGTGGAGATCAAAGCTATTGGGCATGGTGAGGACCAGCCGGGGCGGGGGGCGCCGTGGGCTTTGTGTAGAGATGGGACCTGGGCAGAGATAGGGAAAGGATTGAGGTTTATTGGGGAATAAGACACAGGGGAGGCAACCTTGAGACAGTAGAATTCAGCGTCAAAGTCCACGAAGTGAACTCCTTAGACTGCTGGTCCCAGAAGAAGTGGATAGGACAGAAAAAAAGTGGGGGTTGATCCGGGTGAGATGGCACGGGTAGATTTAGGCAGAAACAGAAGAAGGGAGGGTATTCTGGGAGCCAGGAGCAGCACAAGCAAAAAAGGTATTGAGGTGGAGAAGACCTCAAACTCCCCTTTTCCAGTCGCTGGTCCTGGAGAAGAGGAAAGCCTCGGTGTCCCTGGCCAGCGGGCTGCAGGGCACCTGAAGTCCCCTGGAGGGGGACACCTCTTCTTGGACACCTTTTCCATTCCTCCCACAGTGATTGAGGAAGGTGGCGTCAAAATGAAGCTGACCGTCATCGACACCCCAGGGTTTGGAGACCAGATCAACAATGAAAACTGGTATGTGTCTGCCCCTGAGGTTTTCACCCTAAACACTTTCCACAAGAGGCAAACGGATTCATTCATGCTGAGAGTGGTCTGCGTCCTCCATGCTCTGCTGGTCCCCAGAACCCAGGCCAAGGCTGGGTCCCAGGAACCTCTACCTTTGCTAACTGTCCTTGGAAATCAGTCCTGGAGGGTGGGGTAAGGGAGACACAGCCTTGGGTGTCCTAGATCCACGTGGTGAGGTAGGGCATGGAGTGGGCACAGGGGTTGTGACCTGATCATGCTTAAGATGAGCTTTGACATCATGTCCTGATGCATCCCCACCCCTCAGTTGGGAGCCCATCGAGAAATACATCAATGAACAGTATGAAAAGTTCTTGAAGGAGGAGGTGAACATCGCCAGGAAGAAGCGCATCCCTGACACGCGTGTCCACTGCTGCCTCTACTTCATCTCCCCCACTGGACACTCGTATGTACCAACCCCTCCCCTGCCGCTGGGTGTGACTCTGGTTTGTGTCACCTGTCGCCTGTTCTGGATTGGATAATCAATACCTGTTCTCAGCTGGGGAGGGCCGGGTGGACCAGCATATAGTCCTGCCCATGGCTGTGGGATGCCCTAGATGTCCCACGAGGAAGCCTGACTTTTTTCCAGGAGGGGAAAGCTGGCCATCGTCGCCCCTGTCTTGCCCACTAGGGTCCCAGCACAGCACAGGGTACCGGCAGAGAGGACCTCATTTGTCCAATGGGTACCTGCTTTTGAACACGGCTAGTGGTTTGTGGGGGAAGCAAGGAGGACGAAACAGGGAGGGAGAGGCTGTGGGGTTGGGACTGTGGCTGGGCATGAGGGCCAGGGGCGTGGAGTTGAGGCTGAGACGGCAGGAGGTGCTGAGAGCTTGAGTAGCAGGTGAGCCCCACACTGGGTGGGTAGGTGGGCACAGGCAGAGGTGTCTCCAGCTGCCATCCTGCACCTCGGGGTGTGTTCATGAGTCAATGAACTGATGGAGGGCCAAACCCACCAGCTGGGTCCTGCAGGACTAAGGGGGCTGGTAAGGGGCCTGTCAAGAAGTACAGTCCTAGCTGGGCATGATGGTCCGTGCCTGTGATCCCAGTGATGGGGAGGCTGAGGCAGGAGGATTCTGTCTGGGCCCAGTCTGGGCAGTTTGGCAAGACCTTGTCTCAAAATAATCAAAAGCTTAGGGATTTAGCTCAACAGATTCAATCCCCAGTGCTGTGAAAAACAAAACCAAAAGCAAAAAAATAATCCGAGTGATGCATACAAATAGCTGTAGCACAAGTGTAGACAGGGACGCCATCCAGAGAGGTTCCCAGGACAGAGATCCCATAGGTCAGGAAAGGTGGCACAAAGGGGTTAGGCCTGAGGAGGGCTTAACAAGAGGCAGGACTCGCACAGGTGGGGAAGAAGAAAGGGGCGAGGGGCCGTGTGGGTGGAAGGCCCGGGGACCTCTGCAGGCAGTGAGGCAGTGGGTGAGCCAGCAGTGCAGCCTCGAGGGCTCGGCCAGACCCAGCCCCATCCTCTCCCAAAGGCGTGCTGGGGCGGCAGTGGCGGAGGCCCAAGGGGACACACGGGTGGCTCTGACAGCCCGCCTTCTCTGGGCCCCAGCTTGCGACCCCTGGACCTCGAGTTCATGAAACACCTCAGCAAGGTGGTGAACATCATCCCGGTCATCGCCAAGGCTGACACCATGACCCTGGAGGAGAAGTCCGAGTTCAAGCAGAGGGTGAGGAGCCCCTTCCACTCATCCCCGTCTCCAGCACTCATTATTACCCCCCACACACTGCACTCCCTCCCTGAGCTCCACTTGGGAGGCTGAGCTGGTGGCTCTGGTAACCAGGGACCAAAGGGAAGAGAGGGAAGAGCCTGCCTACAGGCTGCCCTGTTCCCTGCCCTCCCCACCTGCCTGCCACAACCACTGAATACACCAGTCATCATGAACATGCGGTGACTCAAACTTTACGTCATGTAAAGGACTAGACTTATTAATTAACCACAAGCCTTGTTGACTGTCATGTCTGTTGGAGTAGCCCAGTGGTGGACGTTCATTGGGCTGGGGAGGGAGGACCTGAGAAACGTAGACAGTTGCTGCCTTTAAGAAACTTGCCTTGGTGCCTGCCTGGTAAGTGCAAGGTCATGAGTTTGATTCCTGGTACCAAAAAAGAAACACCCTGGGCACGGTGGCACATGCCTGTAATCTTGGCACTTGGGAGCCTGAAACGGGAGGGTTGCTGTGAGTTTGAGGCCAGCTTGGATTGTACAGCAAGACCCTGTCTCAAAAACAAACAAACAAACAAAAACAGAGCCAGAGATATAGTTCAGTGGCACAGGGTGGCATCCTTATAATCCCAGCACTCTAGGGGTCAGGAGGAATTGCAAGTTCCAGCCCAGCCTGGACAGCGTGGTGACAGTGAGACCCTGTCATGAGCTGAGGATGTAACTCAGTACAAAGGCTCTGTGTTCAATTCCTAATACAAAACAGAAAAGTAAGACTTCAGACAACAGTGACAAGTCCTGGACGGCACCCTGGAGGAGGCGAGCCTTTAGCCATGCTTGAAAGAAGGCCGCAGGAGGGCTTGGGCCGGGGGCCTCATCTCTTTTCCTTGCAAAGAGGAACATAGCACCCAGGCCACCAGCACTGCCCAGTGGCATCTGCACTCAGCTGCCACTTGTTCAAATCCTACAACCTGACCTGCGCATCCTGTGCAGGGACTGGGGGCCCCTCCTCTCCAATCGGGGTGTGTAGCTGTGGACAGCAGGGTCTTCCTGCTGCCCAAGGCCTCTCAGGGTTGAGACGACTCTGGATCATCAAAGGCCAGGCTCAGCTCTCTGACTTCAGCTTCCATGCACACGTGCATACTTGTGCACATGCGTGTACATGCAGTCATACACACTGCTTTGTCTTCTGCCATGATGCCTGATGACCTTGCCTCCCTTTCCTGCCTCTAGGTTCGAAAGGAGCTTGAGGTAAATGGCATTGAATTCTACCCCCAGAAGGAGTTTGATGAGGATCTGGAGGACAAGACTGAGAACGACAAAATCAGGGTAAGTGTCTGGGACTCTGTGCACTGCACAGATGTCCCCTTGACCCCTTGGTGCCCTGGGCTGTGTCTCGTGTGCCCCTCCTGGGTTTCCACTTGCTTCTCCATCTCTGTATCCCTGTGCTGCCGTGGCAGGTCTCCCTGAACCTGAAAAGCCCAAGTTCCTCTCCATCCCCAGATCCCAGGAAAGCACCCTCTTCCCCCATGGGGCCTGGCAGAGTCCAAGTGTGTGGGGGGATAGGGTACCAGGCAGGAGAAGCATCAGGTTGATGCCCAAGGGAATCTGTGCTCTAGTCAGACCCTGCCTCAGTTTCCCTTTCTATGAAATGCAAAAGTTAAGACCATGTGATTGGCTTACAGGCTATTTTTCCCCCAGAACAGTGATGGCAAACCTTTTAGAGCTTTCAATGATAGCAGCCAACTGCAGCATTGGTGCCCTGGGTGTGCGACCACTGCCTTAGAAGAACACTTCTAAGAAAACGAGATTGCCATGGCAGATGCCTGTAGTCCCAGCTACTTGGGAGACCGAGGCAGGAAGATCCCTTGAGCGCAAGAGTTTGAGGCCAGCCTGGTCAGTATAACGTAGATGTCTAAGCAAACAAAGCAAAAATCCAAAAACTAAAACACAAACAACAGACAAACCTCAGAGGACCAACACGATGCATAGAAAGAGTTGCTTCGGCTGTGTGACATGGCCCAGCGCCCCGTCTTCCAGTGGCCACTGGAATGCCTGCTGGGAATGTGAAGGTCCAGGGAATCTGGCTTAAAAAGCAGCCTGAGATTTCTGGGTCCCTTTCAGTTCTAAACTTCTACAATTCTGTAATTCTTCACATCAGAAGCCCGAAATTTAGTCTGGGCTCTTAGAATAACCCCCGGTAACCTTGCTGCATCTCGATTTCCCTCTTCATCAAGAGTGGATAATCTAGAGATGTCCCCTGGCCCCAGGGGCTGTTGATGATGGAGGATGGTTTGGGGACCCTTTAAGGAACCATGCAGCTCAGATTCCTCACATGCACAGTTCCCAGTTGGCTAATCCAGAGGAGGCGGAGGTCAGGCAGTGATCCAGGGATGGGGAGTGGCTGGGCCTACAGATGGCCGCTTCTCTAGCTGCCTGTTGTGTGGCCCACCTCCTAACAGGCCCCAGACCAGACTGGGTCAGGTCTGATATAGTTGGGATAGGGAGTTAGTTTTAGTTAATTAAAAAAGTCCATTGAAATGGAGGGAATCATTTTTTTAAAGTGATGTATACAAATCTTCCCTGTTTAAAAGTAAACATTTTATGAAGTTAAAAACATGTACTTTATGTTCATATAGAGCCAAGGCCTCTGAGGATAAGTTCACTCTTTTTTATTATTTTTGTTGCACACTGGGGAGGGAGCCCAGGATCTTGCCAGAACTAAGCAAGCATTCTACTGCTGAGCTGCCTCCCAGCCCAAAGCACACTCCTGCCCCCTGTTTTTTTGTTTGTTTTTTGTTTTTTGTCAGGGCCTTTGGACTGAGCTACATCGTCAGGTCTTTTTAATTCTAATTTTGAGTCAAGTTCTTGCTAGGCTGAGTTACCTAGGCTGGGCTCAAATTTGTGATCTTTTTGCTTCAGGCGCTCAGAATGTTGAGATCACAGGTGGGCGCCACCATCCCTGGCTGCAGAATCCACTCTAAATGCCAACGCTCAGTGTTACCCGGTTTTTATGAAGGGTTTGACTTAATTGTGAGAGACACAAACTCCACACACATATGTCTTCAGCTTGTATGATACAGTTATTGGCTGCATAGTGACGTCCCTGTTATTAAAGGACCGTACACAACAGTGGCCCCACACGGTTGTAACACGTAGTGATGTCACCATCTTAGCTGGTGTAAGCGTCGTGCATACTGCGATGTTTGCATGACACAGTTGCCTGGTGGCACGTTCCTCAGAACTTACCTCTGTCATTAAGAACACATGATTAGCTCATTTATCCAGTGCCAATCATAAGTACACATCAGGCAGAAACATACGGGAACAAGCAGCTGGCACTTGGCTGGCATATAGTCTGCCTGCTGGAGCAGGAGGCCTAGCGCTCCGAGTTTGGTAGACGTGGGCATCTGCCAGTAGCTTTCCCGGGAGACAGGGTCACATGACAGTCACGTAGCAGTGTTGCTTGGGTGGGCTTTGTCACAAGAGGCTCTGTCTGCTGGCTGCCTTACACAGTTGTTCCAAAGGTTTCAAACAGCGAATGTACAAAGGAAGGAAAATTGACAGCCAAGGTCAACCAGCCAGGCGGTGGTGCATTTAGGGTTGAACCCAGGACCCCCGACTCCCAGCCCAGTGCTCGTTTCAAAGGACAGAGTCTTGCTCTTGCCATCAGTAGTATCTCTCAGTGAACATCAGAAACGTAGGGCTCAGGGCTGGACATCCAGGACTCTTTCCGCCCTGCCCTTGGACCTGCAGGTCCTAGGAAGATGCATGTGTGTCCGGTTTGTGTTTCTGCCCCATCCAGCAGGAGAGCATGCCTTTTGCTGTGGTGGGAAGTGACAAGGAGTACCAAGTGAACGGCAAGAGGGTCCTCGGCAGAAAAACCCCCTGGGGCATCATCGAAGGTGAGTCAGTGCGTCTTCTGGGAGAACTGGCTGTTGATCCATTATCCAGCAAGCGTTTGTGAAGCATCTATAAAGCAAGCCACTGTCCTAGGATATGCGATATATGATGAGCGTCAGCCAGCTTCTGCCTGTCGGGAGCCGGCAGTGTGATTCAGAAGCTGATACTGGAGGGCCCAAAGCAATGAGAGACCTATGTGCACCTGACCAGGTGGCTCTGAGTTGTGTCCAAGGAGTTCAAAACCGGGAGGGATTGATGGCTGGAAAGCTGGAGAAAGGTTTTCATGTTAAGGGAGATGTGTGAGGGGATGGTTTGTATTCATTATGAATGGATGTGACTTGGACAGGGTCAGAATGACTGAAAATTTCCGAAGAATCACTTCAGTAGTCTCATTCAATATGATTACCCAGCAAAAGCAGCAGGGCAGGCCCTCCTCTCCTCAGGATATAAGCCGCTGAGACCTCCGGTTTTAGGTTAAGTGCTTTGCCACATAACTCGGCGTGGGTGGGTGTGGGTGTGCTGCTGGCGATCAAACCCAACCTCTTGCATGTGCTATGTAAGGACTCACACACATAACTTATAAATGGTGAAACCTGGATTGCAGACGGATATTTTGATTCCCAAACCAAAGCTCATTATCTTGAATGCTTCTGGTTTTCCTGTGACTCATTGTAGGTTTTTATTTTTTGTGGCTCAGCTTCCCACCCATTGTTGGAATTTTTAAAATAGCACGTTCTTATCATTTACCTTGATTTGGAATTATTTGTGAGACTTGTACAGTCCTTGTGAGATCAGAAGGACACGTCTAAATCTTCCTGCCCCTGCAAGTGGTTTGTCAATATTGGGTGCTCCATTTATGGTTTTGATTTTGGTATTGGGGATCAAACCATCTTGCTAGGCAAGTGCTCTACCACTGGGCTACATCCCCAGCCCTCTCCTTCTGTGCTGAGTTGGATTTATCATGTAGGCCGGGACCTTTTAAAGATGCTCTAGTTGGTATCTTCTCTGTGTTACTTTTTCTTTCAATCTTATTATAAGTTCCAGATAGGAGCTGTAGTTCAGGCTTTGGCAAGTTTCTTAGACTCACTGTGTGTTAGTTTTCTCTTCTGTAAAATGGGAACAATAATAATCCTTATTAGCTATTACTCCCCAGAAGTTAGACCAGTATTATACCCACGGTAGCTGTGTAATATTTGTTCAGTTAATAAAATTCAGTGGAGTAAGCAAGGCCCTGGAAGCGTGACCTGTCTCGTGTCCTCTTTGAGTGCTTCTGTGAGCCAAACACAAATTTACAGAAGTTGCATTAATAAAATGACCACCTGTTTTCTTTTGTTTATAGTGGAAAACCTCAACCACTGTGAGTTTGCTCTACTTCGAGATTTTGTTATCAGGTAAGATGTCCCTCTTCCCCTTGCCTGGACGGCAGGTTTTAATCACTGGGGTCCAGCGCCAGCTATGCAGATTCCTGGACCTCTGGGTCTTTGACAGAACTTTTGGCCCAGTTCTAGCTCCTGTCCCAGAACAAAAGAGCCTGTAGAAGTCAGTTGATCCCGTCCATTGAAGTGATGTTAGCCTCTGAGGCGGGTCACCTCTTCCCCTTCCTGCTCCTAATTTTATCCCTCTCTTTTCTCGTCTCGTGTCCTTCAGGACTCACCTCCAGGACCTCAAGGAAGTGACACACAACATCCACTATGAGACTTACAGGGCCAAGCGGCTCAATGACAATGGAGGCCTCCCTCCGGTGAGCGTGGACACAGAGGAAAGTCACGACAGTAACCCGTGATGGCCCCTCTCTGTGTCATCACACATACCGCCTCTCCACACACACGCATCCCAGACGCCACCTCCAGCCACCTCCTTCCCTTCAGCTCTGTCCCGCGGGGCTGTCTGGTATTGTGGAACATCTCGTCTACATTGTGTGCATGTGTTTGTGCATATGAGGTGTGTGCAGGCATGCGTGTGTGTGTGAGAGAGGGTGGGAGGGAGAGAGCGTGCCTGTGTGTGAGTGTGCAGGGGTGAGGTATTCTCATTACTCTCCCTGTAAAGTCCCTTGTAAGTCTGGTCCCTCCATGACTGTCCACTATCTGTCTCCTTTCTTGTGTCCCAGAACAGGACTTCACTCTCAGAACCAGGAGGCGGGGGAGGTTTTATTTAAAAATGGAGCAGGTGAGCTGCAGGGGCAGGCAACTCTTTCTCACCTCTCACCCCCTGCACAAACCGGGGCTGCAGAGATTCTCGAGGACAGGTGGCTGAGCTGGACATGGATCGGGGCAGGAGCTCAGAACGCCTCCCTGTAATTCAGGAACCTGGGCTAAGGCTCTGGCTTCTCTGGAGCGAGAAAAGGAGGCTCCCGCAGAAAGAATAAAGAATCAGTGCTCTGACCTTTGGGTTTTGTCAGGCTCCCTGTCCAAAAGCTACCACCTGTCCCTGTTCAGATGGATGCTTTCTGTGCTCACCCTGCCTCTGTGTCCTGCCCTCAATTCTTTCCTTTCCCTCCCTGTCTCACGTGTCCCTTTTCCCTTCCCTGTTGCCTATTTCTGACATCTTTCACATCCTTTTAGACGAATCTTTTTAGCTTGATTTCCAGTCTACTTTCAAAAAATGACTTTACCCTAACTTTAAAATCACAATGAAAAGCCCGGGCTAGTGCAAACTGAGATTACAAGAGAAATCAGTGTCATCGATAACAGGAAAGACAGTTTCTGATAGCTGAGGACTGAAATCGGCCCTGGTCAGCCAGGGCCAAGATGCCACAGCGTGTTCTGCACTTCCCTGGCTCCCTCCAGCTGGACAGCCTTCCAAGTGGAGGGACAGCTTTGAAGAAGTACCAGAAACTATGATATTTGTCAGAGGGTTGGCTTCAGGGACAAACCTTAGGTCACACCTGCGTCTTCTCAGACTTCTCTGTTCAGCTGGCGTCTCTGAGGCTCTCCTGGTCTCATCCATATTCGACTCCCTCTTCTCTTGTTCTCTTTTCTGCTGAAGCGAATTCCATTTATGTCTGTCTGTCTGTCTGTCTGTCCATCTCTGCTTTCCCCCATTTTTCCCTCCTGGCTCCTGTAGACATTCCCAGTGATACCCACAGTCATACATTTAGCCTTTTCTTGCCTTTCCTGTAAGCCCCCTATTTATTAATGCATATATTTCCCTTGGTTATAGTACAGATATTACTCTTTCTCCTCTAACCTGTAGTAGGATTGCTGAAATTCGGACCTGGGGAAACGATAGCCTTAGGAAAGAGAAAAGGTGAAGTGACACTGTTTACAGAACCTCCTCCAACCTCCGAGCCCAACTCCTGGTCCAACCTAACTGGTCCTCTCTGAATGCCAGCATTTATAATCCCAGACCTTTATCACTCAGGTGCTAGGAAAAAAAAGATTTAAAGCCCAAGATGGAGTAGACCAGGAGAAAGAGGAGGGGTGATTGGATCACCAGTGTCCCCAGTCATGTAGCCTTAGTCTTTCCTGAAGGCTGGTTGACCAATCCTGACCTTACCCTCCCTCACCCCCAAAGTCACGCCAGGGTGGGCACCTGTTGGGCCAGAGCGGCAGGAGTGTTGGAGCACAGAGCTCACTGGCTTTGGTGGGAGGCCTCCCGGCTCCCACAGCAAGTGGTCCCATATGGAGGCGTGGGCCATGGCCCCCGGGGCCAGCAAGGGAAGACTGAGGGGTGAGGGTGGTGGGTGTTGAGAGGCTGAGCAGGAGAGGGGTGCTTGGCACCCCTAAATCATGTTCCCAGCCTGCCTGGAGAAGCTGTTTTGATGTGACTGCTGCCAGCTGCTGGTCTGCGCACCCTCACCCGTTCTCACCCCTCCCCTGCAGGGAGAAGGCCTCCTGGGCACTGTCCTTCCACCCGTGCCAGCCACCCCCTGCCCCTCTGCTGAATGAAGGCCATTTCAAGCTGCTTCTCCCTCCATTCCTCTCAGCTGTTATTGCTGCAGAGCCGGGCCCCTCTTAGTGCCGGGCTGTTCCGCCACCCTGTGCGGGTGGGAGAGGCCAGCTGCCTCCTCCCCCAGCCAAATCACCCCTCCTGTCCTGAGGAGCAGAGTTCTCACCAGCCTGCACTGCCCTGCCTCACCCCGCCCATCGTCTGTGGCAACCAGCCCCACCCCATCCATAGGGACAAAAAACTCACCGAGAGCTGCTTCTGCCCTTGCCAACCCATACCAGCTACTTGTAACCATCTCCAAGGGGAATGATGTTACTACCCATTCATCTGCATGAGCTACTCTTGGCTTCCTTCAAGGGTCAAAAAAGCAACTTTGCTGCTTGTCACAGTCACTGAAGTCAGCTGTGTGAGCTCTGGCGCAGGACAAGGCTGGGGAGCAAGGGCTAGGATCACTTTTTAAAGAATCGCCACGGGAGGCTGGAACTTACCCACCCTACCCCATAATGCAGCCACTTAGCAAAAGTGGTTTTCCCAAGGAGAGATTCCTAGGGTTGACTTCCTCCTTATCCCCCAAATAAGATGATAAACTAAACACACATCCACAATCCCAGAAACTTACAAGCTATACACTGTAGGAAGAAAAACAGCACCCTCCTGTTCACTTAGCAATAAGAGGGATCTTTCCCCACCTACTTCCACTGTCCGAATCTCCTGTCCCTCACCCTGTTAATGTGAGTAATGAATTAGCCTGGCCACAGCTGGTCGCTGTAGGCTAATGGAAGATACCTAACAGAGGGCAAAGTCCCCATCAGATGCATGAATGTTTGCGAATGTTGCGGCCACTGCCCACCCCCCCCCCACCGTGTCTTTCTAGAATCTCTTTGCCCACTGTACCCCATCTCCACCCGGACACAACTTGCTCAAAGGCTGGTGACTTGTGGGCCATTCATCTGTAACTAAGACCTGATGGAACAAGAGGCCCAAGCCTAGGGGATGCAAGAACGACCCATTTCTTAAATGTTACCAGTCCCAGCCAAACTTTTGGTGATAGTCTGGCTCAATTTCCTAATTGAAAACAAGCCACCAGACACTCAAACCGGTTGTGTAATGTTGCTAGACTTTCTGTGTTGTACAACTAAACATTGCTGTTTGAACGATAACTGCCTGGCCTGTGTCATCTTTGTGCCCCTTGCTCTCTGGCCTAATCAGCCATTATGTCATCGTACCCATGTGTGGAGGGTGAGCCAGGGACCATCTTGGTCAGATTGTGAGATCAGACCCAGGCATTATTTCCTGGGACGTCATAGCCCAAATGAGTGCGAGCCATCATACCTGACCTTATGGCTGCTGTGCTTTGCTTTCCTCAGTGAAAATGATGTGGATTTTCATTAACTTCCTAGCTTTTCCCCTCCTGAAAGCAAAAGAACCAAGTCTAACAAAGGAATGAGCCCCAGAACCTATTTTACAGTGAATAGTTCAAATTGAAGACTTTAAAACATTAGCTTGAACACAAACATCTTGATAGGTCCATCCCTTTTATAGCCAACGAATAACATGCCTCTCATCTATATTTTTTTAAAATCTGTATGTGACAGATGTATGCAGTTATGTGTTGTGTGGCTTCAGCTTTCTGGGGGTGAGTGCAGAGTATAGCAAGAATGGAGGGAAGTGGTGATGGCGGCGAGAATTAGAGGAAGATGAATCAGGAGATTCAGGAATCATTCAAGTAAAATGAGAGTGGCAACAAGATGCCCAAGTGAGAATTGACTGACAGCAGTTAGGCGGCCATCAAGTGTCACAGCTAAAAACCCTAGGAGCTCTTAGTTCAATAGCATCGTGCATACATGGAAACTAAAATTTAGAGAACATAATCCTATAGCCCAAGATTTTGTTTAGTTATTGTGTAGGATAGAGGCTAGATACAGTTCTGGTGGATTTGGTTTGTTCTTGCATTTAAGATAAAGTTCTGAAATAAAGATATGTTACAATTGATGGCATGTAAGTTGGCACTTTATTCCTCCCTGGTACATTAATAATACATTTTATACATGACAGCATTTTACAGTCATGAAATAGAGTAATCACCGAGATGTTAACATCCCTTTATTTAAAGACCCAGTGCTATTTGTAAAGCTTGGAGAAAGCAGGAATATACAATATTCTGGTCCTCAAAGCAATTCGGGTACAAAGCATGCCTCTAGATTCTGACAGCACTTCTGGAGGAGGCAGGGCAGGTAAGATGGAAGTCACTGTCCCTGACTGACGGCTGCACTTCCTCTTCTCTTCCTTCCCTGGAAGACAAGCTATCTCACAAGACAAGCTGCTGTGGTTCCAGGCTTTCTCTGATGAAAACAAGTTTTGCAAGCCTTCACAGAAGCAAGAAATTGTCCTGGTCCCCTTCTCCGAAGGCAGCCCCTTTCTGCCCAGCTGGCGGGAGGCGTTGGCTGATCCTGGCAGAGGTTCTGCAGATGGCTGCTTTTAACTTCCATTCCTGGAGGAATCAACCCAAAGTCTATACCTGGTGGCAGGATCAGCCATGCTGGGGACCAACACAAGGAGACCCCTGATCTATCCTTCAATCTCTTGGCGCTCTGGGGGCGGAGCCAATCTCTGGGCCCGCCCTCTTTCCCATCAGGGTGTGTCTCGCCCTTGACTGCAGGCTCCTTTGACTGTGGTCCTGTCACGTGACCGGCCTGCCCACTCACTGCCGGCCTCTGCGCCATAATCCCCACCCTCCCCTCACGCCCCACCCAGCGGTGCGGTACAAGCCCCGGCCCTTCCAGCCGAGAGACCCCCGTAGCAAGATGGCGGTGAACCAGAGCCACACCGAGAACCGCAGGGGAGTCACCATCCCTTATGGTGAAAGGTGTCTGAGGGGACCCCGGGCTGCTGTGCCAGGGGAGGGGGAAGCGGGAGGGGAAGGAAACGCCTTGCTGGCTTGCAGGCCCTCAGCCAATCAGAGGCTTTCCCGCCTCTTAGGTCTGCCCCTGAAGTTTAAAGCCAAGGCCTTCCCTGCTGTTGGGCTCGGGGACTGAGGTCGCGGGTGGAGGCGCGTGGCATCGAATGCATGAAGGGTGTTTGGAGGGCACCTGCAGGTCACCTGGAAGGCGCTGACACCTCAGAAAAAAAGGCGAGAACCCAGTGGCCATTGTCTGTGGCTGCCCCCTCTGCCTTCAGTGTCACAGTGCATGTGACCCTGCAGGGGACCCTGGGAGAGCCGGAATAGGGACCCACTGTGGGGACTCAAAAAAGGCCCAAGGAAATAGAATACAGATCATTCTGGAAAGAACTGTTGTGGGCCTCTTCTGGCACAAGAGAGAAGGATTTCAAATGCTGATTTTTTTTTTTTTTTTGGTACCGGGGATTGAACTCATGACCAACAGGAAGCTTGCCAGGCAGGTACCTAAGCCACTGAGCTAAATCCCCAGCCCTTCAAATGCTGATTTCTGATGTTCCTCAAAAGATACTTTCGGGGCTGGGGATTTAGCTCAGCGGCATAAGCGCCTGCCTTTCAAGCAGGCAGTTGTGAGTTCGATCCCTGGTACTGATAAAAATGAAAAAGACCAAAAAAAAAAAAAAAAGATACTTTCATTCCATAGCTGCCCCAGAGGTTTTGCAGCTAACCAGCTGCATCAGATACCCTAGCCCTCCAGCACTCCGGGAAGTGTTTGCTTTGGCTGCAGCAGCCTTTGGTGGTGGAACTAATTTTGAAGCAGAGGGTGACAAAGAACCAAGAAGACAAGCCAGGAGTTGCCATTCTGGCAGCCTGCTGGTTGCTGCTGGTTCCAGGTGGTTAGGAGGGCCACTACTACCAAAAGAGCGGGTAGCCCCTGGCATTCAAAGCCCAGGGCTGTTAATACTAAGAGTTACACTTTGTCAATTCATGATTTTTGTCCGAATTGAGTAAGAGCCCTCAGTTAATTCATAACATCTTAGGTGTGGGTGTGGGGAACCCTCTCTAGAGAGTCCTGAAAAGGAGGGTGAATCCCTGTGACGATTGTCAGTAGCGCACATTTGATTTCCAGCCTGTGTGGGGCTAAGGATTCATGCCTGCCTCTGACACTTCCTGGCCCGTGGAATTTTTCCTTGTTTCTCCACACCAGAGGTAGATGACTGTTCACTTTTGAGAAAAGTCAGGACTGAAAGAGATGCCAGGAAGAATGATGCCATCAGCCTCAAACAGAGCTGTGTGGCTGCAGCTGAGGCTTCTCAGATGGAAGGAGCTTGTCTTGAGGCAAAATTGGGCACCAGAGCCTGGGCTCCACTCCCCTCTTTATTCCACACTCCCTACCTGCTTTTTTGCAGTAATTCTCCATCTCCCAGCATGCAGTTGTGAATTATGCTCTTCTCTTTACCCTAATTTTTCTTTTCTCCCACTGTTACAGACCTCCTGTGTTCAGAAGTAGAGCTTTCTTAAGTGGTTGAACCACAGGGGTGATGTAGCTGACTGTTAGGAAGTGGGGTCTGGTGGGAAGTCACTGGGGGTGTGATGGTGGTGGGACCTGGAAAGGTACCTCCCTCCCTGGATCTTCCCTTCTCCCTTGGCTTCCTGCCTGCCAGGATGTAAACAGCTTTAAATATGAGCCCAAATAAACCTTTCCTCCTTGAAGTTTGGGGCATCAGGTATTGGGTCCCAGCAATGAGAAAAACCTAGTGGTGAGTACCAGGTGCCCCACCAAGGTCAGTGTGAATGCATTTTTCAGGCAGACCCAAGAGAACATCCCCAGGTGCTCATGTCTGTGCTGCCTTCCCCATGAACGTCTTCTTGACAGTATTGTACCAGCTGTGGAGCTCACACATCCCCACTTGTTCCTGAAATTCTCTGGTGCTTTTTACAGTTTGATAGATGACTGATGACCACTCTGACCGTGACGTCTCTGTGTGCAGTGACCCAGAGCACTGTAACCTTTGCACTTGTCATTTTGTGTCACAAAGCCATTGCTAATTTGGTGCTTGGGGTGTCTTGTTACTCGGGCTAGAGTCTGTCCCTCTGCTTTGCTGTTTGTGTGTTAGAGGCAGGGAATGAAGTGTGCTTTTTAAAAATTAAGTAGGAAACACTGAGTTATCTTTATGGAGTCCTTTCTGTGCTCTTGAGTATTTAATAATAGCATTCATTGTACAGTTAAAAATCCCAAGCACTGTTGTAGACACTTATAGCTAAAACTGCTCTAAAACAGAAGGAATCTGCTCAGAATCATATGTTCTGTACATGCAAAGAGCTTGGTTTGGATTTGAACTTAAGCACTATGCACTCCTGCCATCACGCCAGCTGTCTCTCTAAAAACAAAAGGATCATTTCTCTGCTTGCTTCTTACCAAAGAAGGCCCTGTCAGTGCTTTGGCTTCCAGGATAGAAACTAAGGAAATAGCTTGGGAAGGAGATTGGTTCTATTTTGACTCCTTCCTTCGGTACACAGTACACACTTGAGAAGTTTGTCACAACTTGGCTGCGGTTTGTACAGAAATTCTCTGATCCCAGCTCAGAAGTCACGCATGTATGGGCCAGCCTGTGCTGTCAAATGGGGAAAGTGCCGAGTTTTATTTTATCTGTTATTTAATACTTGTGCAAATAATAGCATATTGTTACTATAGAAAAATCAGGAAATAAAGTTATGAGCCCCAATTCCAGGATCTAGTAATTTTCACACCTTGTATGAAATCTTTTTATGTTTTTCCTATAAAAATACACACTCTGCCCCACTGCTTTGGAACTTGTTTTCCTAATTCACCAATATATTCAGAAAGTGTTCCAGTGCCAATACCCACATCATTAGTTTCAGTAAATCTTGCACTAAATATTTTTGAAACATATTGTGGCCCATCTGCCAGAATGTTTCTTTGGGATATATTTCTAATTTGTTTTTATTTTTGTCTTTTTGAGACAGGGTCTCGCTATGCAGTTCAGACTGGCCTTGGGCTCACCTTGTAGCCCACGCTGGTCTTGAACTCGCAGTGATCCTCCTGCTTCAGCCTCCTCAATGCTGGAATTATAGGCTTGAGCCACCATACCCAGTTTAAGAGTTTTCTTAAAGGAGGTTTTTTTTTTTTTTTTTACTATTTTCTTTTTTGGTATCAGGATTTGAATTTAGGGTCTCACGTTTGCCAGGGAGGTGCTGTGTTGTTGAGCTATATCCCTGGCCTGGGATATATTTCTAAAAAGGAAATTTTCTTTTTTGGGTCTTTTTCGTTTTTATCGGTACCAGGGATCGAACTCACGACTGCCTGCTTACAAGGCAGGCACTTATGCCGCTGAGCTAAATCCCCAGCCCTAAAAAGGAAATTTTAAGTGAGATTTTAAAATATTTTTTTAAAACAACCAATCTTTATGAAAAAAATCTTCTGAAAAAACACAAAATTGTGTTACAGAATATCAGTTTATGTTCTTTTCAGTGTTCCTAGTACCTATTTCACTGTACCCTTCCCAACAGCACTGTCTGTCAGCGTTAAATAAGTCTGCTCCCCCTGCCCGAAGCCCCTGCTAATGACCATTCCACTTTCTGTTTTTATCAATCTGATTTCAAACAGTCATGTAAGTGGAATTATACAGTATGTCTTTCTGCTACTGGTTTGTTTAACTCAGAATAATATTCTTAAGATTCATCCATATAGCATGCCTGCAGAATTTTCTTCCTTTTCAAGGCTATTACTCTGTTTATGTATCACATTTTCTTTACCCATCCACCAGTGGGCTCTGATTTGCATTTCCCTAATTAATGATGTTGAGAACTTTTTCATGTGATGCTTGTTGGCTAGACTTCTTTTGTTTTCAAACCAAGTCGCACCATGTAGCCCAGATTGGCCTTGAACTCAGAGAGATCCTCCTGCCTCAGCCTCCTAAGTGCTGGAGTTATAGGCCTGCACCACCATGCCTAGTGTGTTGACTATTCTTGTTATTGATCTATATCTTTCTAGGAATTTGCCCACTTCTTTTAGGCTACCTAATTGGTTGTCATATAATCGTTTATATTACTGAGAAGTTGGCTGTTCACAGTTCTCAAAAAACATTTGTTGAAGAGAACATATTTTCCCTTATAGAGTGGCCTTGGCCCCTTTGTTGAAAATTGGAAGATTCACCCTTCCTGATTTCAAAACGTATTAAAAACCTACAATCGTCAAAACAGTGTCACATAGAGACAAACATATCAGTGGAATCGAATAAACCATCACATACACAGCCAAGAGATTTTCCACGTCTCCTCCTTTTCCTCCTCCTCTTTCTCCTCCTTCCTCCTCAGCCTTCTAAGTGCTGGACTTACAGGCATACACCACCACACCTGGCAATTCTTTAAATATTTGATAGGATTATCTAGTGAAGCCATCTGGTCCTGGACTTCTTTTCACCAGGAGGTTTTTGATTACTGATTTGATTTCTTGTTGTTGCTCCATGTCTTTCTAGGAATTTATCTATTCTTAGCTTTCCAATTTGTTGGTGTTTAATTGTTCATACTATTTTCATAATTCTTAGTATCTCTGTGGCATCAGTTTTAATGATCTCTCTTTCATTTTTTTTTTTTATAAACAAACTTGTCATTTAGTAAGTCTGTCATCACACAGTGTTATACGTGGTCAACTGTTAAAGTGGTTTTTTTTTTTTTACCAGATCTTAGTTTAAAAGGTCAGAGATACTGTGAGTTCCATATAAACCAGCGGGCAGCAAGTTCATTCCTCTGTTCTGACTTACAATCCTCAACTTCGCTGCAGAATGAAGAATGGAGGCCAATGAAAGCATAATCATTTGCTTGTGTAAAACACTGTTGTTTCTGTCACTCGAACATCTCTGAATAGACGAGGTCAGACTGGTCCAACTATAAAAAGATCGCTTAGTGAGCAGATTGTATGAAAATTGTACAAAGGGGTATGAACTTTAATTACAATAGCTTCAACAGCACTATATTAAAATCAGAAATATGTTTTTGGATCCCCAAGGAGGTGGCACGTGTATGCAGCCATGCCACTGTGTCCCAAGTGGGGAGTCAGTACACATCCCAATAGAACCTGGCTGTAGGAAAGAGCCAGAAACTTTTAAAAGAATGGCTTTCACCATAATTTTAAGTATGCATCATATGTGATGCTGGCAAGGGTAATGGTTATCCTAGCTGTTGAGTTATAAAAGCTGTTTGCACACAACAAGCCAACAAGAAGAAAAAGCAACCCCTTTAAAAGCAAATTTTAAGATAAAAAGATGTCCAAAGTGGTTTGTATCAACAGGATGCATTTTATAACAATAACATGTACAGATTCAGAGCGCCCTAGGGCTCTCTCTCTATAGTCTAAAGAAAATGAGACTTTATATTATTCATGGGTTGTGCTGAACTGAAGAAGATCATGTGTACACTTACCCCTCAGACAGGCTCAACCATCCTGCAGTGTATAGCTTTTAGCACCATGGTTAAAGTTGTTTGCAAAAGGAACAGGGAATTAAAAAGCAAAAACAAATACTCTTCCTTGGGGGTTGATCATCTTCCATTTGGTGTTATGACCAGAAAATTTCATTCATTAAATCAAAAACAGAACGAGAGGCACCCCAAAGCACAGATCTATCTGAGCAAGCTGACCAGTACACATTACAGTTTTTTAAACGAAGGCTTCCCCACTTTGTGTTACAAGTCCTGACTAGGCAATGTCAAAATGACCTGTTTCTGTGCTTTGCTTTGTGATCAGACTCCTAAATCTGAAAGGAGCCCATGATTGGTTTGTCCATACTCGGCCATGGCTCTGCAGTGTCCAAGTCTCCACGGTAACTGGGTGCAGAAAACAGCGATCTGTTTGCAAAAAATTCAGACCCATTTTCAACCACCTAATGAATGGGTTTTCCCTAGAAGATCCAAATCATGCTTATAGAGAGATTTTGCAAGCACTTGGGTACCAGATGTGAACGGCACTCCTCTGTCATTTTCATTCTAGCCTAAGATGTCTTTCTTGGGGTCAGACTGCAAAAGGTCACAGAGTATTTTCTAATTTTTCTCATGACATTTTTTTTTTTTTTTTTGGTGGCGATGGAAATTGAACCCAGGGCCTTCACACTGTACTACATCTCTAGCCCTTTTTTAGTTTCTTTTGAGACAGGATCTTGCTAAATTGCTAAGTTGCCTAGGCTAGGCTTCCAGTCCTCCTGCCTCAGCCTCCCAGGTGCTGGAGTTACAGTCGTGTGCCACTACACCCAGCTACAAATTGCATCTTTATACATTGTGGACAAATTACTAAAAATATTTTTAAAATAGTTATTTTTTTCAAATATATAATTTATTCTTTTTTATAATTATTTTTCTGCTCCCTCCAGCACTTGGCACAGACACAGGGAAGGTAGGTTAGAATTTTCAAAGCTGCTGCCAGCTGAGGAGTAGGGATGCCATGGAGCTCGTGTCCTGAGATTCAGCTTCCTTCCCCTTGTAGAAACACTTAGTTGCTACAAACTTTTTCTGTTTTGTCTTCTTTTTCACTTTTGTTGAACTTTTTTTTTTTGGTACTGAGGATCAAATTCAAATTGCAAGGCAGGTGCTTATGCCGCTGAGCTAAGTCCCCGGCCCACTGTTGTTGGACTTTAACCATAGTAGTGTACATTTTCTTGATAGGCATAGGGTAGTTTTTCGGAAACTCTTCTTACTCTGTTCTTGATGGCTGCTGAATAAGATTTGCGGAAGGTCTTTTGAATATTTTCTCTTTGACAGTAAAGTGATATCTAAAATCTAGACTGGCTGGACATCCCAAGAGCAAGCCTGTTTGGACTCACTGTGGGGCCCACTACCTCCTGGACCTGTGGCAGCTTTTTCGGTTCTGTTTCCTACTTCTTGATTTTCACCTCTTTTTCAGTTCTCTTTTATCTTTGCATCACACAAATCAGGTAGGGATTTCCATTCCATTCTGTTACAGACCATTCGGTGTAGTTATGATTTCCTATATAAAAAGGAACTCTTTATATATAAAAGTAGGAACAAAATAAATTCAGTTGAAGTTTAGATGGTTTATCTTTTTTTTTTTTCTTCATAGGGATAGTTTGTTGCTTGCAGCACTGTTCTCTCCAGATCCCTTCTTCCCAAAATTCATTGGCTATTTAAAGTGCTCCCCGGGGCCCAGGGTTTTGGCTCAGCAGCATAAGCACCTGCCTGGCAAGTGCGAGGTTGTGAGTTCAATCCCTGGCACAAACAAACAAACAGCACTTCCTGACTTTGTCCCACTCAGGGCTTGTTATAGCAGACACCATCATTATTACTCTAATGACCTCTTTTTCGGGTGGACGAGGGACTATGTATTTGATGGCATGTTAGGTTTCCATTGCTGTGACCAAAATGTCTGGAAAAACAACTTAAAGGAGGAAAGAGTTATTCTGGCTCATGGTTTCAAAGGGTTCAGTCCATGGTAAGGTGGCTGTGTTGCTTTTGGACCGTGGTGACGTGGAGCATCGTGGCAGAAGGGTGTGGAGGAGGAAAGCTGCTCGCTCCCTGGCAGCCAAGAAGCAAAGACAGACAAACCAGAGAGGAAGGGGCCAGGGGCCAGCTATGATCCCCAAGGTCATGTCCCCATGACCAGTCCCTTCAACTAGGGCCCAGCTCGGGTTTCCATCACCTCCCAGCAACCCCACTGAATTTGGATCTCTGGATTAATCTCTGGATTAATCCACTGACGGGGTTAGAGGCCTCACGGTCCAATCGCCTTCCAAAGCTCCACTTCCAGACACAAGAGACCTTGGAGGGTGTCTTAACTGTAAACTGTAACAGACACCCTGTCTTCAGTTTGCCTTTGCTCACAGGTGTCAACCACTTGAAACACAGCTCGCTTGAAACGTAGAACTAGGTAGTCAGTTGCCATTTATTAGTTTATTAATTTTCTGTTTTTATTGAGACTGAAAAGATTGCTTCAGATGGCTGCTTGTGTCTGTTTGGAGGTCTTTAAGCTGGTTTTGAAGCCTCAGGGAGGAGGGGGGCAAGCACTGGCATCAGCTGCATCTCATGGCCAGAGTGTGTGCAGGGGCCTGGAGGCTTCCGGTTAGATTTTAGGGTTCTGACAAAAATGATTCTCAGAATTTTGGCCACTTTACTCATTGCCTTTGTGACTAGATGTTTGCAGTTCCCTACTCCACTTTTTCTGATATCCTCTATTTTCAGAGACGTTCAAAAAACTCTCGTTTTTATCTGCACACACCCCTGTAGTTCCAGTTCTTGTTACCTGAAATCAGGACTATTTTAAGAACTCTTAGGCCACCTCCTCGGTCACGTGACTTCCTTCCTGAGCATCTACAGCCCACACACAGTTCCTCTTTGCCGCTCGAATGATGTCCCCAGGCCTAGTCCCAGCGTGGCTCCACCTTCACTCCCTAACCTCACCCCATGCTGGGCTCTGACAGCCACACTGCCAGGTTTCTCCAAAGTACCTAACTTGCTCTCCAGGCTCTGCTCCTGCGCCTCCATTCTCGCTGTTTGCTGCCCATCTGAATCACCTCCTGTCCTCATCTCTGCCTACCCAAGCTACCCCTCCTCAGGAATCAGCTCAGATTGTAGCCTGAGCGATGTGGTGTCGTACCCATTTGGTTCAACCAAAGCTAATCTCTTCTCCCTTAGTTGTGACATTTTGGTGCTGTTTAGATCGTGCCTGTTATCGATGGCTTGCATTATCCTCTGTATTCCTGTTTTCATTCATTCTTTCTGTAAATATGTAGTAACAGTCATTGGAGGACTACGGTAGTAAAGAAAGCAGTCATTGTCCCTACTAATCATTAGGGAAGACACTGAACAAGTCAGGGATGTATAATAATTATTAAGAAACCAAAAATATCTCAGCACGATTCTATGAGTGAGAAAAGGATGAGCCCAAGTTTCCAGGTAAAGAGTAATGACCAGGAGGGGCCCATGCAGCACCGTGTCAGGGGCTGAGACAGCCTGCGTGTCTTCCCTTCTCACCAGGGACAAACGTTTTCATCAGCCCAGAGCTTTACACCTATTGTACAAGAAGAATAAGATTATGTGAACAAATATTAAAAATAGAGGTATAATTGGCAAGAAAGTGAATGCCACTGTCAGGAGAGAGAAGAATGAATTGTCAGAGAACAAGATCACTTGAATTCCTTTTTATTTCATTCAAATAGTAGCTGTTGCTGGCTGCATGCCTGTCATCCTAGCAACTCGGGAGGCTGAGGCAGGAGTCTCTCCAGTTCGAGGCATTGGTTACACCCCGTCTCAGAATAAATAACAAAAAACTGTGAGGGGCTGGAACTGCAGCTCAGGGATGGGGCATTTGCCTAGCATGCATCAGGTCTTGGGTTCAACCCTCACTACTAAAAAACGAAGAGGTTCAGTGGTTGACATGTACAGTTGCGTGCTTAGTCTAGACTAGAAACTGCTAGGACTTTCCACGAGCCACCTCACTTACATGCTGTGTTCTCTGTGCCCTTCCTCCGCCAGCGTCTTGATGCAGAGCCCGGATGTGGAACTCTCGTTCCCGCAGCAACCAGAGGGCTCCGGCCTCTTCGGCGGTACCAAGAGGGGGGCACTGTTTCTCACTTCATACCGGGTAATTTCCCCTTCCTTCCCATCTGCTGGTTCCTCTGCCTGCATTTCTCCTAAAACTCAAGAGAAACTCAGCACCGGCTTTCAAAGCGGTTTAAAAACATTTGCACTTTGAGATTTTCCATGTTGAAGAGGGCCGGGGCGGAAATAATGGGGGCCACTTCTCAGTTAGGCCAGGACCCCACAGCAGCCTCAGCCTTGCTCTAGGAGTCCGAATCCCTGCACAAACTCTGCATTCCTTGTCCCAAGTTTGTTTCTCCGCTTAGGTGATTTTTGTGACGGCGCACTCGGTCCAGGACCCCATGCTGTCTTTCATGATGCCTTTTAACCTGATGAAGAACTGCGTGGTGGAACAGCCAGTCTTCGGGGCAAATTACCTTACGGGGATCATTCAGGCAGCCCCGGGTGGTAAGAGCTTCCCCTCGAGAGCTGCTTCTGTTCCTTGCCCCTCCGCAGACTCTGGAGGATCCAGCTTCAGAGGTGGCCTGGGCTGGATTCGAACTGCCTGGAGCAGTGCTTCCCTGGGTGTTTGTGCAGACCTGTTGCCAGCCCTGCATCTCTGAGCGAGCTTTTGCCGTTTTTCCCCCCTAGGCGGCTGGGAAGGACAGGCGACTTTTAAATTCACCTTCAGGAAAGGAGGTGCCATCCAGTTCGCCCAGCTGATGATGGAAGCCGCCTCGGCTGGTGAGCGACGCCGTGCGACCCGAAGCAGCTGGGGGTTCCGAGGAACCGAAGTGGGGTCGGGGCTGAGCCCAGGCCTGCAGGTTCTGGTCACTTGGGATTTGCACGTGTATTCCTGAGCCACCTGCTGTGTGCCAGGTCCCACGTAGATACTCAGCCTCTCTCTGTCTAGAAGGAGCCTGCAGTGCGGCGGGGGCATCCAGCGACCTTTAAAGGACTAATCACACCTGACGGAAATGCTGGTCCTTTGCCTCCATCCAGCCGATCTTTCCCCCTCTGGTTACCTGCACTCCTCTCAGGTTTAGTCTTTGTCTTCCATGAGCGGGAACAGAGGCATTTACCCCTTCCACACTGATCTAACGGATGTACCAGAGAACTCTCAAACTTTGACTAGCAGTAACCCTTTGGGATGTATTTTTGTTGAATTTACCCTCACCTTTGCACTCTTACCTTTTTGTTTTGTTTTGTTTTTGAAACAGAGTCTTGCTGTGTAGCACAGGCTGGCTCACAGTGATCCTCCTGCCTCAGCCTCCTGAGTGCTAGGATCGCAGGGCTACGCCACCATGTCCAGCACGCCTACCTTTTTTTATTCCCTAAACACACTCTACTTTTCTCTTATTCTCTCTCATCTCTGACCCTTCATGCTATTTTTTGCTCCATCTGGAGCACGTCTTCTTCTCCCTTGCCTTCCACTCCCCACCCCAGTCCAGCTGAGACAACACAGTCTGGTGGACACAGATGTGCAGCTACACATCCCAGCTCCTGGCTCGGGCTGAGAGAGGCACAGACATAGTCAGGGGCCATAGAGAAGGGTGGCACGAAGTCTCTAGCTTAGGAGACGACTAGATCCTGACGCTATAACCCACAATCAAGGACACGGTGCATTCTAAATTGGAAGAGAAGCGAGCTTGGTTTTAGAACATAATTCTGGCTAATTTTAGTAAATGTTTACCATACACTGGGCAGTATCCCGAGCCCTTTATATTATTTAATCCTCAGGAAAATTTATGATGCAGGTAACATCATTATCTCTACTTTATGGCTGAGGAAATTGAGTGCCTGAAATATATTAACAATTTTCCAAGACCATATACTCAGCAAACAGTGAAGCTAAATCTATTTTTTTTAAACTTTTTATTGTGAAAAGATAAATCAGAGCTAGAGAAAAGTTGAAAAAATATAATAATGAAATGTCTTCATTCAGAGTCACTCATTTTTAACTTTTTTTTTTGTCTTTTTTGTTTTTATTGGTACCAGGGATCGAACTCGTGGCTGCCTGCTTGCAAGGCAGGCACTTATGCCGCTGAGCTAAACCCCCAGCCCCAATTTTAACATTTTTTATGTCTGCTTTTTTTTCTTTTTCTCTTTTCTTTGCTTTTGTTTTTGTTGAAGTATCTGGATTAAGTCCCAAGAATTGTTTTCTTTATTTCTAAATGCTCTTACCTAACTTCCATAAGCTTATCAAATTCAGGTTAGCCCTCACACAATATTATTATTTAATATATAGTTTATATTAAAATTTAAATATTTATCAAATTCAGAAAATTGAACATTGACTCAATGTTATTATCTAGTGGGGATACAGCTCAGTGGCATAAGTGCCTACCTGGCAAGCAGCAGGTCCTGAGTTTGAGTCTCAGTATCAAAAACCCAATGTTATTATCGAATATGTAACATATTCACATTCAAATGATTACTCCATTACTGTTCCTAATCCTAATACCACTTCCCTACAATTCAGGATCTAACTCTGGATCACAGGTTGAACTTCATTGTCCTATTTTCTTGGTCCACTTTAATCTGAACCTTAGCCTTTGTCATTCATAACACTGGCATTTCAAAAAGACACAGGCTTGGTGGCATGTGTCTGTAATTCCAGTGCTTAGGAGGCTGAGGCAGGAGCATTGTGAGTTTGAGACCTGCTGAGACTACATACCTAGACCCTGTCTCAAAACAAAACGAACAGGGGTTTATTGTTTATTACAGTGCCTCTTCATTTGGGTGTGTCTTGTTCCTCATGATTATATTTAGGCCATGCATATTGGCAGGAATACTATATAAACGACGTTGTGCTCTTTTGCACTTGGCCTTTTAGGCCACACACCGCACTGTGAGGCACCTGGGTTGCTGGAGGCGCTCACGGAAGAGCTGTACCTGCAGGCTGGGAGCCCTCTAAGCACAGCCGGGGCTGTGTGACGTGGGCTCACATAGGGAACTGCAGCCAGAGTTCCTTCCTATCAAAGTTAAGGCCTGGGAGGGAAGAGAATGGAAGATAAGGGAAAGAAAGGTGTAAGGAAAAGGAAGATAAGGGAATGGGTGATTTTCAAAGGAGAGAGAAGAGGCTGAACCAGAGAGGAGGAGAATCATGTGAGTTTATGTCTAAAGAGCCAAGGGAGGAGAAAGTCACAAGAAACGGGATGGCGAGCTGCTTCAGAGATGCTGGGAAAACAGAGCTGGCAGCGTGCACTGCAAAGGACAGAGAGTTCAGTGATGCTGGGGAAGAGCCACAGTACAGGCGGCTGGCGGCAGGATCAGTTTCTGCAGCTACTGTAGTGACACAGTGCGGAGATGATGGCGAGGCAGTGGAGGCCACCACTGTACTGACCTGACCTCTGTCTGCTTGTTCGGAGGCCGGAATGCCTCTGCAGCTGTAATTTGGGTAACAGGGCGTCCTGCAGGCAGACAGGGTGTAGCTATGGGTAGTCTGGGATCCGGGGACACTTGGGAATCTGGCTCTTCTCTGGTACAGAGAGGCCTGGGAACTCAGAAAAATTGCACGCTGGGTCATGATTCGATTTACTTTGGACTTCTTAGTACCGAGGAGGGCTTCTGTTTAGAATTATGGGCTAAGTGTCAGGCAACTTTAGTTACTCTCATGTGTGCTCCCATTAAGATCTGTTTATTTTATTTATTTTTTTATCGGTACCAGGGATCGAACTCATGACTGCCTGCTTACAAGGCAGGTGCTGTTGAGCTAAATCCCCAGCCCCTAAGATCTGTTTCTTAGTCTGCAAAACTAGGTTCAGGGTCTCAAATGTTGCATAGCCATTTGGAACAGATGTAGGCAAACCTGGTCCAATATGTGGACCTGCTCTGGTCTGATTATATCATGGCTCAGGAGTTGACACCTTTCTACTGCCAACCCCATACCTGAGGTCAGGGCTTCCGAGACAGTTAACTGCCTGTCAGGCTTCATGGTCTGATGCTGTGAGCAGCAGGAAGGATTCCCTACCCCTCTGTGGAGTGGCTTTGTCTGGGCTCTGTGAGTCGTGTTTTGGACATGTACGCTCATATATATTGTGTACAGAATCTTGGATGACACGAGAAAATAACCATGAACAAGATATACAATCCCTAGCTTTACTAAACTTATAATTTAGTGAGAGTCATACAAATAGGCTAACATACAAGTGAATAAAATAATTACTGTGGGAAGTACTGATAAAGGAGTGTAATTGAGTGAAGAAGGAAACTTTACAGTGAATTAGGACAACTGCTGGTATAAACTGGGTGTAATGGCGCACTCCTGTAATCCCAGCACTCGGGAGGCTGAGGCAGGAGGATCGTTGCAAATTTGAGACCAGCCTGGGCTACACAGTGAGCTCAAGGTCAGCCTGAACATAGTGAAACCCTGGCTCACAAAGACAAATTCCCAGTACAAAGAGAAAAAAGAAAAGGGGAACTGCAGCTAGCTTCTGAAATAGGTAAACCACAAGTTTTCAATGCTGAAGCCAGCAGATACTACTGCCTTTGTAAGGGCCCACCGGCAGGTCAAGAGAGGGCTGTGTTCCACGGTCGTTCAGGCACCCTGGGTGAGAGAATCTCAGCCTCTCTGTGCTCCTATGGCCTCGCCGAGGAGCCAACAGAGAACGCGAATGGAAGGAAGTAAAGGTCTCACCAGAAAGTGTTCATGGGTCAGACCCGGACGCTGGGTACATTAATTCTGGCCACCTGCTGCAGGTCAGAGTTCAGTGTGGTAGATTCACAATGGATCCTGAAGACACATCCATGTCCTAATTTTCAGAACTGTGAATGCCACCTTACGTATAACAATGGTCTTCGTCAATGTAATTAATCTGAGGATCATGAGATATTTTACCCTGGATTATCTTGGTAGGCACTGACTTCCACAGCAAGCATTCTTGTGAGATATAGAGGCAGGAAGACAGAAATGCTTTCTTCTCTCCCAGGCTCCCTGTACACTGGTCTTTAATGAATATGCCTGGCCACCTTGATAGAATCTTCCCGGGGAAGATTTTTCTGAATATCTGTCATAATAGATGCTCTGCGGGGCTGTGAATAATCATAGACAAATGAGACACAACGTCTGTCCTCGGTAAACTTGAGTTCAGGGTAAGAGTCACATATATCTTTTAGCCCAGGAACGTTGTTGAACACACTTATGAGGTGGCGGTTAATACTCTGCTAATTATTTAGTTGATAGCTTCTTTTTATCTGACTTAAAAGAACTGAGAATTCCTATTTTGCCAAATTTGTCTTCTCAGCTGCCCGGGGATCCCCACTTGGAACTGATTATTGGTTCGGGCCTCTAAGAATTTATATTGTTACCGGGGAAGGAGGCAGCTGCCCTGCAGAGACACCTTGTCAAGGTAAGGAATGGCGCAGATGGGGAAGTGTGCCAGGGGCTCAGACACGCCTCCGCTGCAGGAGAAGCTGCAGAGGTTTGGGGTTTGGAAAATAGTCAAGCCCCAGATTTTGTTTCCAGACTGAAAATGGTATCAAGTCAGCAAACGACGACTTGCCTGTGTGATGCAGAGAACCTGAGCTGCTCCTGTCCATGGGAAGCTTAGAGCTTCAGGCTTGGCACCGAGCAGAAAGCATGGCTCTGCTTTCTCCTCCTCCTCATGTGTCACTGGCAAAGCCATCGTGCCTCTGTCATGCCCTTCGAGCCCACTGAGTGCTCAGGCCCTTGGCTTCTGCCCTGTGAACTCTAACCCACAGAGGCAGGTTCTGGTGTGAGAATCAGTCACTTGGTTGTGGTCTGTGGTCCACTGGTGGAGCGCAAAGGATCACCTGGTGGAGCGGACACAAGATTCCAAAAGGGGGCCCTCATGTGGGCTCCTTTTGGGGTGTGCTATGCAGGAACACAGGCCTTTAATTTACAACCAGAGGCTATTCACTTATAACCTTAATAGTTATCGTGGCTTCTAAAGACTGTTAGAAAACTGTATTCGTAATCTAAAGGTAAGGATTGTTAGAGTTTGAAAAAAAATTATTGAGATAAAATTCACATGTTTTGCTTTTTAAAAAATTTTACCTGGCAAACATGAGTTTATGAGTTCAATTTCTAGTATAAAAAAATTTGTATTAGTGCACATTTTCCATACATAATGACTACATTCATCATGGAGATTGGATACATGTACCTTACACCTCTGAATTCGTTTTATGTCTCCTTTGCCATCCCCACTTCCCCTTCCCTCCATCCATCAGTCTTTCCACTTGAAAAGATCAATCACTCTGTTTCCTATTATCCATGTTTTAATTTGCTCTTCAATTTATTTATATGTTGGGTTTCCCGTATAAGAGAAGCCATGAGATATTTAAACTTGGATTTGCTTGATATTGCTACCTTCAATTTAAGCGGGGAACACATCTTAACTTGTTAACAGTAATTATGCTGTTAGTTGTGGGATTTTTTCAGTAGATATTTTTAAAAATCAAGTTGGGGCATTTTAACTTTATTCTGAAATTTCCATGGGTGTTTGGTTTTTAAAATCAAAGCTGAATATTGGATTTGGTGGACTACTACTTCTGCGTCTTTTGATATGGGCATCTGATTTTTCTTTTTCTTTTTTTTTTTTTTTTTTCCTGTCTTTCTCCTTTTTATCGGTACCGAGGATTGAACTCACGACTGCCTGCTTGCAAGGCAGGCCCTTATGCTGCTGAGCTAAATCCCCAGCCCCTGATTTTTCTTTTTTGATCTTGATGATGCAATGAATTAGATTTATTCTCAAATATTGAACCAGATTTGTACATCTGGAATAAGTCATGCTTGGTCATTGTGTACAACTTTTTTTAGGTATACTTGGATTTGACTTGTTAATAATATTGTTTTGAGGATATTTGCAATTATTTTCATGAAAGATATGTATTGGTATAGTTGTCTTTTCTTATGACATCTTTGTCTGTATTTTTGGTCCCAGAGAATGAGTTTGGAATGTTGCCTCTATATTTATTTTCTGAAAGAGAGTGTAATGGGGCTGGGGATTTAGGTCAGCGGCATAAGAACCTGCTTTGCAAGCAGGCGGTCGTGAGTTCAATTCCTGGTACTGATTAAAAAAAAAAAAAAAAGAAAGAAAGAGTATAGCGAATTTGTATAACTTCTTCCCTCCCCAAACAAAGCCGGTGCTTTGTTTTATGGAAAGTTGTAATATTGATTACATCTGTTTAATAAATGTAGCGCCCACATTCTCTTTCTATAGTTTTGGTAGTTTGGCTCTCTCAAGGAGCTGGTTCGTTTAATCTAAGTCACTTTATTACACATGAATAGGGCTGTTCCCTGTTTCCTTTCGGATATAGTAGATTGGGCCGGGTGCAGGTGGGCACCTGTAGTCCCAGGAACTTGGGAGGCTGAAGCAGGAGCATCGCTAGAGTCCAGGAGTTCAAGGCCACCCTGAGCAACAAAGCAAGACTGTCTCAAAAGAATCCCGCCCCCTCGCCTTCCCTTCTCTGCCGACTCCCTGCCCTCTTTTTTCCTTATAAACAGGTTCATCTGCTCTACTTTATCAAATTGTTGATTTTCTGTGTTGATTTCTTGTTTTCAAATTTTATTGACTTCAATTTTAATTTTAGCTTTTAATTCTTCTGCTTTTGCTTTCGTTGCCCTTCTTTCTTTAGTGACCGAAGGTGGAAGCTTAGAGCCCGATTTTAGACGAGTATCTGCATTCAGTGCTTTAAGGTCCTTCTCTAAACACTGACTATAGTCTGTTCCACAGATTTTGATAACCTGTATTCTCATTTTCAATTAGTTTAAGATCTTTAAAAATTTCTTTGCCTGAGACTTCTTGGATCCACCTGTTAACAAGAAATGCGTCATTAATCTCCTAGCACTTTGTTTGTTACTGGTATCTAATCTATTCCTGTTGTGATCTGAGGATATATTTGTATGCATTCTATTTATTTTTTATTTATTCATTTATTTCTTTTGGTACTGGGGATTGAACTTATAGCCTTGTGCTTGGCCAGACAAGCTCTTATGCCACTGAGCTAAATCTCTGGCCTCCTTCTATTCTTTTACTTTTGATAAAGTATGTTTTGTGGCCCAGAAGGAGGTCTGTCTTCATAAATGTGCCATGCAGACTTCAGACAACGTATATTCTCTCTTGTTGCATAGAGTACTTTAGGCATGTCAGATCAAGTTGGTTTTTTAAATTGAGTTGATTGATTGTTGGTTTAACACAACCAGCCATATCCTTACTATTTCCTTCCCTTTGAATCTGCAATTGCAGATAGAGGGGCTGACGTCTGCAACAATGAATTCAGCTCTTTTCTTATAGTTCTTTCCACTTTTGCCTCATGTATACACGTTAGCTACTGCACCATCTTCTTGAAAACACTGACCTCTTTACTATTTCTTTATAGTTTCCATCTCCCTGTCACTGAGAAAATTGGACAGGGTTTTGTTTGTTTGCTTCGTTTTATTTGGTTCACCAACATTGCCACCCCCAGGACTTAGTCCTTAACACACAGACCTTTGGGGGACATTCAAGATCCAAATCATAGCACTCTCCTCACACTACTTTTTCCTTTAGAGCCCTTGACACGTTAGTCAGAGTTATTTTAATTAACTTTAATTTTCCAATATGATCATTCCAAAATCAGTGTCATAGCCGAGTCTAATTTTGATGCTTGTACTGTCTCTTCAGGCTATGTCTTAATCATGCCCTGTGTTTCTTGTTGTTTTTGGGGTGTGTGTGTGTGTTACAGGGGATTGGATCCAGAAGCAGGCAAGCATTCTACTACTGAGTTGCATCTTAAATCATCTACCTGTGGTTTTTGTTGAAATTAAGCCATGAAGTAGTAGTCATAGAAACTGAGGTATTAAGGTTTTTAGTGTGAGGTTTTATATTACTGGCTGGCAGTCAGGCTGTGTTTAGTATTTCCTCTGGTTCTAGACTCTAGAGGCTTCAGTTTCCTCTGGTTTTCTTTCCCCATCCTCCTCTATTCTCTTTGGTTTTCCCTAAGAATTCCTCACAAATAATGTGTGCACATCACATTTTCCTCAGTTCTAATTCATTGCTGTTGTACTCAAGTTCAGCTACTGGTTCTTGCTTTAGGGAAGGTGATCTCTACTGCAATTCTCTGTATTTGCCTGTTTTCAGGTGATGGCTTCCCTGTAACTTCAGTCCTTTTGATGGATGTAGGAAGATCACTGATTTTTAGGGTTTTTTTTTCAGTTTTGTGTATTGAACCCAGAGTGTTTGCACCAAGCCACCCCCTCCCTCCCTTTTATTTTGAGTCAAGGTCTTGGTAAGTCACAAAACTACCCAGGTTGGGCTCAAACTTGTGATCCTCCTACCTCAGCCTTCCAAAGTGCTGGGATCACAGGTGTAAGGCACAACACCCATCTTCAGTTCAATGTTGGTGTTGATATTGTTTTGAGGATGGAAGTGATGCCTTCCAAGTTCTTTTTTTTTTTTTTTTGTATTTTCTGAAATGGTCTCACTATGCAGTTCATGCAGACTGGCCTTGAGCTCACTTTGTAGCCTAGGCTGGTCTCGAACTCGTAATGATCTTCCTACCACAGCCTCCCAAGTTCCCACGTGCTGGGATTACAAGTATGAGCTGGCTTTATGTTATCCAGCTTTTAATGTATGAAGCAAATTAATTATATAAAGAAATTTCTCATAATAATAACAAAAAAGAGTCAGGCAAAAAATTACATGGTCAGGCTGGGGGTTTAGCTCAGTGGTATAAGTGCCTGCTTGGCAAACACAAGGTCGTGAGTTCACTCCCCCTACCAAAAAAAAAAAAAAACTTACATGGTCAGCCAGGTGTGGTGGCGCATGCCATTAGCTTTCTGAGAGGCTGAAGCAGGAAGATCACAAATTCCAGCCACCCTGAGTAATTTAGCAAAACCCTGCATCTAAATAAATAAAGGGACTGGGGATACAGTTCAATGCAAAGGCCCAGAGTTCAATCCCCAGTATCAAAACCACAACAGTAGCAACAACAAAAGACGGTACGTATGATCGTGACTGTACGAAAGTTATTCAGAGTCTACAAAAATATGTCAAAATATTGGAGCATTTGTCTTGGGTGAGGGAATTATAGATAACTTTTTTCTCTATTCATCTTGTTTCATTTTCCAAATATTCCTCATTGAGCATAAGTTACTTTATTCATTACCACACAAACTGTTAACTAAAATACATTCAGAGAGAACTACCTATAGGGTTGTTTTCATGTTAATTTGAAACTCTCCACAACATAAAATGAGAGAGTCTGCAACTGGTGGTGACCAGAAGAAATGTTTTAGCATTATTCTGTCTGAATTACCTTGCGTTATTTGGTTTTAGCATTGTTTTTTGCGTTTCTCAGTTTTTGTCCGCAAAGTAACTTTTCTTTCGCCTCTTTGGCATGCCCAGCTTTTGCCTATGGAGCCCCACCTCCAAGATACGGAGCACCCCCTGCGGGATACACAGCGCCACCTGCTGTATATGAAGCGTCACCTGCAGGCTACGGAGCCCCGCTTTCAAACTACGGATCTCCGCCTCCCGGCTACGTAGTCCCGCCTCCCGGCTACGGAGTCCCGCCTCCCGGCTACGGAGTTCCACCTGGGGGCTACGGTGTCCCGCCTCCCGGATACGGAGCTCCGGCTGGGGCTTACGGAGCTCCATCTGGTGGATACGGAGCTCTGCCTCCCAGATACGAAACCCCTCCTCCGAGATACGGAGCTCAACCTGGAGGATCCAAGTCCCCACCTCCCAGATACGAGGTTCCGCCTACTGAATTTAGGACCCAACCTTCCGGGTCCAGAGCCCCTCCGGCAGCATCTGGGACTGGATATCCTTCCTCTGTAGCTGCCCAGAGTTCTGAACGTGCGGCTACTCATTCTTCAGTTTCTTCGACCTATTCTCCTCCTCCCAACATGTAAACCTTGAAGATTCACCAAGCAAAATAGCACCCTAAAATTGGAGGCCTTAGGTATATGATCACAGGCTGGGCGCAGGTAGTTGCCCCTCTCTGTGGAAGGGCGATCATAGGGAATGTGCTAATAAGCTTTACTTCCAGGCCTGGATTTTAAAAGCAGAGCTGGTTCTTTATTCGCTGGCCCAAAGCGGAATAGCACTATGCCCCCATAATTTAGTTGGCAGTTGGACTGTTTTTAAAAACACGTTGAATGTGAGTTAGGAAAAACTTACTGCCTAATCGCTAGACATGTTTGTTTGCCAGGCCCTAGCGTGTGTACTAACAATATCACGTTGGACACAGTTCTTTTTTCACAGCTTTGTTTAGTGAAAAGGTGGGATAACCTACATTTCCAATAGTGAGAATTTTATAAATGCTGATGGAGATATACAATGGAGTATTCCGCAGCTGTTTAAATGATGTCTTATAGTGGAGAAAGCAGCCTTTAGAAGACTAAACAGAACAAAGCAATAAGGAAGAGTGTCAAATTTGACCCGGCATATCAAAATTTAAGATTTCTGTGTGACAAAAAGTTTAAGAGATAGGTAATGACTAGGAGAAAGTAATTTCCAACATATATTAACAAAAAAAATTATAGTCAAAATATTTGAAAACCACAAAACCAGTTAAAAGAAAAGAAATGGACAAAGGGTATGAACGATAGTTAACCAGGGCAATAACATGGCTGACATATTTGAAAAGGTATCAACTTGACTAATATTAGGGAAATGTGACCCAAAAGAAGAAACAGCTTTCATCTGCAAAGACTTGAAAATGTTAAAATTCTTTTTTTTGGTACCGGGGATTGAACTCACAGCCTTGGGCTTGGGAGGCGAGCACTTATGCTGCTGAGCTAAATCTCCTAAAAATGTTAAAATTCTTGATACAGCAGTTTCATAGCTCAGTATCTACCCCTGAGAAATACTTGCACATGTGCACAAGAATGCATGTGGGAGGATTTTGTGGGATTCATTGTTTCTAACAGTACAGAATTAGAAATAACTGTTGTACACCTGTAATCCCAGCACTCAGGAGGCTGAGGCAGGAGGGTTGATGCAAGTTGGAGGTCAGCCTGGGCTACAGCAAGTTCAAGGCCAACCTGAGCTACACAGTGAGATTTTATCTCCAAAAAACCTTATATGTCAATTAGTGGGAAATATATAAACTAGTACTCTCATGCTGCATATGCAAAAAATTCTAAGGCTTAAGTGAGAAAAAAGTTGTAGGATATACTATGATGATTGTCAGCCTCCTCAGACTGAACTATTTTTATACCATATTTGTAAAAATATATAACAAATGTATCACTTTTTAGCTCTTTGGCTAACATTAAGTGTAAATATTTTATAACTTGTCCTTTAGTGAAACTTGTGTATAATTGCATGTTATTCCCTATAATTTCAGCAAAAATCAATATTCCATTAATGTAATATGAAGAGAAAGTAAAAGTAGTGTATAGAAAAACTTTAAGTATTTTAATATACTACAGAGTCTACCCAACTAGAAGACGGCTCTCAAAGCCCTCATTACAGATTCACCGTAGTTTAAATGCCAGGAACGTTGACTGATACAAGTGTGTTGTACTGGCGACTTCAATACCACACTGTTGGCAATCTTGTTTTCCCAAATGGTGAACAATCCTTGAACTATTAGAAAAGAAAAAAGTTCAGTTTTCCCTTGAGTTACACAGTGGTGAAATTCCTGAAAGTTCTTATGTAGTTATATTAAAGTCATATAAGTAGGGCTTGGTTCTAAGCATGAATGAGATAAACACGTTCCACCTATAGCAGTGGCCACGAGATCCCCTTGACGGGCATGAAGGGTATTGGACAACATGAGGAGGGGTGGCCTGTGCCTTTCAGGATAGCCATCATCTCTGGCTTCTCACCTCTTAAAGATCTCTGGTGACTTCCAGTTGTGAGGACCAAAACCACTCCCCACTTATTCCTCGGTGCCCCTGGGGAGCAGTAGCCTCCCTGCTGGGGGTAACCTTTCTAAGCTCCTCCAGAGTTTCTGCTCCTTCGGGCTCACTGTCTTCCCACTGTGACAAAGCTCCTAAGTCCATGGCATGTTGAAGTGTTCTTCTCAGGAAGATTTCAGGAGCTCTAAATCCACAGTATTCCTGGGCCCACAAGGCATTTAAGTCCAGCTGCGTACTTTGTGTGGTTTGATACTGTGCTGCCTATATAGTTTTGCATCATTTTAAATCATTTAGTATTTTCGTAGAATTAGTCAGAAATATTAGTAGTGGGTGTCAAGTACTCTATGATAGAGTTACAGCATAATATTTCCTCAATTCCTTTTCTAAGGTACTTGAGGGTTTTTTCTCCCCTAGGTTTTTGCTACTGCAAACAACTTTGTGATTAACTTCTTTAAAATTTTTGGATTATTTCTTCACAACAGGTTAGAGTCATCGATTGACCCTCAGTGGAACGATTAAGCAGCCAGATGCTCCTATGCCATCAAGGACAGTTTTCTCAAGGGAGTTAGGTACGGATTGATGGGTGCGATGTGAAGAGGGTCATGGGTTAAGTGTGTTTGGAAAAAAAACAAAAACAGAGAAACTGGTTTCATCGCTGGATGACTTCTCAGACCATTCTTGTACTGTCCTTGTGGCCCAGGCCTGAAGTCTTAGGGACAACCCCCAAATAAAGGGCGCTTACAGCAGACGCAGATGAGAGTCTGAGAGGGCCAGTGATCTTTGTTAACCATTACCTCGTGCCAGGAACCCTTCCTGATGCTTCATGTGCGTAGTGTAGCACAGAGGGGTGCTTGGATCCCAGATTCATAGGGTAGACGCTGAGACTGGGGCCGGAATGGAAGCAAACTGCCCAAGCTTGCGAGCTAAAGCCATGCAGCTGACCTGTGTGTGGGCAGACAGAACCTAGGTGCCCCTGCCCACTCTTTCTCAAAACTGTTTAGTCAGCGCCTCTTCTGTGCCATTTCAGAGTGCTTAGCGTATCAGGGGCCAGAACACACAACGATCTCTGTCTGCTCTTAGACTGACTGACATTCTAGAAATACTGAAACAGATCATCAAGAGTGGTACAACTAGGCATTATCATGCTGAAAGTGCAGAAAAAGCAGACACAAAGAAATAGTAATAAAATCCATGAAAAAATAGAGCAAAAGAGGTTGGTGCTGAGGGCTGGGTGTGGGGTGGATTGCAATAGTGTGGCCTGTTGAGAAGGTGACATCTCGGTGAAGGCTTCGAGGGGAAAGGACGTGGGGAGCTGGCTGTGTGGACAACCCGGAGAGAGTCCCATTGAAACGAACAACTCAGGGAGAGGCAGGCAGCTGGATTCCAGGGGTCCCGCAGACCCAGGGCCTCAAAATCCATACGGGTGTGAGAAAACTCCTGTTCTCAAGAAGAAGACCACTTAAACAAGCAGAGCACGGGATCTAACCTCTGAGTACAACAGCTCAGGGATGGATGGAGACTGATGTGCGGGTTCTCGCTAGCAAGCAGGTCTCCTTCATGAATATATCCTGAGGAGAAAAAAGAAGACACAACTGAAAGAGGCTTGGATCACTGTTTTTACACCTCAGGTAAAGTCTGCTGTCCCACACAGCTGCATTGCCCTCAGTTTCTCTGTTTCTGACGAGATCTGTGTTAGCCACTGCTGTGTGTGGATCCCTTTTGGGCCACCTACTCCTGGCCTGGCTCTTAACTTCCTGGCTGGGCTTTGTGGTTTCCTGTTTCATGCTGGTCATTGTCTTATTCCAGAGAAGATGGACTTTTTTTTCTCTTGCCGTACTGTGAATTGAACCCAGGGCCTTTACACTAAGCTACATCCCAGTTTTTTAATTCATTTATTTATTTTTTTTGAGGACAGCATCTTACTAATTTGCTGAATTTGTAATTGTCCTGCCTTGGCCTCCCAGAGTGCTGGGATCATAGGTGTGCACCACCATTTCCAGCAAGATGGATCTTCATGATGCTGATGTCTCTGAATCTCACTGATGGAGCAGTTGCCTAAATAGTCAGGGTTGTCCTCTGACTCTCCACACAGAGGAGGGCCAGAAGAAATTAGTTTAAGAGCTGGTAGATTGGCCACTTGTTTGTTGTGATGTCCAGTATGGTGCCCTGGGCTTCCTGGGGATCAATTCTAGTCAAACATTTCCCGAGGCTACTCAGTGCCAGGAAATAGGTACTGAGGATTCCACACAACCTGCTTAAGAGCACACAAACAGCCCTATAGATAGATTGTTGTTGCATTTTGCAAGGGTCCACACTGTCCCAGACCCCACCCACCTCAAAATATGGAATGGAAGCAGGTGGGCGTCCACCCTGCGTGGACGGACTCCTAGAGGGCAGGCCAGGCCTCCTCCTCTTGGCTGCTCTGATTTCTTACTTCTTCCCTGATCCTCAGTCCAGGGCTGTGATATGTCTCATTTTACAAAGTGTTTTAGAAATAATTTCTAAATTATTCTTGGACCCAGTTCTAGAATTTGACTTCTGGCTTTTACCTGATAATCAAGAGGAGAGAAAGAGTCGTAAGTGCTGCCCGAAGTGTGGGGGTAGAGACCTACACCATTTAAGGGGGAGGCTTCGCACTGCCCTGAGGGGTCCTGCTGCTGCTGGAAGGGGAGGTGCCTGCATTTCTCAGGCCCTCCACCTCCAAGGCCTTTGGTCTGGATGTGTGGGCCAGCCTTGGCAGGAGACCAGTTGGCTTCGGCAAATATTGCTTTCCTGAAATCCTCCTGCGCCCTTTGCAAACTTCCACAAAGGAGACGAGGTTTTTCTAGCCTGGCATATAAGAAACTTGGACGTCAGCACCCTCACCTTTACAATAAGAAAATGCCAGGGGCTGGAGATATAGAAGAAAGACAAAGAGTCTGAGAAAATTAAGAAACAACTTTAAAATTGGAAAGGCAGACACGTGGATATAGAAAATTTTAATAGCTTTACCGGGAACAGAAGGTCAACAATTGAAACTCACCCTGGAGCCAGCACCAAGGTAGGAAAAGTTAAACTGTAATTGAATTCCTGGTTGTGTTGTGTGGACAAACTGCAGGTGCTCCAACAGAGTGGAGTGTAGGACCCCAAAAAGAGGCATAGTAGAAATGGGAGGGAGTGTTTTAGCTCTGTCTTACCTGTCACGAGCCTCTTTGGGACCCTCCGGGACACAAGGCAGTTTGAGAGGAGTGGGAGACATTACTTGCAGTTTCTACAGGGAAGGTTCAGTCAACTTGACTTGAGTGTGATGGATCTACTGGGGAAGATTGCACAGCTGGACAGCTGTCAGAGTGCTGTGATAACCAGGAAGGGTAAAACTATTTATTACCCAAACCATCTTCCTGTGGTTGGGTGTTAGGAAAAGGCAAAAGAAGGTTAGTGGCATGTCTTACGTCTTTTCAAACCTGCTGAAGGACAGGGACATAATCTCCAGTGGGGTTAAGTTCTGGGCTGAGTTATGGACCGAGCAAAAAAGGTACAGCCTTATAGAAGTTCAAGTGGGTGGTACCCTGGAGGTTCCCTGGGCACTGCTCAAACACAAAGGAGAGTGGTCAGAAACACGGAAACCTCCTGTTAATGGAGCTGGAGTTTGAGCTCAGTAAGGTGGGCCTTAAGGAGGCCACCTGGCTCATTCTGCCTTCCTGGATGGCTGAGGCCCGGGTAAGGATGTGAAGAGTCCATTGTATGTAGAGTGATTAGCCAGGTTATGGGGGGGGCATTATCTTATTGAATGGAGGTGGGAGGTCAAAGTGGTATCAGTTTGGAGGGAATTAACAACTGCTGAGGCTTTTTCTGAGCTGGTGGGAAAGGCCTGTACCCACCTAGTGAAGGTGTGGACCCAGAGCAGAAGAAAACGTAACTTTCAAACCCAAAGCATATAAGTGAAGTCAACCTGCCTGTCCTGAGTTGATGAGAAACCTCATGCTTGATGTGTGGGGAAAAGAGGGGGCCTCAGGAAACCCCGAGGTGGTGTTCCCTGGCAAACAGAGCACTAAGCAGAGCTAGTCTTGAGGAGGGTCTTCCAGGAAGAAAGCAAACAAGAGGTTAAAGTAAAAAGACTAAGGGTTTGTAACTGACGTGAAAACTGTCATGAAGAGATGAAAGGATGGCTTGCTCTTGTAATCCACAAATGAGCCCCCCAGAGTCCCCAAACTCAAGTTCAAACAAATGGGGCAGGACATTTTTTTTTTAAAGCAGTGCTGATATATTTTATCCTGGACACAGCGACACAGTGCAGTTGGAGTTTGCAAAAGCTGTGTGTCTCCCTCAAAACTTTCCAGACCTTTTGTAGAAAGCACAGTTTACAAAGTAAGGGGTTATGGGTATGGATCAGGAAATCTGCTAAGGAAATGAGGAAGATCTTTGTTTCCCTTAGCAGAGGACAGAGAAGTCTAGCAGTAATTAACACTCCTTTGTCAGCTTATTTTAGCACCACATCTATTATTTGTAGAGGGCAAGAATGGTTAACATATCAATTAGGTTAGGTTCCCAGGGACTTACAATTCTTTACAGAGGGGAGCATTGATTAACAT